ATTTAAGTCAGAAACACGGTCTTTTAGCAACTGGTCATAGGGATATCATGTTGGTTGATGATGGCGGGCCATACCAGATGGCTAAATCATGATTGTGAACTAAACCACGATAGGAAACACTCATTAATAAACCACTTTTTGATATGATGGTGATGGGTTAGTGGTATTCTGGGGCATTGTCATGTTGGAAATGCCGAGCTTTTCAAATACAAGATCATTTTCCAGGTGAGTTGGAACGGCCAAAGCCTCTTTGCAAACAAGTCTGGCATGGATCTTTGGTTGGTTCAATAGATTGGTTTTTGTTTGGGAAAATTGACACCGTAAAGCCCCATGATCTGAAAATGGGAACATCCATGGTTTCCGGTGAAGATTTTCCCAACAAAACCAATCCATTGGTGGTTTCAGGATGATGACCCCCATGGACAGTCAGAAAAAAATCAGATGGTTTGAATTTTCAACCACTACCCATGTGGGGCCCAGTGTTTGATGGTTTATAAACCCCATGAACTTATAGTTATAAGATGTTATAAGATGTTATTTGCGTATCGTAAACCATAGTGAAATTGGAGTTATGTTCACCAACTGAACGCTATCGTGAACGGGGGCCCCACATTGCAGACGTTCTGTGAAGATCTCCTGTGCTGTATAGAACTGCAGACATGACATGCCAACGAATATTTCCCATGACGGATCCATGGTGCTGGTATATATGGTAACATAAATGGGGTATATTGATGGGATCCATGTTACCATATATAGCAGCACCATGGATCCGTCATGGGTTTGTTTCTATTGCCATTTTGGCTAGCTCGTCCATCCCTGGACGAGTCTTGAGATGTTTCTGTGTTTCTGTCGCTGCGCCCATTTCTGTTGACAGTGGACAACCATGGTTGAACCGATTCCTCCCACAAGAATGGATCCAATGGATCTATATATATATATAGATACCCTCTGGTAAACATACAAAAAACTATGGAAAGATACACCATTTTATAGCTGGGTAAATCCACTATTTCTATGGCCATTTTCAATAGCTTTTTGTATGTTTACCAGAGGATATGAGAACTGTATCCTTATCTTCGGAGAGCTAAAGCCATGGTTTCTTGCCAGAAAACATGGCTGAAATCCGATGCCATCGCCAGGACTTTAAAGGAGCCATGGTCCGGGCACCAGGAACGGATAGAGTTCCACGTGACCGATTTCGGGATCAATCGCGGTTACATATTCTATGTGTTGCAATAACATGAGGTCATGTACCAAACAGCTGAATGAAAAAAGACAAGCAAGTGTGAAACCTAAGTATAAGTTGTTGTTTTTTTACCATCCAGATTCCCATTGAAATATATTGGAGTTCATATCTAACAGCCGTGGACATGGCTGGCGAAGCTGAGGTGAAACAGATTGCCAAGCCCGTCTTTGTGGGTCACTTGGTACCAAGGCCTCTGTCGCGCCGTATCAAAATTTGCCGGCGAATCTTAGGGATTTTTGAGACTTTTTAGTGAAGCCAATGATTTTATGGGGTCAGCAATTTTAAGGAACTTTTTAGTTTTTAGAATGACGGGAAGGTTAAAGTCTACCCGGCACCTTTTCAGTTGTTCGAGTTTGAACGGAGCACTCCGAGATCAGATCTCAAGAAAAACATATGTTTCTTGGCGTATTGAAGATTCACCATAAGATAAAGGTGTATGAACTGCAGCAACACTCACCAGCAGCTCACCAGCCCTCCTTCTAGTCGTGTACGGAGTGTAGATTCGATTTGAACTTGCAACTGCCATCAAATATAAATCGCTTCTAAGTAATGTAGGAAGTAAGCCCAGTAACTGGACTGCCCATTGTCTTAATCAATCACTGTAATTATAATATATATTACAATTATATAGTAAGGGGATCAACACATGGCCAAAACTGGATGAGAATAATGGTCAAGTGGCCACTTTTTACTAACTTCAGGAACCATGAACTCAATTGCAATGACTGTGTTTGGGCCAGTTTTTGGTGAAATTGTTTGATTTTATGATCTTATTTGATGTTTTAGCATTCTGCTCAGCTCATTTGATTACCCAGATCTTCCAGTTGCCTTTCAGATAGGTGGCAACCCATCGAGGTTTAATCCTCGTGTGCCCCCTGCTAGCCGTCTCGGTCAGCTAGCCGAAAAAGCTAGAGAGCCGTACGTTTTCATTTTTTCGGCAAGTCATCACAATCCTCTTCAGGATGAGAATCCTTGGCTAGCCGTTAAGAATGAAGATGTGTTCTTTGTGGTGTCTTATGATGTTTGAAATGGCAGCCCAATGGAAAGTCACGCAAAATGATCCGAAAATGGTGGAATCTAAAGGTTTTTGGTGAAAATGTCGCCCTTTTCCTGATTGCTTCATTAAGAGTAAGACGAGTAAGATTACTGTACCACCCTTAATACCATTTCATAGCACTAGGTCACTAGGCAAATCATGACAACTGGGGTTACAAGACCAGCCCCTCTATTTGTCCCTATTGGGGGCCTCATTGGCTCCCAGTCCAAACTGTTAGTTCGGGTTCAATTGGGTCCGATGGATTTTTGCGTGGTGATGTAAATAATCCCCTCTCCTAATGTTAAACAACCCCCAGAAACCATAGTTTAGCAGGGGGGTTTACACATAGTTGGGACCATCTAAGTGGTGTTCAATATTAAGGGGATGGGATTATCCTATCCTAGCATTAAATAGTAATGAAACCACCCAAAATGGAATACAATCTTGTCTTGCACAGACCTTGTGTGACCTTTGGGTGTTGGATTTGGCACTGTTGACCCCCAATCGGGTGATATAAGTCCCATTCAAATGGGAATATACCCAACAACCCAACAACCCAACAATCCCCGATACCCCAAGGATAGAAAACCATAAACACATCCTATATTCCATGGTCAGCCATAGTCATCCATGTGAATATGTCCCCCAATCTAATTACCATTCGGTTATTTAACATGACTATAGTATAGATGGCCCATTTAGCTCGATGATTTACCTATCAAAATGGCGATGTTCCATAGAAAACTGTTAAACTGTTAAACTAAAGCGGTTATCCCCATTATTGATGGTGAAATCCCAAAATAGCGTAATACATTCCACTAAATCCCACTCTTCCTATTTTTATCCCATTGCAATCCATAGGTATATTCCATTGTGCCCACATTATACCATCGTTTTGGTTGATTAAGTCAAATCCCCGTTATATGCCCATTATCATACCAATATCTCAGTACATCTCCTATGTTTGTTGCTTGAATTCCCATGTGTGTTTGGCTCAAATCATCATGTTTGTTGGTTAAATCCCATTACATCACCATGATACATGACAAACCAATATCTGAGATGAGAAATCCCACTATATTCCATGATAAAACCATTATATATATATATATTCATTATATCACCATACATTATCACCAGTTATACATCGTATACCATGAAATATCACCCAGCCAATCCATTCGGAGACTTTTTTTAGCCATGTCCCGAGGCGACCCTGCCGGCCAAGCCTCAGAACTAGGAGTCAAAGCTGGCATGGTGGTGCCATGGCTGACCCACTAGATATATATGATATATATATATATATATACATATATATATATATAGAGAGAGAGAGAGTGAGAGAGAGTGATGTTTGTATATTTAAACATCCATACAATTTTGAGAATTAAGTGGATATCGTCGCAAAAACTCCATTTCTCGGTGGGCACAACTTACAAAATACTTGGGTTTGAACCAAGAGACCCGGTGATGAACATGTTTTCAAAAGCGGGAAAAAAACATGTGGGAAAGCGCACCGGTGAATCGGGCATTGGCCTTGCCAGGTTCAGGAACTATTACAAACACAAATAGGATGCCACCGTTCAAATGTGTTGAGAATCATCCCGCCGGGTAGGTAATTGAATGTGGCGGCGTTGCCATTTTGATGTTTGTGGATCCTGTGTCGTTTAGCGTTTTGCAGTGGATTTCATGTCTTTTTGTCAAGTTTGCGTCTCAATTCCGTTGGTCTTATTGTTTTTCTGTGCGCTGGCCATCAAATATGGACATTTCATCCCCAGAAAAGTATTCTATTTTTGGTGGGTCACTTCACAAAGTGACAGTGGGGCCATAGTTTTGGCACATGAAATTGGCCACAGGTCACTTACGACGCACTCTCTGAACTCATTTCGACTCCAGAAGAGGTTCCCCTTGCCCTCCATTTCTACACCGATGGATCGAAAATTCCAGACGGAGCTGTAGGTGCAGGCATCGTTTTACTTACTGAGTATCGCCAGGGTCTGGCATACGGAGGAGCCCTCTGCAAAGTGATCACACCAGAAGGACACGCAGGAGCAGGTGAAAACGGAGCAGTCATCTGGGCTCTTCTCTGGGCACTTCAACTCAGCAACCACTGGTGGACGCACTTTGGAGCTGCGGATATTCATTTTTACTTTCATTTTGATGCGTTGAATGCCGGCTACTTGGCGGGCGGCTATTACCGCACAAAACAATTTCCACACCATCGCACCTTGATGCGCAGTCTTGCCCAAATTCTTCAGGGTAGGCACGGTCTCTCCAGAATGCACTGGAGACACGTCAAGGCACATGCTGGCAACCCATGGAACGAGCTCGCCGACACGATCGCCAAGTTCGCCTCGCAGCACCCTGACCAAGTTCCACATAGTGAACTTTGGCATGCTTGGCTACAAGATCCTGCGCAGCTCCTTGCTGTCCAATGGGTTTGGTACCTGGAACAAATGCAAGCTGAGTGCCCGCACGTTCCTCAACTCCGAAATGGTTTCTTGGAGTGCAATCTCACACAAGTACCCCAAGTTCAACCAGAAGACCTTGTGCTCCATTCCCCAGCTGTCCATCATGCTCCTACGCCGGAGTGGATTCAGATTGACATCACGATCGCTACAGCAAATGTTTTGACACTTCGCACCGAAGATTGTCCACAACAGGGCACAAGCATTTCACGACAATTTGTCATCATGCAGCAATTCCATGACGCAGGTTGCATTTTCGTTGGCATCCAAGAGACGAGGCACAAGCATCTTGTTGGAACCAACAATCCATGGTATCACGTCCTGGGACATCCAGCGACGCCTCATGGACAAGATGGAATACAACTTTGGATTTCATCCTGTATTCCTCTCAGCACCACCAATACCTTCATCCGACGTGAGCACATCTGCATTGTCTACTCCAGCTTTACTACACTCATTGCCAAGGTCAATATCGGTTCCTGGAAATGTGTTGTTGTCACAAGCAGGGCACCTCATTCAGGTCGACCACGACAAGAAGCATTGTCCCATTGGAGCACTATCACAACGGAGCTACATCGCAAAGCTTCTGGATGGCCAATTTTCTACTGCGGCGATGCAAACGCGCATGTCGGAGAGTGCCCTACAACATCCATTGGAGATCTTGCCTCGGCACAGGAAAATCAAGCTGGCGAGGTTTTTCATCATTGGCTGCTGAAGCACAGTCTGAAGCTCCCTGCAACCTTTGCTGCATCACATTCAGGACCTGCCCATCATTCCTTCTGCTCACCCGATGGCAAACATGGCACCAGAATTGACTATGTTGCCATCCCGCAAGAGCTCCAGTATAAGGTACTGAAGTCTTGGGTTGCAGAAGACATTGACCTTAGTGTACATCGCACCGATCACCTTGCCGTCCTCTGCCGATGCACTTTTGAAGTCCAAGCCTCAAAGCAAAGACAGGCACCATTGAAGCAGAAGTGGGACTCCCACCACCTCAATCAACAGCTGCAGTACGAGGACGTTCTCTACACATTGCATTCCTCTGTTCCACCAACGCCTTGGTGCCTTGATCCACATGTTGCAGCTACGAACTTAGCTCAGAATGTCACAGCGGCCTTACAACAAATCACGAGGCCTCGCAAACATTGGAAGCGCAAAAGCCACATCACTGAAACAACGTGGGAGCTCGTCGAGCGCAAGAAGCTCACTTTCAAGCAGCTGAGACACCTGGCTAGAACCAGGAGGCACACCACATTGCAGGCTTGCTTCATCTCATGGAGAGCTACAACCTCAACCAGCACTAGTGCAGTCACCACATTCTGCCAAGCCTTTGAATATGACTTGCCTCAATGGACTAGGCTGCATGACCAGGCAGTTGCTCAAACTACCTGGCTCTATCAACAGGTTGGACAGCAAGCACGACAGGCCATACAAGCAGAGGACTCGGCCTACTACCAGCAACTTGCGGAACAAGCAACCACCACATACTCCATCGAAGGCTTGACTGGCATTTGGAAGCACTTTCGTGCTATCCTACTCAAGAACAAGGGCAAACGTCACACTGCCCAGCGTGATCTTGGATCAAGTCTGCTCAATCACTTCCAGGAGCTGGAGGCGGGACTTTCAAAAGAGATGCATCAACTTCGACAGCAGTGCATTCAACGCAACAACAAAGAAATTGAAGCCAGACCGTTATTGCAGTCGATTGCCTTGGAAGAGCTGCCCACGCTTGTTGAAATCGAAGACCACTGTTTAAAGCAACGACCGCACAAGGCGCCAGGGCCAGACGGAGTACCCTCTTCACTCTGTCGAGCAGGCTCAGTCGCCATTGCTCCGCAGCTGCATGCACTGATCTGCAAAAGCTTCTTAGCAGGCATCGAACCCTTCCCACATAAGGGCGGTCATCTTTGTGCCCTGTTCAAACACAAAGGCAGCAGAGACGATGCCTCAGCGTACAGGGGGATCTTACTTGCAGATTCCTTTGCAAAGGTCACACACGCATGGACGCGTCAGAAGCTTCTCCCAACTTTACAGGCGAGAAGAACAATGGGACAGCTAGGAGGTCTCCCTTCACAGCAGACCCTCACCGGCATCCAGATTCTCAAGCTCCATGGCAGTGTTAGCAAAGCAGCGCAGCTATCGACGTGCACGCTTTTCCTGGACCTCAGATCGGCTTTTCATCACCTCCTCCGGGAGCTTGTCTTCTTGACTGCAGATGGATTGACGCGACAAGATCTCGATCAGATATTCAGCCAGGATGACTTTGACATCCCGGCCTTGGCCACGAAGCTGGCCGCACTCAGTTCAGTGGATCAAGAAGATGTCCCGCCAGGTCTACGACGATTCCTACATGATATACATCATCAGACATGGTTTCAACTTCGAGACTCCACCAATTCCCATTCTGACCAGTGCACGCACACTCGACGTGGCTCCAGACCAGGAAGCCCCTTAGCTGACATTGCCTTCAACCTCATGATGTCTGGGTTCCTTCAAGAATTACATGACGCTCTCTTGGACAACGAGCATTACATGGAAGGAAGTGCAGCACTTGGAGTCACAGTGCCTCCAGTGGCATGGATGGATGACGTAGCCATCCCGCTCACTACAACACCGGACGCCCTCGTGCCCCTTGTCAAACAGGTCACGGCAACAGTCCACGAGCTGTTCCGAGCAAGAGGACTCACACTGAACCTTGACAAAGGGAAAACGGAAGCTGTCCTGTGTTTCAGAGGGCCGGGTTCGGATGCCTTGAGACTGCAGATGTTTGATACAGGGCGACAACCAGTCATCGTTGTCGACACGGCCAGCCACATCCTGACTCTCAGGGTTGTACCCTCTTACAAACACCTAGGAGCTCAATACTCCATGAATGTTGATGTGAGTAGGGAGATCAGAGCTAGGATTGGATCAGCTCGACAGGCCTTTGATCAAAAGGAAAAATCGGGTACCCAAGAGAGGGTACCCTAAACCAACACAATTGTGGGAATTTTGGTGAGAGGAGGGTACCTCCCTTGCGCAGCAATTCTGGTTTTCCCTTGGCTCCGCATGCCACTTGCTGGGGATGAAACACAATGGCCTTCAATAAATACAAAAATGGCCCCCAGTGAAGACAATCATTGCCTCAAAGAACATCAAAGTTTGAATCTTGCAAAGCAGCAATGACAACCAAGCTGGAATTCCCAGCCCATGGCGCGTGTCCAGCCGTGAGGGCGTACCACGTGCATCAAACTGGAATAGTGCTTTGGACTATGGCCAAGATCTTTGGTGAATGTTTTTCACATGATACCAATAGGCAGGGTTGGTGTTGACCAAAAACGGTGGTTATTTCAAACATTCTCCACATCAAAAACATGTTTGCTTGGAATTTGTTTCCACACCATCACCCATGAGGCGGTACTCTCTGGTTATCAAGAAGGCAGAGAAATCAATCAGGAGCACACACCAAAGGCTTTTTCCCCACAGCGCAGTTCCACAGATCTATTTGCAAAGACCCCGGAGCAACCGCAAAGAAGTGTTGGACAACACCCTTATCCCTGATGACGTTTTGAGACAATTTGTGCCAGAAATTGTTTCCTCAACCTCAATGATGATCTCACAGCTGGTGTGCTGGATGCTGTCAAACCGCAAGTCTGACGCACAGGCATTGAAGAGCCTAGGCACTACAATTTGGCCTGAACATCTTGTCGTATTTTTCTGGGGCCCCGGAATACTGTTTGTGCGATGATGGATACCTATATGTTGCCCTTTACAAAGCCTTTCATATTCACACTCAGGGCTGGCCAAGTTCTCCGTGATCTGTTGCACTGCCTGCAGCAAGCGGCGCTACCATCCATCAAACTGATGCAGGTGGGAAAAGGGTTGACATGTGGAAGAGTCTGTGTTTGGAATTACTGATCATGTACAATATTCAGTAATGATTTCCCAGTTGTCTCAAGAGGACACGTTGAAGAAAATATGTTTGGCATTGTTTGTTTCAGTTTTTTCCCCGAGCAACTAAGTAATTCCACCTGTGTGCAGCGCCTTAGGTGGACGTTCCTGTTCGCCACGGCCAAGTTCTCCTCGGGCGGCAGCCACAGGTTCACAACCTTCCCTGGTGGGGTGCCTTCTTGCAATGGTGGAGGGATGACCTTCAGCAACACGAACACAACCCTGCAGAACACCCGACTTTGTGCGTCCAGGCAAATATGTGCCAAGGGGTGGGATCAAAATGGATCAAAAAGATTCACAGGGTTGTAGCTGAGCCTCCCTCAACCAGGTAGCTTCCCAACTATATTTGCTTGTCAAGGAATGCTTGCCTAACAACAACAGCATTGAGACTTTGTCAACAATTCCTTCTTGAAAGAAAATTTGAAGGAACAGAAAGACTGGCCATGAAAGTCACAGTACCATCCACCCTTTTCAACCACAACAGTAATTGCCACAATCGGAGAATACCCTATTTGACATTACGCCAGAACCCTGACCCTTTGCAGGGCAACACGCCTCTGGTTGGTGAACTGGCGGTGATGCTTCTTTACAATGGGAGCGATGCTGCAAGCATTTGCGGCCATTCCATCCTGCAAGCAGTTTGCCCAGTCCTTCTACAAGTCCTTCCCAACCATGCCACCACTGAAGGGATAGTATCACGGGGTGCTGAAGATGCTGGCAAACCCTTGGACCCCTTGTTGGTAGAGCACGTGTTGTTGAATTTCAAGCAGGCACGAGTGCATGTGTGGGCCAGCATGTGGGCATGTGCGTGTGACACTGTATCTGTGTGGTTGTGTGTGTGTGTCTGGAATCTTCGACAGTTGTCAAGTGTTTGCAAACCAAATTATTTGCCTGGTTACAACCGCAAAATAGTCAGGTAATTATGGCCAGGACCTCTCTGATGCCACTTTATTTTTGACAGCGCTTGCCACAGGCGGGTTACCGGAAGATTGAGGACGCCCTTGAAGCCTACGGCATCCACAGGAAAAATGCACAAGCGATCATCAAGGAGAGAGTTTGTAAACCATTCCAGCTATACCAGTCAATGTTTCAAGACTAGTGTGCTTGTGTGAATTCTGGTCTTATTAGTACTACAGCATTTCGGCCTGAAAGCCACATTTTGTGTGTTTGGGGCCATGAGCGAAAACAATGCAGAAGGACTTTGGCGCAGCATATCGGCACAGAGTTGCTGCTGAGATGGCAGATTCGAAGTACATTCAAGTGACCTGGCACCAAATATTTTTGGCACAAGGTCATTTTCGGGACGCAAGCCAGCCCAACCTTCAACTGAAAGCTTATTCTTTTTTCTTCCCAGCAGTGGTGCCAAATACCAGGTATGTTTCGATGCTGGAAACACCTCGATGACAAAAGAGCTCTTTGTATCCATGGTATCTCCTGACTACCAGTTGGGGGCAGTACTTCCGCAACAAGTGCCAACCTTATCATTGCTGCATTACGCTTCCAGAGGTACTGAGTTTTGCATGTGCTGATGCCACGCCGTTTAACCTTTTTAAAGAGCTGACCTGTCACATGCTTGTTGCACACATGATTCAGATGATTCACCTCAATGTTTGGTTCCAAAAACAAGCACCACTTATCGACTTATTCCACGGTTCCCAACATGTCGAATAGATATGACGTCCTTGCCCAGCGGTTTCAGTGGGCAAGCATAGCTTTGGCTACACTTGAGCAGAATGTGGGTCCTAGCCAATTGAGATCCAGTTTGCTATGCAGTACCAGAGGGTCAGACACTGACTTCTCTGGCGGAGCTGGTTCTTGGGAGCACGCCGTGCAGATGATAGAATCTGCAGCTGGCAGTTTCAATATTGCAGTTGATCTCAATCCTCGAACTATATGTGACGCTTTCTGTGCAAGATTTGTTTGAATTTGTTGCTTTAAACAAGCATTTGGTCGCATTGTATGGTGTGCTGTGCTTGGGCGGGCAGGTGCCCATGTTCAACATGAATGCATGGCCTGTCCAAAACACCTCAGCCAAAATAGTTTACTTGACATGTTTATCTTTAACCCACTCACCCAAGCCCCTGTGACCCCGGTACACAAAAAGAGGGCCTCACCCACAGCCAGAAATATTTTTCTTTTAGCTGGGATCCCTGCATATCCAACCAAAAAGTAACCTGCATTGCGCATTGCGTACAATTGTGTTTGGGGTGAGAAGTAAGAATAAGTTACATCGTGTTATGCGTACAGCCTTTTGGGATTGTAACCCTATGCATATTTAGAGAACTTTTTTTTCAAAATATGCTGTGGAATCTGAGGAAATTGATGATGCCATGCGAGCCTCGCTTTCTGTGAACCTGCCAACTTCGACTTGTCAGTTCAAGAACATTTTAGAAATTTGGGGGGACCCACACGAAGCTTCAACATTGATCAAGGGAGCTGAATCCTATGAAGAGAAGGTGTCTCTTTCCAAGCAACTTGCTTTCCATCCGCAATGCTGGTGCTTTGCCCACAACCGCTTTTGTGACGTGGACTCTACTTCTGATGTTAGAGTGCAAGGTATCCCATGCGTTGATTGGAGCCAAGCTGGCCTTGGACTAGGTGTGAATGGGCCATTGCTGGAAACTGCTTTGGCCGCAGGGGCGAAAGCCCAGGAGACCAGAACTACCATGGTTATTTTGGAGAATGTGCGAAACTTCAAACAACATGTCGCTGAAGATGCCTATGGAGAATCTTTTGACTGGCAGCGAGAGCTGGTAGATCCTGCTGATGTCGGTTTTGAATTCACAGCTCGCCCAAGGATAGATTTTTTGTTTGGGAACAAGTTTTGAGCTAGTAACCAAAATCTCCCAGGACCCCCCCCAGAGTGGTTCAACACTTGTAAATTATAGGCTAAATTGTTTCGATGTATTTCGACAGAAAAGGGGCACCTGCCGCAATTTATATAGTTAGATGTTACCCCCCACATCCTTACATTGATCGCTCCTTCTCCCACGGGTTTCAGTCAACTTATAACAAATTTCTTTGGAACACATGCCTAGTTGACGACATGGCAAGCTCAACACACTGACCAGGAGCTACATGGTTGGCCTGCGTTCGTCATCAGCTACTTTCACCATCGATTTTCATTCTGCGCTTCAGCGTGTGCACACCAACTTGCGCAGGGATGGAAGTTCTAGATTGGGGCACCTTGGCAACTGTGGTTGGGATGGGGGTTTGGCAACACATTGACACACCTGTGTGCATAGCAAAAGTAAATTGGTGTTCAGAAAAGGGTTTGGGTCTTCCTTTGTTAGTTTGAGGCCATCTGCAGTACTTGTCGGGAAAAGACCAGACATTCATGAAGACCTGTTTCATCTAGCCCTTTGCCGACAACATCTTCGTGGTCTCACTAACTCGGTGGATAGAGTTGTCTCCATGCACCCACTGGCCGTGTTGAACCCGCTCGAGATGAAACGACTGGAGACTTACGTGAAGTTATGGTATGGAATGGAGCATATGAACAAATGTAGCTGGGAAAACCTTGCTGTGTGCCTGTCTGATGAACCAAACGGTGGATGGGTAACATGGAGTGGCATTTCTTCTGCGATTCCGACTCTTAGGAGATCATCAGGTCTGATCGCTAGCCCGTCTGCACACAGAGTGTTTCTTTTGAAGGAGCTCTTTGCTTCAATGGGATTTGCGTCATTCCAACACCTTGCTGACACAGCCAGGGTGCCGCTGTATGAAGTTCATAAGCCGCTGCTTGGCCTCAAATATTCCCACATGCGTCAAGCATTGGGCAACGCACAACATGTTGGGAATGTTGGGGTCTTTGGCTTGTGTGCGCTCGCATGTGTGTCTAAAAGACATGTGTGAGAACATGTGTAGTGTCATCTCAAACCTGCCCGGTCACAGCCCAAATTCCTTGCTGTGTCAAGTTTCACAAGCTGAGAAAGAACCACAGCTAGAACAGAGACTTGGAAAATACAATCGAGCTAGTACAACTGGAGGAAAGCCGTTGCAGCAGTGTGAGCCTACTTGACTTGTTGACCTACCTACCAGTAGTTTGGAAAGCCCTGCAGGATCTGTGCTGAAACACTGTTTTGCTATTGAATAACTCTTCTATCTATGCATATACCTCTCAACTGCAATTTCTAGAGCTCGAAGCTAGAACTGTAAGTCCTGCGATTGCGGTTTGTGGCGTTCACTGACAATGGCAGCGCCACCACCTCCCTTTGCTAAGGGTGCTGGTTGCCCTTCTGTTCCCCCGCCATTGCCTAGTGTCGGGAAAGCCCCAGCACCCCCGACTCCCAGTGCTATGGTTCCTGTGCCTGCCATGGTTCCGGCACCAGCCCCTATGTCCCTCGTCCCTGCTCACCCTGCAGCAGGGTATGCCGTACCAGCCCCAGTCCCTTGCCCTACGCCTGGTACAATGCCCCGCAGAGGAGCAAGTTTATTTCAAATAACAAATCGTTTTGTGGGATTTCTGTTTGGAAGTGACTGTTAACTAAGCATTTACTGATGTCTTAGCAATCCCCTGATGCTTCCAGCAGGACCTGGGTCAGCGAAGGCAGCGGCAAAGGCTGTACCCAATACGCCAACCCCACACAGACCAAAGACGACTACATCAGATAAGATCACAGCTCCGACTATGTCAGCTTTGCCTGAAGAGCAGATGGATTTGGTTCTCAAAAACATCAACTACACGCATTTCAATGAGATCTCTTTGTCGCGCTTCTCCATCCAAGACAAAGCTGATCTTAGCCTAGCATCGCTCTGAAGTCGTTACAAATGTGAAATCGGTGGAGTTTCAAGCTTTCAACACATGAGCAATATTAAGTAGTGTTTGGCGATACTTACTTTCTCTTCACTCGCACGTGAGGAAGTGATTGGGTTGCTGAGCGGCCAGTGGCCGGAACAAAAACCTTGTGTGGGGTATTGCTCTTTGGTTGCATTTTACCTCCCACTGATCACTGGCTCCATGACTGCTTTCGTTTACCCCCACTGTCCAACCCTTCCCTGTCCTCTCCGCTCAGATTCGCAGCTGGTTCCTGCACTTGCATCAGAATATTTGCGGCGGGTCTCAACAAATGAGGCACCTTCTGCTGAAGAACGCCACTTGGACAGAACCATTGGCAACTGATTACAAACACTGTGATTCAATCACTACGTCAGTGTTAGATTCAAAAAAAGTAACATTCATTCACACATCTGATCAGTTGAGTTCATCTTTTCATGAGATGTTGGATTACATCTTCAACCTTCCAGTCATCACCGGCCATGATGGCAACTGAGTCAATGGGGCAGCTTTGGTTGAGAAGCAGCGCTTGGTGGTTCAGGCAAAGGCTGCTGTTCTCCAGAGTCTGCACATTTACGCGGCCAACGACCAACAGGGAGTTGCCAGAGTTGTTGTGTCGAATGGAACGCAGCATGAGTTCCTACCACTTGCTACCTCACCATGGCATGTCCAATTCTATTGGAGCCGGGAGTAAGGGCCACAGTTGGTTGTCGCAGTTTTGGAATATGATTGCGCACATATGACCAGCTATGGGCTATGTGGAAGTTGGTTGCTATCAGTTTGCTTAACGAATGACAGTTTTGATGTGCTCACCTTTTTGTTTAATCAACTTGATTGGTCTTAGGCAAGCGAAGCCCTTTGTCAGCACTGGACTGGAGAACCGCTGGGTGTCTGAATTTATCACTGTGCCGGCAGATGGTTCTGGTGGGGTTACAACTCCCGCCCCAGCGGCGGCTCCTCCTTTGCCAACATCACCCGCCACACCGCTCGCTGCTGGCTCCCTGCCTGGCAGTACTCAGAAGGCATGGTGCAATCAAATTTGTTTGAAGCTGCCATGGGCTAGAAATCTGTTCTCGTGCTCCTTTCAAACAATCAGTTCGAACTTGGGATGTGAAGTGGTAAGTTCTGATTTCATCTTGAGTATATTCCCCACCTGCCAGGTGAGGGTTGTTAGATTTTATCTTAGCTCTTCCCGCCTCCTCCTCCTCCTCTTCCTCCTCCTCTTCCTCCTCCTCCGCCTCCTCCTCCAGTTTCTCCTCGACCATGTCTGCATCAACTTCTGCCTGGCCAATTCTTCGCCAAGCTCTTCGCCAACGTCCCAGCTCAGTGTGCACCGCTGGACCTCAGCCTGGGACCTGCCCAGCTCAGTGTGCACCGCTGGACCTCAGCCTGGGACCTGCCCAGCTCAGTGTGCACCGCTGGACCTCAACCTGGGACCCTGCCAGCTCAGTGTGCACCGCTGGACCTCAACCTGGGACCCTCCCAGCTCAGTGTGCACCGCTGGACCTCAACCTGGGACCTTCCCAGCTCAGTGTGCACCGCTGGACCTCAACCTGGGACCCTCCGAGCTCAGTGTGCACCGCTGGACCTCAACCTGGGACCCTCCCAGCTCAGTGTGCACCGCTGGACCTCAACCTGGGACCTTCCCAGCTCAGTGTGCACCGCTGGACCTCAACCTGGGACCCTCCGAGCTCAGTGTGCACCGCTGGACCTCAACCTGGGACCCTCCCAGCTCAGTGTGCACCGCTGGACCTCAACCTGGGACCTTCCCAGCTCAGTGTGCACCGCTGGACCTCAACCTGGGACCCTCCGAGCTCAGTGTGCACCGCTGGACCTCAACCTGGGACTGCCAGCTCAGTGTGCACCGCTTGACCTCAACCTGGGACCCTCCCAGCTGAGTGTGCACCGCTGGACCTCAACGGCCAGATAGAATGCCAGAAGATATGCCAGATAGAATGTCAGAAGATATGCCAGATAGAATGCCAGATCGAATGCCAGAAGATATGCCAGATAGAGTGTTAGAAGATATGCCAGATAGAATGTGAGAAGATATGCCAGATAGAATGCCAGAAGCTATGCCAGATAGAATGTTAGAAGATATGATAGATAGAATGCCAGGAGAGAATGCCAGATAAAATGTCAGATAGAATGCCAGAAGATATGCAAGATAAAGTGCCAGAATGTTTGCCAGATAGAATGCCAGAAGATTTGCCAGATAATAAGCCATAAGATATGCCAGATAGAATGCCAGAAGATATACCAGAACATCTGCCAGAAGATATGCCAGGTAGAATGCCAGAAGCTATGCCAGATAGAATGCCAGATAGGATGCCAGAAGATATGTCAGATAGAATGCCAGAAGATATGCCAGTTAGAATGCCAGAAGATTTGCCAGTAACAAATCGATAAATGTCATGGTGGGGATCACACGAAGTAAAGTAATTAATCATTGCTTCAATGGCCAAACGTTACATTTGGTCACAGGTCTTAGAGGATGATGATTTGCAGAGCTCCGCCCGCAGCAGTGCTCCAAAATACATCGTCTACTACCCGAATTCACCAGATGGGGCTGCACAGTTGCTCCAGATGACCGGGTTTGCTGCTTCCAACAGGGCAGCTGCTTTGCCCCCGAATCCATCCAATGACTATGAGATCAAGTTGGACCGCAATGCTGGCGAATACTACATTCACAGTGAATCCCTGTCCCTTTCTTTGTGGGTACCTCGCCAGTGCAAGCTCTTCATCTGTACTGATTGCTGTGAGAAAAGTTGAAGCACAACGCACTAACCAGTGATAAAACACAAAAGCATTTGGGATTCGGCTCTTAAGCTATATGGTCATTTCTCAGGCTAAGATGACCCCTCTTTTTTTGTGACTAGTTATGCAGGGGACATGACATGCACATAACTCCTTTGGCCAGATTTCCTGCCAAACTAAGTGCGAAGATGTTCTTGACCGGCCCACCACAGAGCCTCCATCGAAGCGCGCGAAGCCTCTTGAAGAGGACAGCCAGGAAACCCTTATTCTTCCAGGCCCTGAGCTAGCCGCAGAATCAGACGATTCACAAGATCGCCATTTTTCAGACACCAAGTTGAATGATCCAAGTCACTTGCATTTTTTTCTAAAGTACAGGGTCAGGCACTGAGCAAACGATTCTGAATTTGCCATAGAAAAGCACCAAACCCTCAAGCCATTGAATGTAGGAAAGCGCAATCAAATCAAAATGGAATGGGTCTACATTCTTTGTGGCCATGTTGCAACAAGCTTGATTCTGTTTGAAAGAATTGCCCTGGGATGGCCTTGCTTTTGCATGGCTTCGGCTTAAGGATTCGCAAATGGATACCCTGATGACTTTCAGCCCTCTAACACCGGCAATGACAATGGGATCACCATCGACACGACCTGCGCGTAGAGTAAACTGATCATGAATTGAGAAACATTGTTCTTTTCCCTCTTGTATTTTCTCCTCTCATGCAATAGCCTTTTGAATTGTTTAACTACAACCACCACCATGACCATGACCACTACCACCACCAAGAGCTCCAGGAGCTGACCCGAGTTCCATCAGCAGCAGCCGCGCCGCCTGCAGAGGCTGTTGGCAACTCGGCGCCAGCAGCAAAGGCCGCCGGAACCTCTGAGGTTGCTGTGGTGCCAAGTGTTGGGAAGTCTGCAGTCCCAACACCACCCCCAGCGTTGGTCGCACCTATTGTTGTGGATGTTGATCCTGCCCCCAAGGCAACCCCCAAAAGTGGAGAGATTGCCAAAGCTTCTGGTGCTGTGCCACCGCCCCCCCCCAAGAGTGGGGCCTAGACTGTTGGGGGAACCCACCACTCAGCTGAGAGTACCCTAGCCCCAAAAAAGTTAGGGTACGGAGCTCGGACCCAGCTAAATCAGGGTCTCCAGTGCGTACCCTAGATTGGGGGATAGGTAATGGAAATTTGGGGGGTCGGGGGGTGGGGGGTGGGGAAGGTGGAGGAGGGTGGGGTGGGGGGGGGGGGGAAGGGAAGGGTGGGGAGGGTGGGGGTGGGGGGTGGGGGTGGGGGTGGGTGGGGGTGGGGTGGGTAGGGGCGAGGTGAAGTTGGGTCAGGCGGCTGGGTTGTGTGGTGGGTAGCAAACATATATATATATATATAACTACAAAGGTAAGTAGATAAGAAACTGTTGTATTCACATTAACAAAAAGCAGTACATAACATACATGCACCCTCGCAACTTCAGGCAGCAAGCAAATAGGCATACCTGCCTACCTACCTACCTACATACATACATACATACATCCATACAGGGTATCACACGTCACATACGTGCAAGCGCGTGTGAGTGCGCACATGAAAATACATACTTGCATGCATACCTTGAGCAAAGAAAATAAAAACGGCTTACCTACCTACCTACCTACCTACCTACCTACATACCTACCTACCTACCTACATACCTACCCACAAACAAACAAAAGAACAAACGAACAAACAGACTGACAGACTGACAAACAGACAGACAAACAAAAAGAAAGAAAGATAAACAAAAACCAACAAACAAACAAACAAACAAACAAGCAAACAAGCAAACAAGCAAACAAGCAAACAAGCAAACAAGCAAACAAGCAAACAAGCAAACAAGCAAGCAAGCAAGCAAACAAACAAACACCCAAACACGCAAACACACAAACAAACAAACAAGCAAACAAACAAGCATACAAGCATACAAGCATACATACATATACACTTAAATACATATACACTTAAATACATACATACAGAAATACAGACACACCTACCTGCCTACATACAAACATGCATGCATGCGTGCACACATACATACTTCGAGACAAACCAACAAACAAACATCCATATACTGTTACATACTTCCCTTCCAAAAAACTGAACTACATTCATGCAAAGTCAGCACACAGAAACAAACATATATGCATGCACACATACGTACACACATGTACAACTATACAGTTTCCATTCTGTCATAATTTCATTCTTTCATTCACATTTGCAAAGCGTGACGCACAAAAGCACCCGCACTTATGTCACATGGAACATGCTAGCACACTTGAGCATATCACCTCTGCACAAAAACACAGGTGCAGGAAAGGCATGGAGAGTGAAAATCTCAATTTATGCATCATATGGGTTCACACCTTCGTCAATATACAAAACAGGGACTGTGCATACCTGGGCGTAGGCTCCGTGACATGGAGAAGTGGGAGGTGTAAAACGTCATGACGCAGCTGAAGTGGACCGCCCATTGCTTTGAGACTAACCCAAGCATTTTCTGGTATCTTTCAACTCCTTGGTGCCTAGGTATCTACCGTTATTGCTATATGTGTATGTGTTTTGTGGTAAATTCTCCTTGGCAAAAAGGTTTTGCAGCTGATAGGGGGTCTTTGGAAATGGATTCTAGGGTCCTTGGTGATTTAGTTCTACCTCTGATTGTGTGATATATGTTTTCCATTATTTATTTCTTTATCTATCTTATCTATCAAGGTAGGTGGCCTTGGTATATACTAGTGACAATGATCCCAAAGGAAAGATCGTCTTGGGCTAGTGTCCCTTGGATGTTTCAATATATTGTTACTTCTTATCCGCCATTCGGTAATCATGCCAAGATGGGGATTGATAATTAGTGTCTCCATCCATTTACCCTTCTATTCGTGGAAGTGCCAGTCAGAACAAACGATCACCATTCGATCGTAGTTCAAATAGGTTTTTTTGGGTTGGGTACTTTGATAAAATATAAATATATTTTATATATATATATACAATATATGCAGCCGATAGGGGGTCTTTGGAATTTGATTCTAGGGTCCTTGGTGATTTAGTTCTACCTCTGATTGTGTGATATATGTTTTCCATTATTTATTTCTTTATCTATCTTATCTATCAAGGTAGGTGGCCTTGGTAAATACTAGTGAAAATGATCCCAAAGGAAAGATCGTCTTGGGCTAGTGTCCCTTGGATGTTTCAATATTTTTAATTCTTATCCTTCTTTCGGTAGTCATGCCAAGATGGAGGTTGAAAATTAGTCTCTCCATCCATTTACCCTTCTATTTGTGGAAGTGCCAGTCAGAACAAACGATCACCATTCGATCGTAGTTCAAATAGTTTTTTTTGGGGGTTGGGTACTTCGATAAAATATAGAATATACTATATCTATGTTGTGCAATTGATCTGGGTTCTCTGGAAATGGATTCTTGGGTCTTTCCAACTATTTTATATATGATAATGGAATTGAATTGTATTATAGGTACTTTATTATTTTCCCTATGAGGTAACCAATTGGTTGATTAAATGGGTATCATCTTACCATTGGTTATTTAATATAACTATTTGTTTTTTACCATACTCATAGAAAATTTTATGTGCATTATTATGTTCATTCTTAGGCAACCACTTGGTTGGCTAAATTGATATCATCCCAGTAACGGTTACGGTTATTTTATTTTATGATATTCCTTGGATTAACTGGGGTCCACTACCATTTCTGAAGGGTACCAACCAATTGCTGGATCAAAATGGAAAAGGTATCAACCACGCTCTTGTTTTTTCTAGGGTGGTGCCCCCATATACCTTTGGTATAAAGCCACCAATGTTAATGTTATCCCTGATTATCATTATTTTTTTTCATGTACTAAATTTCCCCCATTATTTCTACATCTACATCATATATCCTTTAAATGCAATGCCCAACAGCTAATTTGCCGAAGTCAGGGCGCAGAAATCAGCACCCTGAGTTAGGAAAAAAAAAATTGACGATATCCTAGGTGTTTGGTGGGGTATTGCCTAAGTAAGGTCGCAAAAATCTGCACCTAGACTTGGGCAATACAGAGGTTGTACCCTGGGATTTAGGAAAAAAAAAAATGCCGATCTCAGGGTGCAGAAATTGGCATGTGGACTTGGGAAACAGCCCTACTATTATATTCTACCATGATTTTTGCCGCAGAGGATTCCGGGTCCTTGATTTTGAGATTTAGGGAAAAAAAAATTGCCGATCTTTTGGCTTGGGGGACCCCGTATCCGGCGCATCCGCACATCCGTCGCATAACAATATTTTATTTTATATTTTATCGAAGTACCAACCCCAAAACAAACCTATCTGAACTACGATCGAATGGTGATCGTTTCTCCTGACTGGCACTTCCATAAATAGAAGGGTAAATGGATGGAGAGACTAATTATCAACCCCCATCTTGGCATGACTACCGAAAGAAGGATAAGAATTAATAATATTGAAACATCCAAGGGACACTAACCCAAGACGATCTTTCTTTTGGGATCATTGTCACTAGTATATACCAAGGCCACCTACCTTGATAGATAAGATAGATAAAGAAATAAATAATGGAAAACATATATCACACAATCAGAGGTAGAACTAAATCACCAAGGACCCTAGAATCAAATTCCAAAGACCCCCTATCTGCTGCATATATTGATATATATATATGTATATATATAAATAAAATGTTTTATCAAAGTACCCAACCAAAAAAAAACTATTTGAACTACGATCGAATGGTGATCGTTTGTTCTGACTGGCACTTCCACGAATAGAAGGGTAAATGGATGGAGAGACTAATTTTCAACCCCCATCTTGGCATGACTACCGAAAGAAGGATAAGAATTAAAAATATTGAAACATCCAAGGGACACTAGCCCAAGACGATCTTTCCTTTGGGATCATTTTCACTAGTATATACCAAGGCCACCTACCTTGATAGATAAGATAGATAAAGAAATAAATAATGGAAAACATATATCACACAATCAGAGGTAGAACTAAATCACCAAGGACCCTAGAATCAAATTCCAAAAACCCCCTATCGGCTGCATATATTGATATATATATATATAATATATATTTATATTTTATCAAAGTACCCAACCCAAAAAAAACCTATTTGAACTACGATCGAATGGTGATCGTTTGTTCTGACTGGCACTTCCACGAATAGAAGGGTAAATGGATGGAGACACTAATTATCAATCCCCATCTTGGCATGATTACCGAATGGCGGATAAGAAGTAACAATATATTGAAACATCCAAGGGACACTAGCCCAAGACGATCTTTCCTTTGGGATCATTGTCACTAGTATATACCAAGGCCACCTACCTTGATAGATAAGATAGATAAAGAAATAAATAATGGAAAACATATATCACACAATCAGAGGTAGAACTAAATCACCAAGGACCCTAGAATCCATTTCCAAAGACCCCCTATCAGCTGCAAAACCTTCAAAACCTCTTTTCCTAGTAGGTCGTTTCAGTGCAACTGGAAACCCTGACTGGTCGCGCTAGAGGTGTTGCAAGCTTTGACATATAAATGGTTTGCCACGGAATGGCAATCATCCGTTTCAAGACTGCTTGATCTAGAAGACTCTGATTGTTTCTTCTACTCGGTGTACCACTTAATACTGCTTTGCTGGAGGCTTCAAACCCACCACCAATAGTATATGATCAGGCTCCGCAATCAGAGTTTCAGCACGAGCTTCCGTCTCTGCGCAATGTAGCTCAATTGCCACAGCGCCGCTGCAATCCACTGAATTTTCCTGAGATGGTGTTGGAAATATGAAAAATCGCAAGGCTGGTCAGTGTTGTCATGTTGCCTTGAATCGGCCATTTTCTGTGGCATAGAGCTCCGTAGGCTGTCAGGTGGTACCCAAACCTTTTTTTAGAGTATGGCCCAGAAAAGCAACATCAGTGGCGGTCGTTTATTTGTGCCTCACAAGCTTGATCCTTCCATATTTTCCAAGAAGCAACGGAATTTTGAAGCCAATTTGATTGTGCAGTGCAACCACCACGCGTGACACTTCTGTGGCACTCAGGAGGATGGCACGGCATTTAGATATGTATCAAATCAACATTTTGAATATGGCATTGTTTTATTGCCAGAAACCGTCAATATTGCTGGTTTGACTTGAAGCCGTGACACCATTTCTTCGGACACCCGTCCAAAGATTGTGGCACGCCGCCATTGCTTGGCTGCCAAAAAGATGACCGCGGTATTTCAAGAGCTGTTCTGCCCAGTGCCAAGGTTTTTCCTACTTTGAATTCCTAGCCCACAAGCTTAGGTGCTTTCAGGGTCACCGCTACACACTGACGCATCAATCCACCAAGAGTACATGGAGGGAATGCAGCTTGTGACATCAGTGGCTGCAACTTAGCAACATGCAGTTCTGGTAGCTCTGTGCAAACTTTTGATTTAGAAAAAGCCGAGTTTGCCCTATTTTTCTTGGTCTGCTTTCATTCCTAGAAGGCACCGTGTCCACTAAGAAATTGGAAGCGGATGGCTCTGTTGCGACTGGCAGTGTCTCTGCAACTAGAAAACACTGGCACTTCAGCAAGTATGAGCCACTCAAGAGCATCCAGGCATTACAGAACTCCATGCACCATGGGGCAGGTTTCAGCCTGGACCAATTTTTGCCACAACCGTCGCCACCAAGACAACGACGGCCAAGTGACTTACTTGACTCTGGTGCTTGCATCTTCTTGGCTGACATGGAGTCGAGCCAGAACCTTTGAACACTTATTCTACAGACCCAAACTTCATATATTAAAACATCCCCTGTCCTTAGGTTGATGCTACCGGCTTATCAACACCCGGGCTTTGAATAATGATGTGTGTTTAAGGGATCAATGAGGGATCAGTGGTCCTCATTGGCTTAGGATCAAATGGATCAATCACCTTCTGTACCTGTGCAAGTTGAGGGGCAAGTATGTGCCTGACTTCTGCCACCGCATTCACAATGACGCAATGACGGCAGTGAAGCAAATGGGATTGCACGGAATCTCGGCTATGGGTCGTTCCACTGAAAACATGAAAAACTCATACCTGACATTACCGCTTATATGACCCAAGAAAACCATAGAATTCTTCAGTCCTTTGACAGGGCCGCGGTTGTGTGCAAGGGGGTTCATGGTCCATGTTTCCCTTCTGGTAAGGCCTGGTGGCTTGCTCTCGACTGGTCATGGCCGCAAATCACAAACCATGGGGCAGCGGTGAATTTAGACATGATCTTTCGTCCGCTGCGCATGAATGGCTGAATCTACGCAAACCGGATTCAGAAGAGTGAACGACTTAGTCTCTTTTTTTTGGGCTTGGTTCAATTAGAAAAACCAAACTTCACGAAAAAAAGATCCATGGGTTGCGGCACCTGTCGTCCTCCGGCTATATCATGCTTACAATCCCCCTTCATCACACGTGCCAAGCTAAGGTTTCTGGAGGTGGCTGATGACATCAAAAAGGACCTGGGAAACCCTTTCATGACCAACTCGGCGCTTCACTCTCATTTGCGGGCATCAATTGGCTCGTGGAGCAGCGGTGAGGCAGGGTCACTCTCCCTCCCTCCTTCCCTCCCCCCCTCTCTCTATCTAACTTTCTCTATCCCCTTCCAACATTAACGCTCTCTAACTCTTTCTCTTTCTCTTTCGGTTTCTCTCTCTCACTCTCTCTCTCTCTCTCTCTCTCTCCCGCGTCTTTCTTCCTTCCTTCCTTCCGTTCTTTTTTTCTCTTTCTCTCTCTCTCTCTCTCTCTCTCCCTCTCTGTCTCCCTCTTCACTCTCTCTCTCTCTCTCTCTCTCTCTCTCTCTCTCTTTCTCTCTCTCTCTCTCTTTCTCTCTCCCTTTCTCTCTCTCTTGCTCCCTCTCTCTCTCTCTCTCTCTCGCTCTTTCTTTCTTTCTTTCTGTCTGTCTTTCTTTCTTTCTTTCTTTCTTTCTTTCTCCCTCTCTCTCTCTCTCTTTCTCTCTCCCTTTCTCTCTCTCTCTCTCTCTTGCTCCCTCTCTCTCTCTCTCTGTCTTTCTGTCTTTCTTTCTTTCTTTCTCTCTCTCTCTCTCTCTTGACTCTCTCTTTCTCCTTTTCTTTTGGCCATCTATTTGGACTCAGGGTCCCTCCCAAACTGACCTGCTCCCACCCTGTAGGTGAAATCGAGCCGCTTTTTCGAATGGGGCGGAAAATGGAAGAACATGGCTCCATATTGGAGTTTCCTGAAAGTGGTCTACGCCTTTCTCAAATTGACCAAGAAATTGGGCGATGGTAGGGATGATAATGATGATGATCTTACCATCAATGAGCCAGAAGGGCAGCCACAGCAGCTGAACAAAGACAAAGGCACCAAAAGCGAACATGTGAAGCTGATTCAGGACTTCAAAGCAATGCAAAAGAGCCGACACACACTAGACGTTGTACACGACATTCTTCATGACGACCGTGTGAGGTTGTATGCTTGGATGATGCTTTGGCTGGTGATCTTTTTGGCAGGTAAATCTTTGTTCCCCACCTGCCAGGTGAGGGTTGTTAGATTTTATCTTAGCTCTTCCCGCCTCTTCGCCAACGTCCCAGCTCAGTGTGCACCGCTGGACCTCAGCCTGGGACCTGCCCAGCTCAGTGTGCACCGCAACCTGGGACCCTGCCAGCTCAGTGTGCACCGCTGCCGAGCTCAGTGTGCACCGCTGAACCTCAACCTGGGACCCTGCCAGCTCAGTGTGCACCGCTGGACCTCAACCTGGGACCCTGCCAGCTCAGTGTGCACCGCTGGACCTCAACCTGGGACGCTCCCAGCTAAGTGTGCACCGCTGGAGCTCAACGGCCAGATAGAATGCCAGAAGATATGCCAGATAGAATGTCAGAAGATATGCCAGATCGAATGCCAGAAGATATGCCAGATAGAGCGTTAGAAGATTCTAAGATATGCCAGACAGAATGTGAGAAGATATGCCAGACAGAATGTGAGAAGATATGCCAGATAGAATGCCAGAAGCTATGCCAGATAGAATGTTAGAAGATATGCCAGATAGAATGCCAGAAGATATGCCAGATAGAGTGCCAGAATGTTTGCCAGGTAGAATGCCAGAAGATTTGCCAAATGATATGCCAGAAGATATGTGAGATAGAATGCCTCAGATTGAATGCCAGAAGATATACCAGAACATCTGCCAGGAGATATGCCAGGTAGAATGCCAGAAGCTATGCCAGATAGAATGCCAGATAGGATGCCAGAAGATATGTCAGATAGAATGCCAGAAGGTATGCCAGATAGAATGCCAGAAGATTTGCCAGTAACAAATCGATTAAATGTCATGGTGGGGATCACACGAAGTAAAGTAATTTTTGATGTGAGGTATGGAAAGGCCTGTGGGTAACCGTGTGACAAGTTGTGTTTGTTGATCTCCGGTGCTTATAGAACCAGCAATGCTTAGACTGGATTGAACCCAGGATCTGTTTTTAGCAAAGAGAGCTGATGAATGAATACACTTCGGTCATTCACAGCGTCATGGACGATCAAGCAGGTCCACAGAACTCATTCAGATTGCAAGTCGGTTGGGCCCGCAGATTCTGGTGCCACTGCATTTCCAGAATTCTAGGAACGATGGATGACACAGAGGCCATGGCAAAGCTGAGCCTTGCTCATGGGGGTGAAGATGATGAAACCAATGTGCAAAGGTCTGAGGACGCAAACTTGTTCTTCAAACTAGTCGTGCGCTGCGCTGCACACAGGGCTTGGGTTTGTGCTTCCTGGAGCGAGCTACCACCTCACAATTGGAGCGGGATTCTTCACCAGGACATTGCTGAGTCCCAGGCTTCCATGGATTCAATCCACCGAGATGCAATGTGCGTGGAGACGGGACTTCGCTGTTTGCGAGATCATGGCCATCAAGATAAGGAGGCCACACAGTTGTGAAACAAATTGCTGTACAGCAGAAATGGTTCACCTCGTTTTAAGACTTTGTTTTGTTTTTGGGTTCCAACAGTCGGTCTTCGTTATTGCCGTCATGCCTTGAGGGACTGGGAAACCTCTTCGACCACCTTTGGGCTCACAAGCTGACTGTGGTTGAGGCACAGCGGACTTCTGCCCTGAACACTAAACCTGTTGTGATCCCAAGACTGTGAGACTCGGAATTGAGCGCATGTCAATAAAGATATATCAATAAAGATTCCTCCGCCCAAAACTGAAATATACCACTGTGGATGGGACACACTGACCCTAAATGGTCTTTCAATTCCACGGTGGTTCTAACAATCGTTGTCTGTTGACAGGAGTTTTGGATGCATGCGAAGGAGCACAGATGGAGCCCGAATGCCGTGTATGCACATGTACATCGACTGGCAAGCACCAGCATTTCCACCAAGGAGACGCTCGAAGATGTCATAGGTGACATCTCTGACAGCGTTTCACGGGATGCCAAGTGGACAAGTCTGACGAGTCCAGAGCGGGTGTTTTTCAACAACGTGCATTCAGGGCGACTCAATTCAATGCCGTTTGTCGGGTTGCAGAAGGGCGATTGGAATTCCAGAGGTGCCAAGGAAACCAGCAAGAGCCGGCAAGAGGTTTTTGGGGAGAAGGTCACCATAGTATCTGAAACTGGCAAGATGATGAAAGAGTTCTGCAAGACAGGACTGGTTCAAATCCAAAGTAGACATCAATGAGAAGGGGTTTAGAGTTGATGTTTTGTCCATGTTTGAAGTAGGACCAACTAGTGGGACAATTGGGCCCATAGACACCTGCTGAGAGGAGCGGCTTCTACTACAAACCTTGACGTGAAGCCGGCTGGGCAACAAGCGGAGTTTCGATCAGTGGCCAGCATGGTGGCTCTGAGGCTTTGCGTTGGAGATGGGCCCCAGCACTTCACCGGTGTGAGTGGTTTGTGGACCGGGGGATTGCTGCAGGAAGGCATGGTGTTCAAGCACCTCCCCTCTCAAAAAGTCTATCTCTCCTTGGGCTTTGTGCATGCTGCAGTGATGTTGTGGATGATTGAGGAGATATCAGAATCACGAAAGGGTTTAGCAATACGAATTTCTTTTCCAAAGGTCTGGCCCTTCAGCGGAGTATTTTTCTGCACATGCTGTTTCCCCTCCATTTTCTCTGGGGTTTCTCTCACTATGCTCCAGTTTTGGATAGGGTTGCTTTCACCTTTGACCTGCGCATGCCTGCAACACTGAGGATGATCTTTTCCTGGTTGCAAACTTCCATGACTCCCCAGAGGCTGCTCGGGACAGATTGCGGTTCGAGGCGGGTGTGCACATTGGTGGTGACCTAGCTGATGCTGCTATCGAGGAGCAATGGGTTGGCGTGCCAGTCTCTGCGAGTTGTTTGCTTTGAGTCAGCAGCAAAGGTTTTGTTTCCCAAGAAATTTTAAGACAAGTCCAAAAAGAACTTATCAACCTCAACCTCAACCTTCTGAACTGAGGTTTCCCTGGCTCCCGGACTGACCATCAAGGACGGGGTATTCTTTTGGCCCAGAGCGGCCCTGAATCTACTATGATTGCGCATTGGCTTCAGCATGGGTCTCTGACGCCTCACATGGTGAGCAACCTTGGAGTCCTCATTCTGCTGTGTAAGGTCAAGGTTATCAAATTTCAGGAGAAAAGAATCACCATGAAGAGCAAATTGACACTTTGAAAGATGTGAAAAAGGCAATGTTTGAAAGTTTTTCACCTACATAGCATACATGCGCACATACACAGACCCACACATACACAAGCGCGCGCACACACACACACGGTGGTGATGGGGCGCGATTTAATGCGTCGCTTTCTATAGCGTTTCGATTCATGGTGGTGATTCCAAACCCTGTTTGGCCAAGACAATCTATTCTTACGTATTCCGATATCATCACCTATCAACTAAGGATGGCTTTGATCCGCCATCATTTTCCAGAACTTCGAGAGAATGATCATGAAGAGATGTTGAGTCGATTGCTAGCAACTGCAAAGACAAAAACGATCATTCAAAGGCCAGTGATGCAAGAGGCGTTGGAGCAAATGAAGCATGAGGACCCTTCTGACTTTCTGCGAGACTTTGAGGGGTTGGCTGAGAAGTTGGCAGACCAGAAGCGGGAGGAACTGATTCGAAACCGTCTCTGTGCTCCCCGTGCTGCAGCTGAATTCCACACTCCTGTCGTTCTCAAGAAATTGAGACCCAAACCAGGTGTTGGAGCATGTGTGCTGACTTTCCAGGTGCCCACCAATTCCTTTCAAGGATACTATCCACGAGTTCTTACTCCTGAGCAAGAGAAATCAAAGCGTGTCAAGAAGCACTTCAGTATATCTAGAACCTTTGGGGAAAGATGGAGCCAGACGCAAGCTTTGTCGCAAGTAGTTGGCTTCCTGTGGGGGTGCCACAAGAAAGCAGGAGGTGAACCCGCCTCAGTTGCTTTCAAACTGAACAGAAAACAAACTTCAGGACATTATATAGTGGTAGTGCAAGCCCGCACTTACTCATTGATTCAGACGTTTGAAAACACACCTGACCTGACCTGACCTGTCATCTCTTTCATGTTTGTTCATGCTGCTGTATGTTTTCATGAGGACATGACCGACAAACCAACATCGCAGATGATTGGTGACGCTCTGGAGAAAGCCTGCAAAGTTCTAGCAGGCGAAGCTGAGGACGACCCCCAGGAAGAGGGTGACGTGGATGAGGCTGCGGCGGACCTCTCCCAGGGGACTCCTTCTGGTGACAATGGGGAACGTGAAGATGAGGTTCGTGATGTTGAAGAAGAGGCTGAGGTTGCAGAGACAGAGAGTGTGGCCGAATCTCCCAAACCTCCTCCGCCCAGACCGGTGGCATCTGGGGCGGCCCCAAGCCGGGGGCTCCGAATGAACCCAGTTCCGATGCCCAAGAAGAGACCTCTGGATGCTAGTGCAGAGGAGCCAGCCAAAAAATCAGTGAAACCAAACCCTCCTGGCAAGAAGGGACGTGACTGGACAGACCCGTCAGATGATGAACAGAGCAAAAAATAGGACAAGAAAAGCAAAAAGAGCAAAAAAGACACCAAAAAAAAGTGAGTAATCACACTTTGAAGTTTCACCAGCAGCCGAGCCCGGCAAGATTTTGTGAGAGGCAGTGGCAGAAATGGTGATTCACTGTGCAGCTCTTACTTGCACCTGCGGCACCCCAAAGGCACCAGATTTTATAATACTTATATAATACCTATATGAGTACTATATCAGCAGGCTCAAACAAGGGTACCTTGCCCAGGGTACGCAACTTTCTCTTTTGATTTGAAGAGATGAAAAAGCCGCTCTTTCTCAACAAACGACTTCCAGTAGCGGCTAGAATGCAGTTGTTCCACAGTCTTATTCTTTCCCGGTTGCTGTATGGATGCGCCATTTGGACTGACGTCCCTAATGCCCTGGTGAAGAAGCTCGAAACCACGCTCATGGCCTATTATAGGCAGATTCATGACGTTCGCTTTTGGAAACAAGATCATGTGACTGATGATTCCTTTCGACAAGCTCAACGGCTCCCAACGTTCAGACAGTTCTGGGCTCGTCACAAGCTGACCTTCCTGCAACACATCGCGCAGTTTGGCACGGTCTTCCACAAAAGTTTGCTCTTCCGTGAATTGCAAACCGGACGAGGTTGGCTCTTTGAGATGCAGGATGACCTCGTATGGCTCAGCAACCTTCGGCAGCTACCCTTTGACTTACCTCATGACAGACCTTCTTGGGTTGAAGTATGGGAAGCACTACGCAACTGCCGACCCTGGAAAGCCTGGATCCGCAGAGCTTGTGCAAAGCACCTTGTGCAAGAGCAGATCGCTTGGGAAACAGGCACTCAACATGCCGCCATCCTGGACGAATTGCGATCAGCTGGTATGCAACTCCTGAGCGATACCCCAGATGGATGCGACCACAAGCCCTACACGTGCCCACATTGCCAGGCTGGATATGCGACTTATCATCAGCGTGCTCTTCATGAATTTCGTGTTCATGATGTGATAGCTGAAGAGCGCTACTACGTCCAGTCCACAATCTGTAGTGGCTGTCTCAAGGATTTTCACACCACCTTCCGGGTGACACAACATTTGCGCTATCGGCCGAACATGTGCTGGGACCGAATCTATCAAGTCAAACGACCTGACGAACCAGTCACCATTCAATTGCCAGAACATCTTGTTGGTGTATGTCGACTACCCGCAGTTCGTCGACATGCAGGACCCTTGCGGCCCACATCACATCATCGGGAGCGACAAAGGATTCGACAGGCACTCATTTCATTGCAAGCAGAAGGTGACCCCGATTTTGCATGGTGGGAGCCTGACCCAACTACACCGCTGGTCCGCACATGTTTTGAGCAGTTTGCGGCATGTCTACAGCAGTGGACTCAAACCCCCACGGAAGAAGCCTTCCATAATGACTTCTTCAATCTCCTCTTCCACGTCGGTGTCCCAGAATTCCAGGCTGCAAGGATCTTTATTGCGTGGATCGAGACTGACTTCCAAGACTTGCACTCGAGTATTGACCCCGAGCTCTATGACGTCTTGGAACGCAGCCACATGTCTATGTTGGACGACATACACATCTGGCATCTGCGCATGCGAAAGCGATTCCTGCAACAGTGTTGGAACAGACTCGAACAAGGTGAACCCAAACCTATTCGTGCACAACAACAGCGCTCAACCCCGTATTTGAGGAGCCACCCAATCTCCTCCCATTATGGGGCCATGCCGGTTGAAGAAGCCGAAAGGCGACGCTGGGTCATCCTGCAGACACCAAAAGTTATGAAGCAAATTGGTACAGGACCTTTCTATGTGGTGCACCTCTACTCCGGCCGGCGCCGAGAAGAAGATTTCCACTACTACATGCAGAAGTTCCTGGACAAGGGCCCGCAGAGGATCTCGCAATCAGTGCTGGTGATCTCCATCGACACAGCCATCGATGCCTCGATGAACATCCACGATGCGCACCTCTGGCAATTCTTGCTCATGACCGCCCGGGCTGGGCAATTATTGGCCCTTCTGCTGGGGCCCCCGTGTGAAACATGGAGTGGCGCTCGGTTTGAAGAGCAGCTCGATGACAAAGGCAAGCCAATGAAGGGGCCGAGGCCATTGAGAGGAGCACCTGATTTGTGCTGGGGGTTGACGCAGCTCAGCCTGAGGGAGCTGCTTCAAATCCAGGTCGGCAATAACCTCCTCCTCAAAGGTCTTCTCCTATGTGTCTGCGTGGCATGCGGGGGCGGCGCTGTTGCTCTGGAACACCCCGCGCCGCCCTTTCAGATCGAACGCCCTTCTATTTGGCGAACCGCCATTCTCAAGCTCCTCAGTGGCCCCGGAATGCCATTTCGGCAGCATACGTTTCAGCAATGGAAACACGGCGCCAAAGGCGTCAAGCCTACCACGCTGCTCTTTGCCAACGCCGCCATCCCGCGCACTTTCGCGGCCAATGAGCAAAGCCACCTGGTTAAGCCCACGACTCCATTGATCGGACGAGCCGCCGACGGAAGCTTCAAGACTTCAGCAGCCAAGGAATACCCGGCTGGCATGAATTTTTGTTTCGCAGAAGCTTTTGGGCTTCAAATCGAAGCCCGCTTCACACAGTACCAGCCTTCCGATTTCCCAACGGAAGTGCCAGTGCTAGCACAGCAGCTGGCAGTGATCTCGGCCTGCGTGGATCGCGACCGAAAGATCATGCCAGATTACCAGCCGATCTAAGGAGATCGATTTGTTTTAGCATGACCGCCACAGGCTAGACCTAAAAGGCCGAGCAAAAAAAAAAATATATATATATATATAGAGAGAGAGAGAGAGTGAGAGAGAGTGATGTTTGTATATTTAAACATCCATACAATTTTGAGAATTAAGTGGATATCATCGCAAAAACTCCATTTCTCGGTGGGCACAACTTACAAAATACTTGGGTTTGAACCAAGAGACCCGGTGATGAACATGTTTTCAAAAGCGGGAAAAAAACATGTGGGAAAGCGCACCGGTGAATCGGGCATTGGCCTTGCCAGGTTCAGGAACTATTACAAACACAAATAGGATGCCACCGTTCAAATGTGTTGAGAATCATCCCGCCGGGTAGGTAATTGAATGTGGCGGCGTTGCCATTTTGATGTTTGTGGATCCTGTGTCGTTTGTCGTTTTGCAGTGGATTTCATGTCTTTTTGTCAAGTTTGCGTCTCAATTCCGTTGGTCTTATTGTTTTTCTGTGCGCTGGCCATCAAATATGGACATTTCATCCCCAGAAAAGTATTCTATTTTTGGTGGGTCACTTCACAAAGTGACAGTGGGGCCATAGTTTTGGCACATGAAATTGGCTTCATGTTTGCCACGTTTATGGCATAACCACGGAATGCGGCACCGGCTGACCACACACTTTTCTAACCAGTTGCTGCAGTTTGTACACCAGGTGAGTTGCAGTCTTCGTTGGGTTCTCCATCGATCATCAGGATATTGCAATGACTGGCCATGGATTGCCAGACATATCACTCGGTCACCCGGTTTGTCCCAGGATATACCCCCAGTCTTAGCTAAAAAAGACATATTTATGATAAATTGACTGCTGGGGCACCCTATTTTTGGACACCAGATGTGACGATTTTCCAGCACTAACGGGTGGAGCCCCGTATGAGTGGTACGTCTGGTACGTCCTCACGGGTATTTCAGACCTGAATAGCCTCCCCCAATGTCACTGAGCAGTTGCAGAGAAAACCCAAAAAGAAACCAGAGGGTTTGTTCTGATGCTTGCTAGTCAATACACAAATTTGTTGGATGAACTGCCTATGCTCTAGCTGTATTGATCATCTCGAAGTTGAATATATTCCCCTTTTGTGTTGCTAGATCCGTACGTTTTTGATTTGTAGGGGAACTACATATTTGAAATCAGGTCCCATTTTTTTTGGAACAGTGGTGACAAACACAAATAGAGGGTTCCTCCTGTTTCCTCTACAAACATCACGCTCTTGGAAAGGTTGCCGTCATATGCAATACCATGCTATAGTAAGATGTTGTTTAATTGTGGAATGGAATTCGGGTTTTTTAGTAAGATATAGATATGATATAGAACGATGCTTTTCACACAATGGGAAACATACAAAGTATGTCGGATTGATATATCTCTTTTGTTTGCATGGGTTTAATGTAGATTATCACGGATTATGATAGGTTATCACACAGGTTTTTATAGATTATCATTGGTTTTCATAGATTAACAAATTAACATATGTTCTTTCCATGTTGTTCTTGTATTTTTGCTGCCTTCCCTTGACCCGCCTACCAATACATCGAGGTGAAGAGTATCAACGGAGAGGATGTGATGTCGCAGGCGTCGAACACTGGTTATGGTGGTTCATGGTAGATATATGGGTTTAATAATAATATGTGGGTACCCCCAAATCATCCATTTATAGATGGGATCTTCCATTATAAACCAGCCATTGTGGAAATCCATGGCAATCCTCTATTTATGGAACCCCCATATGGGTTTAATCATGTTTAATCTACGGCTAGGTCAAGTGCGTATTGTGCACTAGGAACACTGGATTGCTATCACACATTGGCTCTCTAGCTTGACCCATAGCCGCGACAGGACTTTGACGTGATCATGAAAAAGTTGGGCGATGAGGCATTGGGCTATTCCAGATTTGTTGCTTGGCGCTGTAAAGAGGATTCCCCTAGTATTGCCTTTATTCTTAGGGTTGATGGGTTGTTTGAAAATTGCATTAGACCAACCATTTTTCGGGGATATATATAATGGGACGGACAGAGATATCATGGGATAGTGCAAACAATGTGATTTTGGGGTGTGTTTGAGAACGGGGCATACCGGCAAAATAACAATCTTAATTACAATACATGATCAACCTGTGGATTGAGGGGTGCCCTATTTAAAACAAAGCGGAATTGAGGTGGAACCACACATGGGATTAGCTATGTCGGCTATGTAATTGGTTTGCATTTTGCTTCGGATATTCGCAATTGTTAGGAGGTAAATGATCTGAAGACTGACACTCTATCAACTTCTAGGATCATCCATGCAGAAAATGAAGTCTGCAAAAATGATTCGCCGACCTCGTCACAAGCCTCACGATATATTATATATATATACAAACGAAGACATGGAATAGTAATGAAAATACCACACGCAAAATGGGACTTATACCACATGCAAAATGGGACTTTTCAACTGGTCAATGGTATATGTAAGGATCATTTTCAGCTGGGCACGGAAGAATGGCATACAGCCGTACAGCCCCTTGTTACTAACAATTTGCTTACTTCCAGGACCATTCAAATATGAGAAGCGTAACACGGGAATGGGGATTCCATCCTTCCCCATGAGCTGGAAATCTTGCCAATCTGACTGGGTAAATTGACCTGGTGAATAGTTGCTGTGTAAATGTTGTTTGCATCCATTTTTTTGCCCCATAATGGTTTGAAATTCGCACTCTAGAACGATTATTTCCCAATTTGAAAGTGCATGTTTTTTCCCATCGTCTCTTCCAGTTCTTTTCCAATATCCCTCCCAGTACCTGGCACCAATTTCGGAGTGCTTTATTGCAGGTTTCTGCAGCGGCTTGGTCGTTTTCATAAGGTCAAGGCTCCCATGGATGTGGTCTTTGCGGCATGAGGGGCGAGCGACGCGAGCGATGGCGATTTTCGACCGAAACTGCAGGACCTGCGGTGAGGAAAAGAGCTGTGGCATGCTGCGGCCCTGCGGCAAAGGGTGAGCAGTGAGCACTTGAAATCTCTTGAAATGCAGCGTGCCCTTTGGTTAAAAATTCATATGCCCTTTGGTAATCAAAGGTGTCAATGGAAAATCCTCCTCACTCAATGGACATGTTAATGGGAAAATTATCTATTAGTTTTTTCCCAAAAAAAACAAATTTGATTAGTGTGGGGTATATCACTAATTCTGAAGAATCCCCAGGTCGAGCATGTGATCCGTCAACAACTAGTTGAGAGGGAATGTTTATTGCTTGGATTACTGGGTATGCGAGATGTCACAGAAAAACCCGAAATGAATGCTCTATTGAAGCACATTTTGGGATAGGAACTGTGTCACCGAGTTTTGACACATTCTCAATGAGCCAGGCTGACATTTCGCATTGAGCATACTTATAAGTGACCGACATTCCCAAGCTATGAAATGACTTTGGACAAGGTCCATTTAAAATTCCACTAAATTCCATTTATATCATATCCCATTTAAATCCTATGATAATCCATAGGTATATTCCCATTACACCCATTTTTACCAGTGATTTGGATGGTGGATTTGGCATTGCTTGGTCGTAGAAGGGCAGAGTAGCCTTGGCCTCCAATGCGTTCTTGGATGTGCATCCCCGGAAGTGTAAGTGGTTCATAGGCCATATGACTGGGGATATTCCAACCATTGAGTTATTTCACATGGTGATAAGTTATTACATGTTAATTACTAAATTACCATATTTACCATTTGATTACCCCACTTTAAGTGATTTCAGATCGTGAATGGTGATAGGTTACCCTCTGGTAATTTAACATAGCTATAGAAAATCGCCATTTCCAATGGGAAAATCCACTATAAATGACCATTTTCAATAGCAAACTGTTAGTTTACCAGAGGGTATTACCATTGAATTCCCACTTATACTAGCTGTGCAAAGTACCTCTCTAGTAGGTATTGCTGGCAGGTCCTGGGCTGCTGGTTTCACATGTTGTTCACTTTCCGCTGGCTGATGATCTTGAATGACTTAAGCATATTTTTTGGGGGACTCGTTTCACCACACATAAGTGGGTTTCTACTTACATGTGTTTTTATCTAGAAGGCTGGAAACATTTTGATTTGCTAGGTTGACAATGGCTGACAGCTTGATTTTCAGCGAATTTGCAACAATTCTATATCCCACTCAAATTCATTTTTGGAGGCGAAGGGCAACGAACCCACCAACGACATGCAACAACGCCCAAGGAAGACTGCGATGATGCTATGAGGATCAAAAAGCGGTGCGAGGTCGAGGGTGATGTAGATACCAGGTACAACAGAAAAAGACATGTTTTGGCCAAGAAACTCGATGGTGAATGGCGGGTGAACGAAGACAAAATGGCGGGATGACCAGAAACGGATCCCGTCGTAGCCGTGAAGGATGCAGCCAATTTTACCCTGAACGGTGAAGGATATACTGTACCCTCTGGTAAATTAACAGTTGGACCCTGAAAATCACCAATTTTTAGAGGAAAGTAAACTTCCAACCCCTATCTAACAGGGTCTATGTTAATTTACTGGAGGGTATATGATAAATGGGCAGCGAAACATTCTTTTTTTTCCGGGTTATCTAAATCAATGGGAATTTAATGATCCTAAAATGGAGGTACTGTACCATATAAAGCCATAGATGCCATAGAACTTGGGGGCATATCCCCTTACTATACACGCCCTTACATTTCGGTACCTCCAATAAATCGGTTCCTGTTGCATGGCCATTGGCAAGATTCAGCCACGTGTTCCTTGGCTGTGACACAAGCTGATGGCTTGTTGATGTTCGACTCAGAGGGGATTGGAATGATCCCCCCAAATTCATAGTGAAGGTTTGTGAAATCTAGGGCTCCATGGGTTTGGAATTAAAGATCTATGTCCACCACAAACATCCAGGAACCCTGCATAGCTAACTTGCTTATAAATATTATACCATTTGGTAATCTAACATGGCTATGGAAAACCACCAATTTATATCTAGCAAAATCATCTACCAACGGGCCTTTCCCCTTAGCCATGTTAAATAACCGGAGGGTAGATCTCCTATGGACCTTATTAATATACATAGTACTGTCACGGGATTGGTTTAAGGGAACATTTACAGGAAACCATTTTCTTTACCATCAAATATAGTTTATTAAATATTCCCATCATCCAATTCTATGATAAACTATTTTATAAACTATATTTGATGAAACTTTATTAAATGTTCCCATTCACTATAGTTTATTTATTTATACTATAAACCAACTTGGCACTTTCTATGGAGCGCCACGAGGAACTATGGCACTCACCTGCGATCCCATGATGTGAAAACCCGTAAACTCTGAGTGATAAAAACATTGTTTTATTAAAAATGTGTCCTATCATTTTTCCTTATTTAATGGGAGATCTTCAGGATCCAATTGATCCAATTGATGGAGCTACGTAAACGTACCATATTTCTGACCATATTTTGTGGTGTATTCCATTTGTTGCCCTTCTGTCGCAGTAAACCGCAACGCTTGGCTGGGCTCAAGCTTGCGGCCATGGCGAAGCCAACTGAGCCGCCGGGCGACGTGGCACCGCCAGAGCCGCCGCGATCCTCGCGCGTTTCGAAGCGTGAAGGGTCGCCACGGCGGTTCTTCGCGTCCAGCGACAAGGAGTTGGATGAGATCTCTGAAGGAGAAACTTGGTTCAGGATATGATGTTGTTCTTTATTTATATTCTTTTGATGTTGATGATATAGGGTTTAAGTCAGTGGTTTTATATGGTTTTCACTAATTGAAATTGGCCTTGGCCCGTGAGACATGGCTGGGAAAAAACACGCATACGATCAAATTTGAAGTCCATTTTGGAGGTACTTTTGTATACTTTTGAAACATTGTAACGCCATTCCCCTGTGGAAGCTTCAGGGTGGAGATGCTGGGACAGAACCCGTTCGTGCCAGTTCACTAGCATGGTAAACCCATGGTCCTCTCCTCCATTGCAAGGAGCTGCCACCATTTCCCAGAAATTCCACTTACTGTACTCAAGCAAGTAAAATTATGTAAACTCCGAGTGATGTCCACCGTGGCATATTGGATCCTGAATCAGCTGATTCTGTGGCTGTTTCGCTGATAGCCACCTCTAAATCCACTGGTGAAGCATCGATTTCTCATCATTGAAATGGCCATTACCTGCCATTATAGTATTGCACACATATATATATATTGTAGTATTATAGTATATGCCATTTTAGTATTACATGCCATTATACATATATATATATATACAGTATATATTTTTCTCAGACACACCAATCAATGATATTGTGGTTTGCGTACCTCATCATATGCCCATTTATAACTACCCAATCATAGTTTGGAATCCATGAATGTCTCCGATGAGTGGGCCATGCTTTGGTCATATAAATTGGTGAGTCTTGGGGCATCATATTTTTCGACCGAATTTTGCGATCGGGACTTCTCTAAACAGTCCAACGCGGCCCTGGACTTAGGACGTGAATGTAACTCATTTGAAAAGTCGCTTGGATGTAGATGTGAGAGGGAGGGTAGGTCCAACAAATTCGTTGATTTCAGTTTAAAACCATCCATTTTCGTTTTGGGGGTTGCTAATTTTGAGCCATCCACAACAGATGGGAAAAGTATATGGGTCAAAAAAACTCCGAAACCCGGTCGAAGATCCCAAAAAAGAATATATATATATATAATACACACACATCAATTCAATCCGACATATTCGTGCCACATATAATTACGCATAGAATTGCACAACATACGCACATGAATAACTGGATGGTGGTTTGGATCCTTTTTATTTACCCTCATATATTAAGGGAATGTCATCATCCCAACTGACGAACTCATATTTTTCAGAGGGGTAGGTATACCACCAACCAGATTATCAATAACCATCATTAATCATCATTAAATCACCATTAAATCACTATTATATATTTGATTTAAAGCACTATGTTAACACTATAAAACACGATAAATCACCATTAAATCATCATTAAATCACCATTATAAACAATGTTGCGGATGTTTAACTATTCGGGTGTTTGATGCCAGCAAGCCAGCTGCTTGGCTTGACCTGGATTCCCCTGGATATCCCGCAGGGATCAGGCCGCAGGCCTTAGGCGGATCACCGGTTTCCTGTAATTTCATGTGAGTTTTCCGTGGCAACTCAATGAATCTGGCATTGTGTGCCTTGGCAAAGTGGGTTAAGATACAAACATGTCATTTTGATATATATGTTTTAAGCGGGCATTTGGTAAATCAAGCATGACTTGCCGAAAAGCCTGTCCATTCACCATTTCTTAAAATGACTCTCCCATCGACAAAAAGGATTTTAAGGCAAGCCATGTTTGATCACCCGAGGGTAGCTCCAATCTCAAATGCTGGGATTATTTGTGGGTATAGCGATGCTTACAAGCACCACTATGACCACTATATACAGATATAATATAATATATATATATATAAACCCCGTAACTATGGCGATATACAGTGTATACCCCCACTTTTTGCTGGTTCTAGGCTGGTTTATAAACTCATCCAACTATCGCATATATCGCATAGCCACCTAAACATCCATAAGTTTCAGGGATCCGCATCTCAGGAACCGTAAGTGGATGATTCAGCCACCAATCTAGCTGGAAAGATTCCACACTGCTGGGTGAATCTCTCCACAAACTTGGTTATTTAGTATGTGACATGGTCAAACACATAGTTCAATACTATTCATTGTATAGTATCTTAATATTCTGTGTGTGTATGTACATACATATATATATATATCTCTCTCTCTCTCTCTCATGTGTATACATATACTGTTCATTTTCCCAAAGGAGGGGACGGTCATCCTCTATTCGACTCGGGGGTTGGGGCCAGCATTGAGGTGATGAAAAAGAGGTGAACGTCGTCGAAAGTTATTTTCCAGGCCGGAATGGCTGGTGGGATGTTCCGGTCAATGAATGCTGGGGATACAGAAACTTCAACATGGCGATTTCATAGTCATGGGCCCATAGCTGGATGGTTTATAATGGTGTTCATACCATTATAACGGATGATTTGGGGGCACCCCTATTTCACGAAATCTCCAGGGCTGGGCCTTTCATCCAGAACTTGTGGGGGAAAATCATTGGGTTCATCAGAAATGGTGGTCAACCAACTGCTGAATGGTAGGTTACTCAGCATCTTTACCGGGAAAAATCGATGAAATCAGCGAAACTAAATCTGTTCTTTTTGGGACATTCCCATGATGGTCCTTGGAAGCCATTGGACCGTGGTTTCTTCTATATGTTACCTTCAAAAAGTTCCCGACGTTACCTATTTGTCGGGAGACCGGCAAGTTCCTTGCCATCGCTGGCCGCTGGCCCATCTCAGTGGATTCGCCAGGCACGACTGACATGAACCTGGAGAAACGCAGGACGACTTGGGAATTGAGAAACGCTACCCTCTGGTAATGACTAAACATGGCCATAGAAATAGTTGATTATAGTCAACTATAGTCGTTATAGTTGATTTACCTATTAAAAGGTGTGTTTTTTTCATAGAGTTTTGTATATTTACCAGAGGGTAATTATTGATCACCCACGCCATGGTTGATTGGTTAGTGCATATTATCTAGATGTTGCTGCATATGCCCCTCCGGTGTCCTCAAACGTGGCTATGCTGAGAAATCCAATATACACGAAGGTTTTAATTGTTTTAATGAGAAAATCATCGAGCTAAGTGGTGCATTTTCCAGTAACCCACCTTTGATTAGCAGATGTTGGAAATGATCGTCCATTCTGGGAATCAGTATCGCAACCAAGCAGATTTTCAAGACATCCCAGACATTTTTGACCACTGATGTGGTGACGTCAGGGCGGAATGATGGGAATCGGAGTGCGGGAATCACCTCATTCGCGAGCCGTATGATAGCGATGATTTTTAGATGAGTGAGTTATGTAGCCAGTTCAGCCCGGACATGCCGGGACGATGCAACCATTTTGTCAATGTTCATTTCAGGAACCTAAAATGGAGGTACTATACTATATAAGGCCATATTTTGTGGGTATATTCCCTTACATAGGCCTTACATAGGCCTTATATAAGGTAGGTACCTCCAATTTAGGACCCTGAAATTCCCATTGAAATGTGCAGGGTATCTGAGATTATCCCTGGGTTGTGTCTTTTTGATTGTTATATCCATCATCCCATGGGGATGTAGGTAATTTAACTGTTTATAACCTTGGTTGGCGAAGGTAGACCGCAAAGGGCATTGAACCCGTAGGAAGATGTTACAATGATTGAGCAGATTGATGGGATCTATGGCCAATATCATAATGTCATGGCATATGGCAGCATTAAACTCCGGCAATTGAACAGTTTGCTATGGAACATGACCCATTGATGGTTTGCTGATTGAAAAGTAGTGATTTTCCATAGCTATGTTAAATTACCATTTTCATGTCGTTATTCGGTTGGATTGTCCCGGATGTGGGGAGCCAACCAAGGGCAAATTGTTGCATCGTTTATGCAAGATCTCAATTGTTCCCAAGACGGAAGCGTAAAGAAAAAGATGGGGTCCAGTGCTGTGAATGGGGTCCAGTGCTGTGACCCAGATTGTTTTTGAGAGACTGAAGGTACAACATATAGGCCTCGTCAAAAAGACCTTGATACTGTGCTGAGCACCCGGACTGACTGAAATGATGAAAGTCTACGGGCATAGCGGATTGCTCAGAATTCGCAGGCAAGTTGATCGCGACCGAGGTATCAAAGAGTATTCAGACAATGAAGCATGGGCCGCGCAAGCAAGGAGTAAGTCGCATGAGGAAGTGCAACGGCAAGCGGTTGCATCTCAGGCAAGGTGAGTTGGAGCTCAGCGAAATGTTAGACCAAAATTACGCCCTTCTTTTCTGGCTTTCTTTGAGACTTGGCTTTGGCTTTCGTGTTTTCCTTCTTTGCTGGTGTGTTTGTTTGCCAAGGGCGCCCCTTTTTTAAAGCATGTCGTGAGCCCACCAGCAGGCCATGCATTTTGTGGCACCTTTTTTTGCTTTTGGGCAGACTCATTTTCAGTCATGGCATGCCCGATCCACTTGCGGCAGATGATTGGGTTCCAAAATCACCCAAAATTGAATAACATTGACTTTGGGTCGGTTTATATGAAGCCACTTATGCGGCGTGACCTTTGTGGGTTACTTGCCACCATGAACACTTTTAGATTTATCACTCCCCAAAACATGGATGATTACAATTACAACCTTGAGGAAGATCAGAGAACACCAAGGGGGGTTTAGCTGCCCCGCTCCTCTGGTAGTCACTGGTTTAATTATCATCATTGTTCCCCCTAAGTGGTTGTTTATTGGGAATGCCTTTTCAAAACACACCTAAGATCATGTCAAGTTCAAGTTGGCTACGTATCCCCAAAGAATATCCCAATCGTATCCCCCAAAACAGGAAATTCATGGGTAACCCCCTATAGTATTGTTCGTTAAATCAATACTTTGTTGGGTTAAACCACCATGTGTGGATGGTTAAATTTCAGTGGTGCTCCAACCTATTATAGGACAATGATAGCCATAAGGGGAGTTAGATGTGCCACTTACTGCTTTATTTTTCAAGTCTTCCCCCTTGTACCTGGGGTATTGGGCGCAACCCTGTACTGTTGATGATTTTAGAAGGTTATACCAGCACTTTTTTTGTGTGCCGTTTTTCGTCTCCAGGACCATGATGAGTGAAAGATCCGATCGCTTTTCCTACCTCTCCGTGCAGCCCCTCGGCGCATTGCAAGGCAATGAGGGTCTGGCTAATGGGACCCCCATTTCCATAATTTTTCCATACTACGGACAATATGGAGTTCTCCTTAAACTGGTGGATCCCCAAAATGGATGGTTGATAATGGAAAGTCCTATCAAGATAGATGATTTGGGGGTACACCCATTTTAGGAGACCTCCATGCAGGTGCTTCTGAAATTGGACTAGTATTGGAAGGGCGGTCCCATCATTAGTTTAGTCCCTAAAAATTCCACTACAGAATTTGGAGAAAACACCCATGGATTACTGTCAAAATGTCACAGATTCGGAGTAATTAAGAAGCATCATGGTAAAAATTCAATGGATTCACCCTGCCAAACTTTGAAATCAATCTATGTCATGGAAGGCTATGCGTAAAGCTGGTACGAGTATCAGCCAACTGAGCAAGGTTTAACAGTTAATTAAACATGAGTGGGGATTTATTCACGCGAAAAGGTAGATGGCCAAGCTAGTGAGTAACTCTGGGCGGGCATTTTTTTACGCAACATTGCATCAACATGCATTGATATTTGATGATATTTGTGTGTTCTTACATATGCCATCAATATCCTTGACAAACATCACTGTATCCTCCAATTTGTGGAGCTGAAATGGCTGCAGAAACAGCTACAACCTTGCGAAACTGTTCCAAATCCTATCTCTCAGTTACCATCCGCTCAACACAGAAGCCACCCAGGGAGTTGGAAGTCAATGGTCATGTGGATGGGTCAAAATTGAAGATTCAGAGGACTACAGATGTTACCCTCCGGTAAACTAACATGACTATGGAAAATCACCATTTTCAATGTCAATGGGTAAATCCACTATAGATCACCATTTTCAACAGCTATGTTAGTCATTACCAGAGTGTAGTCTATGTTTAGTATTACCATCTGGAAATTTAACATAGCCATGGAAAATAACCTTTTTTAATAGGTAAAACATCTATAAATGGGCCATTTCCCATGGCTATGTTAAATAGCCAGATGGTAACCATCTTTTGGGGTCCCCAATTTTGACCCATATAGCCGATGCCCAAGGAGAAGTGAAATTTCGCGTCCCGAGTACAAACAGAATGCGCTACCGCCCCTACTCGTGGCTCGGGCAGTGTTCAAGGTTTTGGGGAGCGATACTCACATCGACCCCTAAGAAATGTTGGCACCGGAATGGCACCGGGTGTTTTTTTGAATGTTCGCTCTTTCCCACATGATCAAATGACTTCAAATGTTTGTTTAGGGCGCTGTGGCTAAACTAAGCTCGTCGGATTTGGGTGACAGGGATGACCAAGATGATTGGACATTGGCTCTGGTGCAGGTGCCAAAAGCCCGGAGTGTTCACCATCATTCACCATCAATATTTCTGAAGTTTCCAAAATCAGTTTCAGGGGAAAAATGTAAACCCCTATGTCATCCACGGTGCCTCAAGACCATGGCTTTCGTGTACAGTTGTTTCCGCGGTTCAATCCGATGATGAATGTAGGGAAGATCATGTCACCACTGGTCTTGTCCAAATCCCATTCCCTCCTTCTTAAACAGCCCAGAAATGGTCCCAAATATGTGTAAACATACATAACCCCGCTACTAAACCATGACGTATGTGGGGTCTTCAATATTATGGGCATGAGATTGTTGCAAGTTCACATAAGTTCACCAAATATTGATCAACCATGGAATGTAGCATCATTTTGTTAGAATAAATCCTTTCTGATCGAACTCATTGCAACAGCCTTACAGGAAGGTTGCGGGCCGCTGAACTGTATGTGGTATTGTGGTGAACCCAATAATGAGGCTACCATTAGGGGATAGTTTACACCACGCATTTATGGCAATATACGGCAATATTGGGGATTGTGTTTTCTTGATTTGCCACATTAGGGACGTGATACGCTCGTCTGAGTATGGCAGTAACTTGCGAAATCTTGTGAATACTGTGGCCAGCTTATGCCATCTTATGTCTGGATATTCCAATAGTTTCAATATGTTTCAGTACACAATATCCATGGAAGTCTCATTTCACCAAGCTGTTGAAGACCTTTGCTTTGCCATTGACAGAATTGGGTTCATCCATCGACAAATCCACCCTTCGACCACCGGTTCATCATAAGTTTCTCCGCCAAGATAGCCATAACTTGTTGGTTTTATGCCAAGTAGTTTAAAAATGTGTGTTCCAAACAAGTGTCCATACACATCCCATAATCCACAATTTAAACGGCAAGTATCCATCAATACAAACAGGCGGTCCATCCCTAAAGGATCCCTCTTGGGTTTCCAAGAGAGAAAACTGTCCGCTTCGGCATTGAGGTGGTCTTCGCGTGTTTTGTGGCAGCGTTCTTGGGACTAGTTGTCGCCGGCTTGCACGACATGATCACGCCCCTTGGATGACACATTGGAAGCTCTTGGGGGTCATTGGATTTTTTTTATAGCCCCCAAAGCGATACCAAAAAGAATGAAATGCAGAAATAACACTAATTTTTAAGTCATCTTACCACCGGCTTCACTGGGGAAAACACATGAAATGACTATAGATGGAACATATGGGGAAAATAGGTACTTGTTAACCTAATTATTTTGGGACAATATCGGGGATATCATTGAGCTATAATGGGATCCAAATTGTGGTTTACCAATGAGCACCAGAATTGAAACAACACAAAGGTACCATATGACATGAAAAGCTAGAAAGTATATGGGGAAAACATAATGAAACATGAACATAAGATTCTGGAAACACTGTTTGATTGATGTGGGAACCTCTAGATAATAGAATTCGGTGATTTAAGCAGCCAAACATGGGGATTCAACCAATACTGTGGAGTTTGTTCCATCGGCATGATTGTGAACTAGACATGAAAATCGGTGGCTGACACCAAAAACTAAGTGTAATAGGGCTAATGATGATGAACAGGTATAGCCAGTTTGATAAGTCTCCAAATCAGCCCACCACTCCCTACGCGCTTCTTGCCAACGGGTTTGGGCACCCCCTCTACTGCTGCGTACTCGAATCCTAGGGGCTCTAGATGGCGCAGATGGGGAATGGCCTACTCTTTCCGGTGGATGATTTGGATGTGCATGATATGACCTCAAGCATTGTAGCCGTTGTATCGCGTCCGCTGTGTGGCCCTCCGCATGACGACCGTTGGGGGCGGCTCCGGGGTGCACAGGGAACTCGATAGGAAACCTCCTGCCCCAATGGAGTCGCCCCCACTCCCTCCTTGGGACTCTCCGGTTGACACCACAAGCCTCAGTGAGGTGGCCAAGGACTTCGAAGGCTTGTTGGATCACCAAGATGAGGGACATAATTTATATAATAAAAAGTGGAGATAGAATGAGATATGAAACAAGAATGAAAACTGATTTGGGTGAATTTGAACACGAAGTATAAGGTTATATCCTATCGAGTGTACAATTTTTTTTGTGAAGATGAGCAGCGCCCAGAGAGACACACAATAGTTCGAACGTAACAGGCCTCCGCAAAAGTCCTGAAACCGAGCCCCTGAATTGGATCTTCCTGAAGCGTTTGAGAGCCCCCAGAATAGCGGAGTGCCATCAGATTATAAGCTCCTGCTGCACAGCAATCAGTCAGTTGGCTCTTCCCGGCACGTTCCTGTCGGAGAAAGTGTTGGGTTTTACAGGGCAGGGGTTTCAGACTCATAATTTTCAAGCGGCAGTTTTGGGCAGCTATTTTCCCGCGACACTGCGGTGAAAGCGATTCCCGGATAGGTGTGTGAGGGTTCCAACTATATATCGCCAAATCTCCAATGCGAAGTGCCAGCTCACCCTTCAGGAGATTCTCACACTGGATGTCCCAATGGGAATGCAGAGACCTGTGATGTTCGAACTGTTGCGTGTCTTTTTTTGCGCTGCTCATCTTCAGAGGGACACCAACATCTCATTATACACCCGCAAGTACCCATAAATGATGGATTTAATATGTATTCTTTAATATTTACAGCATATATATATATACACATATATAATATACATATTATATTCTATATATATATATATATCGAAGGAAGTTCAAGTTTAGAAGTCAAACTTCCGACAATATGGACAGATGAAAAGCAGAGGTGGAGCAGAAGAATTTGAAGAGAAGAGCAGAAGAGAGAAGATCAGAGAAGAGAAAGGGTCAGAAGAAAGAGTCAGAAGAAAGAAGATGCAGGTGCGCGAAAAGGTAGGAAAGTCGCAGAACACTGCGTTTTTCCAATGAATTGTGGCTCCAGAGGGTCGAAAAGTAGGCTCGCTAAAGAATGTGCGGAGCCAGCTGGCCGGATGAGAGATAAAAAATTGCACGCCGTTGTGGTGCGAAGCACATTTGCAAGTGAAAAAGCTAAAAACAACTCACGTTCGGACCACTTTTGGAAGTTGAGATGTCGAAAAAGTGCACGCTGTTGTGGTGCGAAACGCATTTCGAAATCAAATGTACAAATCACCTCAGCTTCGGAATACTTTTAAAAGTTGCGGTGTCGAAAAAGTGCACGCCGTTGTGGCGCGAAGCACATTTCGAAGTCAAAATGTTAAAAACATTACATGTTCGCGCCACTTTTGGACGTTCAGATGTCGTTTCGCGTGGCAGGCGCAGGGGATTGTGGACCTTGTCAAAAGTGAGCAAAACGTGAGGTTTTTTTTTTTATCTTCAACGAGGAATTCCTGGAAAGTGCGATAGGTTTGAAGAGCTGCAGCTGGAAGCATGTTAGACAATGCTCCTTCTGAGCTCCAAACCTTGCATTGTTGGAAAACTCTTTTCCATTGGGTGCTGCATGTGCCACCACGTTGAGGAACACTAAACCATTCATCACCTAGCATTTCCAAAAACGATGGCAGGCGTGGGACATTTGAAGAGGATCTGCAAAGATGCATTTTCCGTGGCAGGCGCAATACAAGAGACATGTTCATCAGAGCTGTTAGGAGGTCCGGGCGCTGATTTCCTGAGAGTGGTTGCATTTTGGAGCCTCAGATTCTCAGGCTTGCTGAGATGATTTTGCAAGACAGGTGCAGCACTTCGTATGACCTGGCATCACTTTTTCGTGGCAGGCGCAGTAGTTTAGACAGATGGCCTGGAAAAATCGCAAAACGCATTGTTACGAGGCCGTCAGCTCTGCACTCAACTTTCCATTTTTGAAGGGCGTCTCGCAGAATTGCTTCGTTTTTGATGTTGTCAACTTTAAAAAATAGGAGGTCTCGCAGAATTGCTTCGTTTTTGATGTTGTCAAGTGCAAAAATTGAGGAAGTCTCGCTGAATTGCTGCGTTTTTCAATTCTACTTCATTGATTTCATTCTGAGAAGCAATTGATCATTACAGGGGTGATTGAGCGAATAGATAGATAGATAGATAGATAGATAGGTAGATAGATAGCTAGATAGATTGGTAATTGGATGAGACACAGAGAGAGAGACATGTAGGTAGGCAGGTAGATACTCAGAGAAAGAGAAAGAAAGAGAGAGAAAGAGAAGAGACCTCAACCACCTGTCGGTCCATCAGTGGCTTCGCTCTGCCATCCGTGACTCACAACAACCAATCTCTCCTATAGGTTTCCTATTTTTGAGACTTCCGCGACCGCCTTGTGCGGTACTACTGGTACTCATATATGTATATATATATATAATATATATATATATATATATATTATATATATATTGATTGATTGATTGGATATATTACCCCATATTACCCCCATTTTTCGAAGTACTTGGAGGCTCTAGGTAGCCTCCAGACCATCAGCCCTCTATTCGCCCAAGCTCGCAACGGAGGTACGTAGGGTGTCCTTTGGGCATCAACGGATGCAACTCTTTTTCAGGCACGACAAGAGGGAGGGAACAGCACCCCGAAGCATTATCCAAAACAGTGAAGTGCCCTAAAGTCATAGATATTAATGAGAATAATGGGATATTAATGGAATATGTCATTTGATTTTAAGGGATTTAATCATCAATAATAGGGCATACCCTCCAGTAACTTCCAGTTTGCTATGGAACATGGACCGTTTTTTTCGATGACTTCATCAGAGGGTAATGGGGATGGAATACTTATTGACTCCAGCTTTGCAGTATGGTTGTTGGTTCTGAAAGAAGTATATACAGTATATAAGTATATAGTTGATTCCTGGAGTTGTCCTGTTTCCAAGTAGTGGAAACTGACCATTCTTGCTTTCCAGCTAGACTAAGTGGAATGATCATCGAAGTAGCTTTTGCGCAAGCAAGGTGGAAGCTCGAATTCACCACAATTTCTGAATGTAAGCAAGAGACTAAGATTCCCTGCTGCAGTCCAACATGGTAAAGCCTGATTTCTGCGGGGAGAGTCATGTCATATTGATAGATTGATAGAAAATAAATAGTTTGATAGATCGATATATAGATAGATAGATAGTTTGATAGATCGATATATAGATAGATAGATAAATAGACGCATTATTGCACATTGATGACATGCGCCATCCCAAGCGATAGAACAATCTTTCCAGGGTGTCAAATCCAGGTTTCCCGGTTTCCAGTGTTTTTAAGAAATTATTTAAGGTGTGCTATAAATGATGATTTTCGATCGAACATCCCCAGATTTTGCCTAATGACCTGGATGCAGGCAAAGGCTATGAGAAGAAAGGATATCTTCTGTTGCGACTTGGCATCAAAGCCCTCCAACCAATGGGTGAATGGTAGCCGTTTGATCCATTTTGATGGCTGATGTTTGTGCCATTTTGATCCATTTTGATGGAAACCATTAATCATCTATACAAAAGGATGTAAATAAAAAAAACTCTCCATTGCCATGTTTGATTGCCAAAGCGTCGCAGATTTTGTTTCATGCAACCACTCCAGACATTTTTTCCATCTCTGAAAATTCAAAGATCTAAGGGAAGCAGGCCATTCAGCAGTGGATGGCTTGGGGTTGGCATCTAACTTTTGTGCAGGGATTTGCGCAGGTTCCTCCTCCCAAGTGATTTCGTACCCCGAGCTTACAGTGTTTTGCGTGGCCTCAGAAATAAACTCTGGCCTGGATTGATAAACCCCTGGGCCGCTTTCAACAGACCAGGGTTTATTGATCCCCTTTCCTATCCCATCATGTTGATTAGTAAATATATGTCCCTTCAATGTTATAAATGTTTTCATCATCCCCAATGAATCAGTGAGTATAACCTCTGGTAAAGTACCATAACTATGGAAAATCACACTTCTCAATGGGAAAACTCACTATAAGTAGCCATTTTCAATAGCTATGTTAGTTTACCAGAGGCTATCCCTCCGTTTCACCAAATCCAGATGAACCCACCAGCATCAGGAAGGCGTTGGACGATGTGCCTCCCGATGTGATCTTCATCGTGATGGCCTTTGTGTGTCTTCTGCTAATTGGAATCATCGCGGATACGGTACGGGAGAACTACGCGAGCCTCGAGCCCGGTGTGTCCAGTAGCCAATATCACTGGGTTGATGAGAGAGGGTAGATGTGCTCACTTCATTCCAGTTGATCGAATTTCGTTTGGCTGGATCCTCATGTGGATGCTATAAAACTCCCGTGCATTTGGGGTCAATCCTGTTTTGACAGGGGCTAATGCTCACCCTTAATGGAAGCATGTACTGCGCTGGGTAAATTATAAAGACCTCACTGGAATCATGGTTAAGGGAAATCATCCCCAAATGGCCTTAATTCAAGTTTGTGAAATATGATCATTTACCCAGTACTGCCCCATTCAGATAGCTTCCCCTGGTTGACCAGTGGGATGTGTTGGGACATGTTGGGACCTCGAGGTGGGTTTCTGGGGGATATAACGATCTAATATATATATATATATATATAGAGATTTAGATATAGATATATACATGTCAATAGAACACAGGCCACCAGTAACAGTATTCTAATATAAATATATATACATATATTAATATTTAAATATATATATATATATATTAATATATATATATATATATTATAATACATATAATACACATATATATATATATACACATTATAATACATATATGTATACATATATGTATATATATATATATATACATATGTATCTACACAATAGTATTCATAGGGGTTTATAAAAACTTATAAACCAAATTGGAACTAGGGGGACAGCCTACCTTTCTGGGAATGAGCCATGAAATCCCCAAATCAGCGGTTTGGCCGTTTGGCCTACCAGTAACCATGGATTTGATACGATCTCTGTTCAAGTTTCCAGCATCCGCACCACGAAATGTTGTCCTAATATGTTTCACGCAATTACAGCACTTCACTCCATGTTTGATTGGTGAAACCTCAAATCTGCAGTTAGCTAGCTAACTCCCCATGTTTTTTTGTTTTAATTCGATGTCCTTCCATTGGATCCCACTTTGAACTCAGGAAACAAATCTTGGGTGGTGGGACCGTGCAATCGCTCTTGGCTGTGGCTGCTGGTGTGCCCATCCCTTTCAAATGTGCTGCTCGATGAAACTCATGGCAAAATCCAAGGTTGGTTCAAAATAGGCGCCTCAAATTCCGATGGATTATCATGATTTTCGACATTCAAGTGACATTTGGGCATGCACCAATTTCACACCCATACAGATGGCGAATGATTCAAGCGGATTTTCACACCTCATACTGGCCGCTGCTGTCAGTCTTGAAAGGTAGCGATGAATTCCAATGACCTCACTGTGTCTTCTGAAGTGATGCTTAGGATTAAGGGAATCATCCCCAAATGGCCGTGAGATAACAGGTATTTTGAGGTGTGCATTGCCATCATTCAGAACCTTAGTGTCTTGTTGCTGTACGTTCCATGCGTTTTGGCGGTAGGTTCCGTGACGTGCGTTTTGGGACCGGTGCGTCGTTTGACGCAGTTTGTTTCCATGTTCAATTTGTTTTTGGCAGACTAAGAAAAAGCAAATAGGATGGTTCCAGTGCAATGTTTCTGCACCGCCCAAAAACTATGCAGCATTTTCAGTTTGCATTTTCCAAGATGCAAAAAATGCAGGTGGCGACTTGCGGCAAACCATCCGGGACAATCCATTTGCATTTTGGGAGCTGGCAGGAATGCAAATAGATCGTTTGGGAGGCATTTTTCCGGGACAGGAAAGCTTTCAGGTAGTGCTTTCTCGGGTGCTTTAGCTTCTACATGTAAGCTCCTGTCGGTTCAGGTTTCTCTTCTGGGTAGCTTCGTTTCTGCTCCGGTGCGAGATATCTGCATTTTGATGGCTGGTGGAAACGCCAATAGCTTGCATCGGAGAGAAATATGCCAGACAATCCATTTGCATTTTGGGAGCTGGCAGGAATGCAAATAGATCGTCTGGGAGGCACTCATTTCGTGCTCGCGTGTTTCGATTCGTTTCCGTTCCTGGTTCTGTGGTCTAGTCGGCATTATTTGGGAAGGAAGTGCAAGTACACTAACGGTAAGCTGCTTTTTATCGGAGGAAAGAAATGTGGATAGAAAACCTAAACCGACAAAAAGCAAAGTGTTTTCTATGAGGAGAGGGAAATGCAAGTAGAAAATCGTGGTTGCTCTACGTCGTGAAGGCGCGTTCGGAACGCGCGTTTTGTGTCGTGGGTCGGGAAGACACTAAGTTCAGAACTAATGGGTGGGCGCCTGCCTACAGTCAGCGATGAGTTACTGCGCACATTTAGCTGGCGATGAGATGGGGTCAATGATTTACTTTGTCGTCCATGTGGTATCTAATTCAGATATCTATATAATTTTAATTTGTTTGATTATCTAGACAAATCATTCCGATACCTATATACTATATACTTCTATTACTTTGTCCATGCGTCACTGAAAATCAAAGTCATGAACAATGCGCTTCCGCCGCTTCACCGCAGCAAAGTTTCTTTGTGCTTCACCTTGACACAGCTTGATTATGTTCTGTTCCCAACGGTGTTTCGTCAGCCCCATCGAATCTACCCAAATAGAATGGCATAGGTAGATTTCCAGGTAAAGAGCTTGGAAATCATAACGTACACATCATCTATGAAGATAAAACCTTGCTGTTTTCCTATTGAATTCCCCTTATTCCAGTTAAATAAACCGACTCAATTCCAATTAAATCTGATCATGAGTTAAATCCCTAAAATCTCATCAAATCCCAATAAGTCCAATTAAATCCCAGTTAAATCCCCTTAAGTCCCACTAAATTCCATTCAAATTCAGTCAAATCCCTTGAGATCCAATCAAATCCCAATGAAATCCCCTTAAGTCCAATGAACTCCCAGTGAAATCTCCATCTTAATCCACCAAATCCCACCATGCCATGCCATCTTCGCCATCTTCGTCCGCCGCTGTTTGCGTCCCAGGCTCTGCTCCGCGTCTTCGTCACGGCGTTGTACTTCCTGGGCGGCGGCACGCAGGGAGGCGATGGGCCCACCATCCAAGTCTGCACCTCATTGGTGCCTCGGCCATAAACCACCCATGACTTGGAATGGGATTTCCATAGCACCTATAAATATGGTGACTGGGGGATGGTAAACATGACATTGTTTTAACCACATGATGTGTAATTAGTTGTGCAAGGAAAATATTGTTTTCCTTGGATCATTCCACTTGGGAAATGGTGAGATAGAATGGATTTCTTTTATGGGACAAGGTTGGAAAAATCATAGACATGATGGCTTAGAGCTTAGTAAGTGGTTAATAACATGTAATAACCATAGTCTCTTTTATGATATCTCCAAACCTGGGGCTTACCCACAAGGGTGATCAACCACTTGCCAAGTGGATGATTCCATTACCATTTAAATTTACTGATTGTCATATGGGAGACCTTTCTATTAAATCATATGTATATATATATATGATTAATATATTGCCACTATATACTCTCATTCCTGGTAGCAACATCCTTCATGATCAATTTACCCTTTGGTAATCACGCATGGCACTGGAATATCACCAATTTATAGATGATTTCCCCATTGCCTAATGATACAAGTTATACAAGATGTTCAATTGCCATTTCTGACACCGGAAGTTGTATTCCATCCCATTAAACCTCCAGAAAATCTGCCATTTACACTTTTCGGCTGGTTTCCCCAGTTATAAATGGCTAATCCCATGAAAACTAGTTCTATCACCAAGCAAAAGATGATTTCCCAATTGCCTAATGATATAAACCCTAGTGAAATTGGACAAACCTTGGCACCAACCAACCGCTTTTCTTAGCTCGGGCCACGCTGCTGAAGTCGCCCATGTCCCGAGGCATGCATGATTGGTTGGACCTGTGGCATCCGAGCGCCCAGAACGCAGTGCCGTGGCAGGTTGTTGATCGTGTGAATGTCCCATTTTGCAGTCAAACATACATACATACATGCTTTCATGCTTGCATGCTTACATGCTTGCATGCTTACATGCTTACATGCATACATGCATGCAGACAGACAGACATACATACATATATCCATTCTACATACATTCATACACACATACATACATACATACATACATACATACATACATACATACATGCTTTCATGCTTGCATGCTTACATGCTTGCATGCTTACATGCAAAACATGCATACATGCATACAGACAGACATACATACATATATCCATTCTACATACATTCATACACACATACATACATACAAACATACATACATACACACACATACATACATACATACATACATGCTTTCATGCTTGCATGCTTACATGCTTGCATGCTTACATGCTTACATGCAAACATGCATGCAGACAGACAGACATACATACATATATCCATTCTACATACATTCATACACACATACATACATACATACACACATACATACATACATACATACATGCTTTCATGCTTGCATGCTTACATGCTTGCATGCTTACATGCTTACATGCATGCATGCATACAGACAGACATACATACATACATATATCCATTCTACATACATTCAAACACACATACATACATACATACATACATACAAACATACATACATACATACACACACATACATACATACATACATGCTTTCATGCTTGCATGCTTACATGCTTGCATGCTTACATGCTTACATGCATACATGCATACAGACAGACATACATACATATATCCATTCTACATACATTCATACACACATACAAACATACATGCATGCATGCATGCATACATACATTCATACATACATACATACACACATACATACATACATGCATGCATGCATGCATACATACATACATGCATACATACATACACACATACACACATACACACATACACACATACACACATACACACATACACACATACATACAAACATACATACATACATACATACAAACATACAAACATACATACACACATACATACATACATACATACATACATACATACATACATACATGCTTTCATGCTTGCATGCTTGACCCCCCACCCCTTAAAATGTATATTGAGGGGGGAGCCGGGAATTCTCATACATTTCCAGGGCCCCCCCCACCTCTGAAACGGGTATTTTTGTATGAACTAGTTTTTGTAAAATTAAGAGATTACCTAAAGAGGTGGGGAGTGTTCCTCATACATTTTCAGTATTTGGCTTCAAAAGCTTGTTTAGAAAAAGGTGGGGAGGCGGTTTCATACATTGATTTTGCAAGGCCATGGATCTTTGATGCTCATGGAGTTTTCCTGGGGAATCTTACGAAATAGCATGACGCTTTTGACCACCCCCCCCTGAAATCTAAGTTTGCCAAATTATGGGAGGCCACCTACCCCCCCTGGGTTAATACATTAATAATTCCCAAGTTTGGAGGGGGGGTGCGAAATTTGGAAGGGGGGGGCGCAGATGAAGTATCATGAATGTATGCACCTGGGGGGTCAGCAGCAGTTCCATGCCGCACATTCATTATACATGAAGGTTGTCTTGAGAAGCCTAAATGTACTAAATGCAATAGTATGCAGTAGTTGTTTCTGATTCTTATCTATTGTTAGGGTGCCTTTTTCTAACATTTTTTTCAGGATTGCACGGTACCGAAAGGATGTTTTTTTAGGTTGAGCCTTGGGTTGAAGATGGTTGAAGTGTGTTGATCTAATCCAACCCTGCCCATTCCGTATAGCTCTTTCAACTTCTGTTTTTTAATCAAACATTGAGTTCCAAAGTCTTATGGTGTCAGATGCTTTCAACAGTCTTACTCACAGGGTACTGCAGAGATTCACCTTTCTTCACCAGCCCATAGTTCTCAATATCCTCCGACCCCAGCTATCAACTCCCCAACACCAACTGCGGGTTTTCTGTTTGTACCTGCACATCAGTGCAGCCATACATTTCTGGTACTGGGGGGCAGGGCACATCCAGGAGAATCCTAGGGTCGGTGGTTCCAATAGTTTCCAGTAGTAGGGAGAATGGCAACGCATGCCAACACAGCCCAGAGCATGGGAATAAAATGTATGAAAGGGGGGGGGGACCTGCACACCAGTGCAGCCATACATTTCAGGTACTGGGGGTGGGGCACATCCAGGAGAATCCTAGGAGTACGCATGCCAACACAGCCCAGAGCATGGGAACAAAATGTATGAAAGGGGGGGGGACCTGCACACCAGTGCAGCCATACATTTTAGGTACTGGGGGTGGGGCACATCCAGGAGAATCCTAGGGTCGGTGGTTCCAATAGTTTCCAGTAGTAGGGAGAATGGCAACGCATGCCAACACAGCCCAGAGCATGGGAATAAAATGTATGAAAAGGGGGGGGGACCTGCACACCAGTGCAACCATACATTTCAGGTAATCGGGGTGGGGCACATCCAGGAGAATCCTAGGAGTTCCAGGTGGTTCCAATAGTTTCCAGTAGTAGGGAGAATGGCAACGCATGCCAACACAGCCCAGAGCATGGGAAAAAATGTATGAAAGGGGGGGGGACCTGCACACCAGTGCAGCCATACATTTCAGGTACTGGGGGTGGGGCACATCCAGGAGAATCCTAGGAGTTCCAGGTGGTTCCAATAGATTCCAATAGTTTCCAGTAGTAGGGAGAATGGCAACGCATGCCAACACAGCCCAGAGCATGGGAATAAAATATATGAAAGTGGGGGGGGGACCTGCACACCAGCGCAGCCATACATTTCAGGTACTGGGGGTGGGGCACATCCAGGAGAATCCTAGGAGTTCCAGGTGGTTCCAATAGTTTCCAGTAGTCGGGAGAATGGCAACGCATGCCAACACAGCCCAGAGCATGGGAATAAAATGTATGAAAGGGGAGGGGTGACCGGCACACCAGTGGGGCACATCCAGGAGAATCCTAGGAGTTCCAGGTGGTTCCAATAGTTTTTAGTAGTAGGGAGAATGGCAACGCATGCCAACACACCCCAGGGCATGGGAATAAAATGTATGAAAGGGGGGGGGACCTGCACACCAGCGCAGCCATACATTTCAGGTACTGGGGGTGGGGCACATCCAGGAGAATCCTAGGAGTTCCAGGTGGTTCCAATAGTATCCACCAGTATGGAGAATGGCAACGCATGCCAACACAGCCCAGAGCATGGGAATAAAATGTATGAAAGGGGGGGGGGACCTGCACATCAGTGCAGCCATACATTTCAGGTACTGGGGGGCAGGGCACATCCAGGAGAATCCTAGGGTCGGTGGTTCCAATAGTTTCCAGTAGTAGGGAGAATGGCAACGCATGCCAACACAGCCCAGAGCATGGGAATAAAATGTATGAAAGGGGGGGGGACCTGCACACCAGTGGGGCACATCCCAGGGAAATCCTAGGATTCCAGGTGTTCCAATAGTTTTTTAGTAGTAGGAGAATGGCAAACGCAGCCCACACTCCCCCAGGGCATGGGAAAAAATGTTGAAAGGGGGGGGGACCTGCACACCAGCGCAGCCATACATTTCAGGTACTGGGGGTGGGGCACATCCAGGAGAATCCTAGGAGTTCCAGGTGGTTCCAATAGTATCCACCAGTATGGAGAATGGCAACGCATGCCAACACAGCCCAGAGCATGGGAATAAAATGTATGAAAGGGGGGGGGGACCTGCACATCAGTGCAGCCATACATTTCAGGTACTGGGGGGCAGGGCACATCCAGGAGAATCCTAGGGTCGGTGGTTCCAATAGTTTCCAGTAGTAGGGAGAATGGCAACGCATGCCAACACAGCCCAGAGCATGGGAATAAAATGTATGAAAGGGGGGGGGGACCTGCACACCAGTGCAGCCATACATTTCAGGTACTGGGGGTGGGGCACATCCAGGAGAATCCTAGGAGTTCCAGGTGGTTCCAATAGTATTCATCAGTATGGAGAAGGGCAGCACATGCCAACAGACCCCAGAGCATGGGAATAAAATGTATGAAAGGGGGGGGGAACCTGCACATCAGTGCAGCCATACATTACTGGGAGCAGGGCAGTGTTTTCCAAGATTCTGACAAAGTCCCACGATATCTTACAAGTGTATGAGCCAGAGGGCCCTCCATGCCTATCGAGAACCGTGAAGCGAGGTTCGAATATCGAGGATCGAGAATCAAGAAGCGGGAAGCGAGGATCGAGGATACTGGATCGAGAATTGAGAATCGAGAATGGAGAATTGAGAATCGAGAATCGGGAATCGAGAAGCGAGGATCGAGGATCGAGGATCGAGAATCGAGAATGGGGCTTGTCAAGCCAGGTCGGGAAAATTGATGAGAATGGCAGACAGGTTCAGAACAGAGTGGAAGTTTCAATGTTCAAATACTTCTTGTTGTTTCCAAATGATTCTGCATCTTTCCTTCGAAAATTAAATGCAACAAACTTCAAAGCATCGTGAAAAGAAATTAGCAGCCGTGTGCAGCTGTCCTGTTTTTAAAGCATCGAAATTTCGTGAGTTTGCAATAGTTTGCGGCCTTAGCAAAGAGAACGACTGGAAATTGCTTTGGACCCATTCATTCTGTGGCCAGGTATCGAAAGAAATCGTGGAAATCAATCGAAGGAAATCGTCCGCTTTTGAGGTTGAAACAACATAGTCCCCCCTTACTTTCAAAATTTCCAGTGATTTACAGAAACCACCTAGTCCCCCCTATATTTTATACATTTGATTTTGTCTCATCTTATCCAGGTTACTGCAGTAAATGACCTGGTCCCCCCTATGTTTCATACATTTTAAGATTTTTAACTTGCAATGAATTAATAGTTCCTAGTAGCAGCTCACCCCCCAGAGGAATACATTTTGGGGGTTTCCCAAGCATTGTTTAAGTGCTGGTGCAGAGCAGGTCCCCCCCATGTCTCATTCAATCAAAAATGATAATGTATAAACCTTCTTGACACCTCTTTTAAGCCTCTTTCCGTCGCCGGGCTTGACCACCTGCTCCCCCCCCCCCGTTCCGACATTCGATGGAAATGTATGAAGGGGAGGGGGGGTAGATACACACGGAAGGCAGGGGGGTCATGCTTGCATGCTTACATGCATACATGCATACAGACAGACAGACATACATACATATATCCATTCTACATACATTCATACACACATACATACATACATACATACATACATACATACATGCAGGCATGCATGCATACATACATTCATACACACATACATACACATACATACATACATGCTTTCATGCATGCATACATACATGCATACATACATACACACATACACACATACACACACACACACATACACACCTACACACATACATGCAAACATACATACATACAAACATACATACATACACACACACATACATACATACATACATACATACATACATACATACATACATACATACATACATACATACATACACACATTTATACATACATACATACATACATACATACATGCTTTCATGCTTGCATGCTTGCATGCTTCCATGCTTACATGCATACATGCATACAGACAGACAGACATACATACATATATCCATTCTACATACATTCATACACACATACATACATACATACATACATACATGCAGGCATGCATGCATACATACATTCATACACACATACATACACATACATACATACATGCATGCATACATACATGCATACATACATACACACATACACACATACACACACACACATACACACCTACACACATACATGCAAACATACATACATACAAACATACATACATACACACACATACATACATACATACATACATACATACATACATACACACATTTATACATACATACATACATACATACATACATACATACATACATGCTTTCATGCTTGCATGCTTACATGCTTCCATGCTTACATGCATACATGCATACAGACAGACATACATACATATATCCGTTCTACATACATTCATACACACATACATACATACATACATGCATGCATGCATGCATACATACATTCATTCATACATACATGCTTTCATGCTTGCATGTTTACATGCTTGCATGCTTACATGCATACATGCATACAGACAGACGGACATACATACATATATCCATTCTACATACATTCATACACACATACATACATACATACATACAAACATACATACATACACACACATACATACATACATACATGCTTTCATGTTTGCATGCTTACATGTTTGCATGCTTACATGCTTACATGCATACATGCATACAGACAGACATACATACATATATCCATTCTACATACATTCATACACACATACATACATACATACATACACACACATACATACATACATGCATGCATGCATGCATACATACATACATGCATACATGCATACACACATACACACATACACACATACACACATACACACATACACACATACATACAAACATACATACATACAAACGTACATACATACATACAAACATACATACATACATACATACGTACGGTACGTACTGTACGTACGGTACGTACGTACGTACATACACACACATACACACACATATAATATATATATATTTATATTTATATTTATATTTACACAGACATATATTTGTTTATTTACACAAATATACTTATATGTATGTATGTAAATACATGTGCCATATATTTGGTAGCCCCCAATAACCGAGCTTATATTAAACCCTAGTGTTGGGTGGGGTATGTTAGGGTATGTTGGGGCGCTTGGGGTCTAGCTCAGTCACTACATCCTGCGCAATCAATGGCGCGAAAATTCAGCGACTATCCTCTCGCAATCTAACTTGGCAATAGAAATGCCTGGTTTCAAGGAGTAGATACATGATGATACATGTAACCTAGAACTTGTGATATTCTTCTTTTGGCAGGTTGAATTGGATTTATTAGCCAGATTGGTCATCCAGCATAGCTGCAGAACATCGCCATCTTGATAAAGCAAATCCAAAATAAATAGTCCATTCTCTATATTTTTCGATGGTTTTCTCTACCGGAGGGCATATCCTCACATTTGGTTAGGTGAATCGCCCCTCATGGTTCCATGAAAAAGAACCGCCCGAGATCTCTCCTGGCCTCGCTGGGTTTCTGTTGCGGCTTTGCGGCCTCCTTCAACGCGACTCGGAGTTCACCACGAAGAAAGGGAATTTCATGGGCTTCGCCAGCCAATTTTTGTGGGATGTGAATGGACATTGATGTGGATATGTCAAGGGTCTGCCGGTCTGCCTTTTTTAGTTGAATTTCTGGTAGTTAATCATGGGCAAACCTGGATGAAGCGTAGACAATATGGATCATGTGTTCAACATTTGCAAGCGGCTCCTGTCAGCAAAGCAGCTCAGCGAGCTGAAACCAACTGGAAGTTAAAGTTTTCACAGGGGGACCCCAAGGTAGCAATGAATGAATTGTCCAGTGGTTCTGAGGGAGCTATTGTGAGCGGCATCCATCTTCCCCATCCTCTGGGGGGCGAGGAGCTATACAGTATAGCAAGAGTTTCCCAGTCACATGATAGCAAAAAAACAGGATTCTGAGATTGTCAAATAAACTTCGGAGGGAAAGAAAAAGATAGACATTTTGCCCGTCCTGATACCTGAAAAATGTTACGAGAGAGTAGCTTGACCTGTATTGTCATTATATATTATGGGAGATTGGTCAAAATGGGAGACCCGCAACCATCGAAGGCACCGTTGTCGGGCATTTTGTTCGCCATCGAAGAGCTGTCACACGTGTCCTCACGCCTTACCACGCGGGTGATTTGCGTCATCCTAATCGGCTCGATTGTGCCTCGGAAAATGTCGGTAAGCACCTAGATGGTTGGAAGCCCACCTAAAAATGATGGCCATTGTGAAGAGAAAATGATGATCAATCATGAAATTTGGAGGGTTTTCTAGATTTTCAGACAGCCATTTCTCGGTCTTTTCAATGCTCAGTCCCATCCATTTTCGTTTTCAGTTTGTTTTTTGGATCAATTCCCTGATGGGTTCCTTGGTTCAACATGGTTCAACCTCTGTTTGATGCGACCACACTGGCCGACCAAGACCCGTAAAACCCTGTAAATGGTAGTTAGGATTGAGGGAATCGTTCCAAAAAAAAACTGACAATTGTCTCCAACAACAAGCAAAAGAGATCGTGGTGTGAAGATAATTTGAGACAGGACGTTCAGCAACCAGAGAACGTTTCAGAAAGGATGGATCCGGCTTCGTCACAGGCGTTTTCGCTTTGGTATGCTGGTTGGTGGTTTCAAACATGGCTGGATTATTTTCCACAATATATGGTATAATCCTTCCCATTGACGAACTCATATTTTTCAGGATGGTTAAAACCACCAACCAGTGATCTATGTCTAAATCCTCTAAATCATATTTTTTTAATGGGAAAACACTATAAATTTAAATGGCCATTTTCAATAGCTATGTCATATTCTGGGGAAATTTGGATGCCTATAGCCTGGTCCTGGAAGAAATCACCATGACATCCCAGGGCTACATCCCCTGCCTGTATCCCCTGCGCCAAGTGGTAGCCGGCTCCAGCTAGGCTCCGAATTCCCAGCTTCTAAAGTGACATTTGTGGGACTTGAATTCTGAAGCATCCCAAGGAAAACAACATAGAATCATATATTTACGGTAGAACTGGTTGAAGAGAAAGATTGCATCAGAGCCCCTACATGTTGATGAGATAATAAGATCTATTCTGACATTGATGTATATAGTTCAAAGTTTCCTGATGTTTCCTGGAAAATATCCTTTCCATCAACCTGCCTAGATTCTTGACCAACTCTTGGTCAATCTTGGTCACTGGTGTTCAGTTGGTGACATTCATCAAGATCTTCCGGGTTTGATTTGTCCAAAATCCAAGCCTTGCAGCTGCTATGAAATCAATGGCACAAAACCATCCAGAACAATGCTTGTTGATCACATGCTCATGTCTCCAGGTCATCTCCTGCGAAAAAAACATGTTACAGTAATTATCATGTTTCATAGTGACATCAGCACAAACCAGGGATGATCAGATGTTTGCTGAAAACCTCCCAGAAGAAAACCTGCTGCCTGGTGGTTTCAACCCTACTTGTATGTAGGATGATGATCACTATTGGATCATATCTCCAGACGGGTTGAAGCATCATATTTTAGAGCAGAAGTAAGAAACTTGGACATATAAAATGCATAGTTAAGTAATATCATCGAACAAACAAATACGGGAAACACAGCGTTTAGCATCTCTTTTTGGGCTACCGGGTCAAAGAAAACCCCGTCACTGGCCATTGTAAGGGAATATCCCCACAATTCATATGGCCTGAAAAATGGTACGTTTACGTACCTCCACATTTTAGGATCCTGAAATTCCCATTGACCTTGGGGTTCCCCTGAAAATCTACCGCAGAGGTTTCCACTGCGGTGATGCGTGGATTTCTCTCGAACAAGACCCTGCACCTTGGCAATATGGACTGCGGAATGGTTCCGCTTGGTTTGAAGAATTTTGATGATTTGGGATCTAAAAAGATTAGTACTATATGTGTATATTATGTATATACATGCATACAGTATGCGTATATACCGTATACAAATATACATATATGCATATGTATATATATATATGTGCATATTTATATATATATATATATGTAAATATATGCATATGTATATATATATGTATATATGCATATATATATATACACATCTATATGTGTGTGTACGTACTTTTATGCATTTAGGTGTGCCGGGTGTCTAAGGTTAGTCTACCGAGAATGTATTAAAAAGATCATGACATCCTCCAAAGAGGCTGAACTCCGGGGACGGTGATGAGAGAGATCTCCTTCCGGGATGATGATTTGCTCACGACCTCATGCTGGAGCCTCGTCCCACCATGCCATCAGACTTGCAAGATGTTGGTCTGGATTGGCTCCTGAGACTCCGGCAGGAGACGCCAACAACCCATGGCGCAGGTTGTTTGACAACAGACATGGGAAGATTCATTCCAGACCAGAGTGCCACATATTTTTTTAGGGGAATAGCTGCCAGCCCAGTGATGATGAAAAGGGCGATGCTTCCATTCTGTGTCAACATGGCTGCAGAGCTGTTCAATGCAAATCTATGGTGTTTCCCAAGCTTAGTGAGCATAGGGACGGGCCTGGTCCCTGCAAGAGACTTCGAGAAGACATACGGTCACATAAAGGAGCAGTCAGAGTGGCATGTACAAAGGCGACCAGCATCCCTGGAAGCAGCATAGAGGAGATCACAGCCCATCTCTTGGACGATCATGACACATGGCGATCAGGGTGTTGCAATGACGCTGATGGCAGCGGGGAACGAACTGTTAATTCATCAACTGTTGGACGAGTACGAGCTAGTGACATGGGCTATACTCTAACTTACACATACTTATACTACAATGTCACTGCGCAGAGTTTTTGGTTTAAGATATGGTTGGGTAAGTTCCCAGATCCAAGCAATTTTGTTTCATAGAAGGTTTTTACCCCAGGACTTCGAGGCCATTGCTGCATAGAGGCATCAGTTTTTTTTCGCTAAAATCTGGTGAAGATCGCTTGGACAGATTTTTACCACAGCCATGACCTCACCATAGACTATGGTTAGTAGGGAAATCATCCACAAATGGCCTTCAATCTGGTGTATTATTGGGTTATTCTGTGTTAAACTTAGCAATAAACTATCCCCCATTCTGCTTGTTTCTGGGAATAACGGTATACCTCTATTTGGGATGATGCAAAATGACCCGCAATTTTGGTTGTTTTTCATGGGATTTCTATTGGGTTTACCACAAGAACTATGCAGTGCAAAGGGATCTCCGTGGCAAGGTTTATTACGGTTGGTCATTGGTCATGCTAAGCATGCTATCCCGCTTGGCGGAGTTGAATCACCTTGGGCCCAACACCCAAGGGCCGTACATGTCATACATACATCTCACATCGTCTCACACTGTTCGTTGGCTTCAGAACGGTTCAAAGGAAGTTCATCTCTGGTATTTTTTTGCACCCTCCATAAGCTTCAGCACAGCGCTGATTCACCCTTTCACTTCGCATTTCGTTGACAATATGAGCGTCTTCTTCCCCCATCTCTTAACCTTTAAAGATTGGTCGAGTCGCAAAACCCAATCTCATCCCAGTTTCCCCAAAGAAGTCGGTGAATGGCAGCTGTGCAAATCAAAGGTTCAAGGCGACCCATTCCACCGACTTGGAATCCATGGTTGCCGGAGGCGGAACGATGCGCTTCATCCAGCGGCATGTGGCTTAAATTTTAACCATTGAAAATAAGGGAACATGGTGAATCCGCCAAAAATGAAGATGTGTATGACTTTTTGTTTGTGAATTTTATGATAGTTGGGTTGGGTTTGCAGTTGAGATTGTTCAAGGGCGGTATACATGTGATTAGAACCACACAAGTTGGGATATGGGGCTCGTATAAGCTGATTACTTTAGATATATCCACAGCACAACAACGCTTAGTTATAAATCAACCTATATGCAATGCGGCTGCCTCCCATTTTCCTGAAGCTGTTTATTTTTCATATTGAACGTTGGATATTCATTGTTTTCCCTTGCCAGCTTTTTGCAAAAAAAACAACATTACCTATTTATATATTTATATAGGGGGCCGATTTTGCATCAGATCTGTGAGAATTATGTTTGCCACTCTGCCAATTGTGGTGTTTGCGGGATGCGATGTCCGAAGATCCTATTTACCTAATTACCTACAATTAGTTTGTGCGAAATTTTCTAGCAAGATGAATAAAGTAAATCACATGTCAGTCCAGAAATCAAGATAAATAAAGTCATCACATGTCACTACTGTCGGTTTCAATCTGTTTTTTGCACAGCCGTGTTTGGCCATTGCAATACCATTGGGTTCTCTAAGGCCCCGATTCGATGTCCTTTGCGGCCAGGATCAGTTCATGAACTTTTGGGGCAAAATATGTGGATGCTGATCTCCGTCTGTATAGGTTTCATCGCACCTCGGATAAGTCTGCGATACGGTTGACCTTGGCCATTGCAGAATCCCATGGGAAACGTCACCATGTTTCCAAAATAAAACTCGAGCGAGTGTTTTTGGTTTCATTTCCATCAAGATGGCGCCCCATAGTTAGCTAAGTTGGTTTATAATTCCAATAACTATGGTTTATGGTAGATATATCTGTTCTTACTATGGTTTATAAACCAACTTATAACTGGGGGGCACCATCCTGATGTTTTTTTTGCTGTTTGTTCCATCCCAAATGTTCCGTTGTTTGTTTTGTTGAGTTCCACCGAGGCTCATCTTCCCAGGGCAAATGATGAAACCCCTTTGGTGTGTGACATGATATCCAGTGGCTCTTGGGGTTTTGACATGGTGTCTAGAACGTGGGCGCGTTTTGAGATTTGAGAGATCTTCTGAGCCTACTATCCCCAATGCTTGGTATGTAGGTCATGTGCATCATGGAATCCAATAGGAAAGGCCACACCCGACCTGCTCCTGGGCTGAGTTTTTGGAGACTTGAGCCTAAACTGCCCCGGAATTGGCCCGGCAAACCTAATCAGCGACGCTGCTTGTACCTTTAGGCTTGATAGACTAGCAAAATAATGCAAAAAATTGAACAAGTGGAGACTAGTGCCTTGTTTTTTTAACCGGGTCCCACTCACAGTTGTTTCTGCCAGACTTAGTAAGTGGTTAGCGACAAGCGGCTTATTAGTTCTGACCCATGGAATTTTCCATTCGGGATGATCCTCCCACCGGACCCAAGTCGGCTTTGGTGGGCTTCGTCTTCAGCCGGGTCTTTCATTATGTCCATAAGTTCATGACACTTGGCAGTTGGGCCACTTGGAGCTGGGCCTTTCGATCATTTTTAGCAATCATTCAGTTTCGGCAAAGATGTGTTTACATTATATATATATATCATCTTAGATCCCAGAAAACATAGCCGGGATTATGCCAGTCATGATGCTTCAACTGGTTTGAAGCGTTGAAAGATCAGATCGCAAGACCTTTTCCATCCTTCCAGGGTTCCATGGCCAGGTCTGGTTGGGCAACCATGGCCAGATTTGTTCATTGATTCAATCCATGGATTTTCAAAGTTTCCCCATAGCCGAGTGGATCTTTTTCAGGATCGAGAAGGAACATATGGAAAGCCCTGGATGGCAACTGACAATCCTTTCCAGGTTTGAATCAAAGTGCCAAGTTTCATGCAGGATTTTTCTCTGTGCTGCGGACTTCCCCCATGCTGGCCGTGCGTTTCTCCACTCTGGTTGCCTGAGCTCCCATGTGCTGTTGCTAAAATCACCATTTTTGCTTGTACATTTTGGAGTCAAAAAGCAATGTGTATAGATTCAACCACGATTTTTGACGAATTCATATGGATTCACTGGTTTACCGGATAAACCTCCAGGTGTTGCAAAACCAACCACCATTTGTGGTTGGTTTAATCCTTTCAGGTCACCAAAATCAACAAGTGACTGATTGGACATCCCCTTAACATGATAGAAGTTAAACTAGCCATTGTATCTAACCAGATGGACAAGTAAGAAGCACATGGTCAGAAATTAATCTCTCTATATATATATACATGTATTTACCAGCCAAGGTGTGTTTTTTTAATGTGGCCAACAATGTTTGGGATGGTTCACTCTTTCTGGTGAGGTAAGTTCAATCCCCGATCCCCTTGGAATATCTTGGAATTCTGCGCAGGAATTGGATCCCTTTGCCCCGCTGGCTCCTCTTTGGCATCGTTGGAGGCACTAGTTGATGGCAGGAAAAATAACTGGTTGGTGCTATGTTTTTTTCCATATACTGGGAATGTCATCATCCCAACGGACGGCCTCAACGACCTCATATTTTTCAGAGGACTTGAAACCACCAACCAGATAATGTGGGGAAAGAAACCGGTTGAAGGGACTGCAAATGACTACCATGTGAGGCCCACCCCCCGCCAAGTTTTGTGCGTCAACCTAGCTATCTAAATCTAAGGCCTCACCGGCTTGCATAATACTGTACCTTCCAGGTGTTTTCCAATATGGCTAGCTGGGAGATCCGCCATTCAAATAGGCATTTTGACTGGGACACTCCTTTTTGAAGTGGGAGGTTCCGGCAGCTATGTTTGATGACCAGAGGGCTTGGGAAAATGGGTTTCAAGGTTGGAAAAACTGGGGCACGATAGGGTGATTGAGGTGTGGATCCTTGTGAGAAACCACGCGTATCCACCAATGAGGATTTTTGTTGTGAAATGGTACTTTTAATATCTTTTAATGGGGAATGTTATTAACTATTATTTCAATTGAAGAACCATAAAATTGTGGTGAAGCTTTAAAGATTAATGACAGATTTGATGTACCATGTCCATTCACATTTAATATTATTGATAACAATTTGTTACCCAGCAAATATTAGGGTACCCTATTTTCAGACAACCCCTTTTTTCTCCACCGGCTTCGCCTTTAAAATGGTTTGGAGCTATGGAACTATTTGCCGGAAGATCAAATGGGGAGCCGGTTGGGGCTACGCATTGAATTTCCCAACCACAGATGTCTACTTTCAAAATAGATGCTTTAAAACTTGATTTTCCGGATTAGAACCGCCAGAAATTGGATGGAAGTCCACCAATACCAACCCAAAATCATAGGTTATATTATCCTTTTTTCTGGGTGATCATTATCCCAATTATACCCCATCCACATTTTCCCAAAAATCACTTTTTCTGTATTAATTATCCACATTTAACTATCCCAATTATACCCCATCATATCGCATCAACATTCGCAACTTCCAGGCTTGGTCGCCTGTATCGGATCGGCCGTATACCATGCCACAGGACGGAGATTTTTATCTGCTTGGTGCTCTTGGAGATGCGGGGGGTTCAAATGGGGGTACCCCAATAGTTGGATGGTTTATAAGGAAAAATCCTATTAAGATGTGGGATTAACCTCCCGTAATCAAACATGGCAAAAAAAACACATGGCAATGGAAAATGGCCTACTTATAGATCTCGTTGGTGGTTTGGAACATGGCTTTTATGAATTTCCATCATATTGGGAATGTCATCATCCCAACTGACGAAGTCATATTTTGCAGAGGGGTAGGCTCAACCACCAACAAGTCATTATTAACCATCATTAGCCATATAATAACCATATATGAACCATTATTAACAGTATAATAACCATATATACCATATTATACCATGATAATTTAATTAGGGCTACCTCCATTTGTGAAAACCCCCATTTGGAGATATCCTTTGATCAAACATGGCGGGCTTTTTTTGGAAAATTGTGGAACTAAACGGATATTAATGTCTCATATAATGGGAAAATCATAGAACTAAATGGAGGATTTGTCCCACAGGTGTGATAAGTTATCTAGGGTAAGTGATATATCTCAGAAATCTATGTGAGCAGGTGGCCACCATGTATTGCTTTTGAGATCTTTCGGTTTACTTTTATTGACAGGGGTATTACTGGCAAACGGGATTTGACAGCCTGTCAGAACATGGTTTCTATGTATATCCTCTTCAAAAATGAAATCATGAAAGGTCATGAGCATCAACTGATGGCCCAGGAAGAGTGGCTTATGGCCCATCAACATGGATTATATATATATAATGTATATAACCTAGTAGAAAAGAGCATGTTTGCCAAGGTGGTGATAAAAACCAATGCCGTGGCTACACGGCCAGCAAGTGCATTGCTTATGGTTCCGCGTTGAAATGATCAACCGACCTCACCATGAATAGAGATTGGGTTCTGGCAAATAGAAATAGCCATGGACAATGGACCATTTGTAGATGACTTACCTATTAAAAAATTCTGATGTTCGATAGCTATGTTACGTTAAATGACCATATCGTTAGAATTCAATCGAATCTATGTAAATGAATATCAACTTGCCAACGTGTATCAACGTGTGTATTCAAACATCACATATTCTAGCCATCTTGTGCAGTTTCACCCTCTCGGTGAGGACTGCGAGGAGTATGGGGCACCTTGGAGTGCAACCGGCGCAAAAAAGCGATCCACTGATTCCGTTGGGGAATTTTCTTTGTTGGTGAATTTTCTTTGATTCTTCGCCTTTAAACATCTTGAAGCTGGGAAATAGTAGATGAACTAGTACCAAATTAGATGAACATAAACGGAAAACATATGAACATAGATGAAAAACGGCTACTCACAAAGTTGCCGAGGTGAATTTTTGGATATTGATGGAGCTTGGAGCTAATCTGCTGGGAAAACAACAGTTGTGTAACCGAAAATGAAATGATTCAATTGATGCATCAAGCTCGATACCTAAACATGCTACCCATGTCGTAGCTGTCCTAGCTTGTCTTTTTACGATTCTTACGTTCTGCGGTGTTTTCAATAGCAAAATAGACTAGTCACAGGGGAGCACAGAAGCTGGGCTCCAAAGCGGCTTCTGGACAAGTCAAGTGAATTCCCCTTGACCTATTTAGTACATTCTAAATGGTGCTTGGTAAAGGAAACCACCCAAAGCGCTCGCTGGCTGAAAATTTGTGCAGATCACTACATCCCCATAATTTGATTGGATGGGCATTTCTGGCAAAGTTGGCACTGGAAAATCCATCTGCAATATGATCATCCTTTGGCCACATGAAACTGCGTCCGGAAAGCTCTGGCTTAGTTCATCCATGAATTATATACTTTTTACATCTTATTACTTCAAGTCCAATATATACTGCTTGGTGGTTTCAATCATTTTTCCCATTGACTGATATTTTTCAAGATGGTTAAAACCACCAACCAGAATATGAATTCAAGAAAATCATATCCCTCAGCGTATGTTCACTCTGTAGTGACTGTCCCTCCGTATTAGTTCAATGAGAATTTCAGGATCCAATGCATGGAGGTACTGCACCATTTTTCAGGAAACAAATGTGGGGATATTTCCGTACATAGACCTAAGAAATAGGCCTTATATGGCAGGTACCTCCAATAAATCGGTTCCTGTTGCATGGCCATTGATTAATTAGTTCGTTCTTGTTGTTTGAGATTCCGGTGAACATGATGGGAGAAACTGGGGTGTTGCCTGGTATGGAAGATCTTGAAACCGAGGTATTGGTGTCAACTCCCTGAAACTCGCGCTGGAACAAGACTTCCAAGGACTCTTACTTTCAGCACTGTCACTTTCATCGTCATCAGCATCATGTTCATGTTTATGTTCATATTCATCATCATTATCATAGTGTTTATCTTCCTTTTCAGGTGCCAATATACATATGAGTATATATATATATACATCTTCATCCTTGTTTGTTATGCATCAGCATATATCAGAATCATCACCACCACGAGTTCAGTGAAATATGTGAAATACTCGGCCTTGTTTTAGGTACATATGCTCATGAAAATTCTTGATGTAAATTTACATTCTTAATTTTATATAGGCATGTAACATCATTCCTGGAGACAATTGCATGCACGGGCATATGCATATGATTATGTGTGGGTGCTACTCCCCCAGAAACTTCTTGCATGACATGTTTGTTGGCATTGGGGGTGGATGTTGGAACAACATATTCCAGATTAAATTCAATTTTACCAATTCACTCACGTCACTCTGTCATTTTCCCAGCAGGTATACATGGCTTTAATAAGAGCATAAGAGCTGCACAAATCAATACATCAAGATAATAAAGTTTATATAAAAGATGCACGAGCCCGCCATAGTAAGAATAATGATAGCAAATCAATACCATGTAGGTGAATAACCTTCATCATAATAAGCACCATCAATACCATGTAGGTGAATAACCTTCATCATAATAAGCACCATTCCATATCTATACATGTACAACCCACACGAATATTCAGATGTATCCCTGGTTTTGTTAGTTCACCCTGTTTTAAGAGCATTCAGCCTACTTATCCCACCAACAAGATCAGGGATACAACCTACTTAGTAAGTAGGATGAGCCACATAGTATATAGATAATATTATCTTTAATTATCATAACCAACTCATTGTAAAAATAATGACTTCTTATATATATATATACACTATAGACCAATCTATGTCTATATATATATATACACATATATTTATATATACACATATATATCTATATATATATTTATATATATATCCTCCAAAATTTTCCAGGCCACGCGGGGTACCTCCTGATCTTCGCCCTGGGAAAGCTGGCGGCCTTCGCTTTGAGCGTCTCCTTGCGCTTCCCCGGTGATACCTTGGAGCCGGTGCTCATTGCGGGGGCCTTTCTGGGCGGAGCCATTGGGAACCTCGGCACCGGGTTGGCACTTCAAAGGTGGGAAAAAGGTGGGAAAAAGCTGGGAAAAAAGGTGGAAACGATTGATGTTTAACATTAAAAAAGAGAAATATGGAGAACATAAAAGAACAGAAATATGTTTATCCTATCTAAGATGGAGAAATTGGGAGAAAAAAAACAATATATCGTTGTAATGTGGAATCCAACCAACGAAAATATGAACAAATACCGTGATAATCGGATTGAGATAGGATATTATGATAGTTTTTAACATCAAGAGGTGGAAAAGGTTTGATAAGAGGTGGGAACCCGCTTGGGATTGTTTGTTGTAGACAAATTTTATGCTGGAAAAGTGGCTCTTGGGGAACTCATGGGCCAAAAAGGCCTTTTGGTCAAGGCCGTTTATGCCACACCACATGCAACTAGAAATTCACGGCCATGGGGAAACTTGGGAAAGAGTGGAATGGGAAACCAACAGATCTGCAAAAAGTGAACTGTCTGCAGTGAGCGGTAGAGGTAGGAATTCACATCTCACTCTATAACGTGGGAATGATAAGGTTTTGTTTGACGTATATATTTTATAATTGATGCTGGCCGTTAACTGGGGGAACATTGCTCAACCAATGATGGCCAGTGGATGTGACATTGCTTTTTACAATAGAATCACATTCAACTAGATTTAATGTCATTCGTGTCCTTTAGAGTACTTAGAAGAAATAAGTAAACTTGGGAAACGTTGGGGAAGTGGTAAAATACAGACCAGGGGAAACGTTTTTCTTAAAAATGGATCGCGAAACCAGGTTGTCAGAAGACCTGCGTGAAGGCAAGATAAAGACAGCCCTGCCCGCAAGAAAATCACATATTTCTTTGGTGTACCCTCTGATAATTTAACATACTAACGCTAGCGTTAAGTCGTATCAGCTTGTAAAAGTCGTATCGGGAGGCCGTGCGCCTGGAAAAAGTTCAAGTTTGGCATCACCACAACTTTTAGTAATTGAACAATTTCATTGTTTTGGGGCCGTGCGCCTGGAAAAAGTTCATTTTTTTTTTTTTATGGCGTTGATTTTTTAAAAATATTTGATCATTCTTTCAAGGGGGCGCTGCTTGCCTGCTGCTTGGCTGCTGCTTCCCTGCTTTTTGCCTGCTACTTGCTGCTGCTTGCTGCTGCTTACCTGTTGCTGCTTACCTGTTGCTGCTCACCTGCTGCTCACCTGCTGCTTGCCTGCTGCTTGCTGCTCCATGCTGCTCCTTGCTGCTGCTTGCTGCTGCTTGCTGCTGCTTGCTGCTCCTGCTTGCCGCTGCTTGCTGCTGCTTGCTGCTGCTGCTTGCTGCTGCGCAATGGAATGAAGGTTTTTTTCCAATTCGTAATTCCTGGGTGGATAGGACAACAAACTTCTTGAGAGCTGTCCACGACATTGATGCACATCGCGCCAGCCATAGATTTGGTTGCAGAAAACAAGGGGCCCCCATATCCTTATATCATCCTAGATCATAGCCCTGCCAATAGGATTTGCTACAGCTAACCCACTTGCATTGCAAGAAATTTGAGGCTGTACCAATGGGGGTTTGATTTGGTCACGCGACGCAGAACATCAATATAATATATTCAAATCCAATAGGATTAGCTGCCGAGAATCTATTTGTATTAACTTGTGCCCTTCAAAATCATCGCTGTGCGCAATGCTTCGGCTACTTTCAACTACATCTCCAAGTATGGATGAAACAGTCTGTGCCATGGTGATTCTTCTTCCCTGATGTGACTTTCCACTACCTGATGTGACTTCTCCGTATCGCCGCCGTGCCATGGGGATGATGTGACTTTTCCCGCCTGATGTGACTTAAGTACGGTGTTTGTAGCTATGGAAAATGGCCATAATTAGAAATAGTTGATTTACCTTTAAAAATAATGTGATGTTCCAGAGCTATGCTAAATTACCAGAGGGTACAGTCATCAATCATCATTAATCACCATTAATCACCATTATTAACCATTATTAATCGCCATTAATCCCCATGAATCACTATGAAATATATCCCAGTCATCAAGCATCCCCTATAAAGCATCGTCCATCGCATGGTCCCAACGGCGCGGAGCATGGCGCTCCTTGGGATCCCAGGAAGCACCTCCCCATCGATGCTGCTTGGTATCATCCAAGTGGTGGCCCAGTGGGCAGATGCTGAACTTAACTATACTTAACTAATACCATGATTATAGTTAAGTATGATACCATGGATTAGATATAGAAAACATACAATTATCTTGGTATACCTAATTATGTTAACTATACATGGATTAGAACACATCGCAAAGTGGCTGAGGATGCTGAGGATCCATTCTTGGCTGAAGATATTATCACAATTTATCACATGTACCCTCCGGTAATTTAACATAGCTATGGAACATGGCCCAGTCGAAATAGTTGATTTTCCCAACTGTAAAATGCTGATGTTCCATAGTTATGTGACAGTTTACCAGAGGGTAATACCATGATAGTTAACTAAAGCTTAATCAATAGATTATGCAACCATGACCTACTAGGGATGTTTCTAGGTTGACTATCAACTGGATATATCACCCTGATCCGTTAACGCAGGAATCTCCGAAGTGTTTGAATAGCGACTGCATGGCTCATGGTTCATCAGTTGATCTGTCCATATGGTGTTTTTGGAAGTTCGCAGCTGTACCCTTTGGTTATGTCAAAATAGCTATTGAAAATCACCATATTTAATGGTTATATCATATTTATATAAATGACCATTTTCCATAGCAAACTGTTAGTTTACCAGAGGGTAATCATTGGTATCCCAGCGAACTATTATTCGTTGAAGCTGGATGGTGTTCTATGCCTTCCTTGCATGGGAACCTGAGAGTGCCATCCGAAAAACCTTGCTTGATAATTTGATAAACTGGATTTGCTGCAGGTGAGCTGTTATTTCCCGATTGGTTAAGCGGGGGCCCTTGAGCGAATCCAAGACAATCCCCTTTCATCAGAAGTGATGGTGGCAATTTCCAGTTCTGACTTTAGTGCTTGATGGTTTCATACAATTTGTGTTCACCGCTGAGCAGTTTGGTGATATCTCATATTTTTTTGCAGAGGCCTTGGTGGCTCAAACGCCAACCAATTTTCGTTAATGATATTCCATTCCATATTCTTGGTGCATCAATTAGGTATGCCGTGTTTGATGGGTGGTGCATGATGGTGATTCCCACTTATAAGTCTATTTATAAACCTATTTCACTGTGGATATATGTACCACAAACCATATTTAACCCAGTTACAAGCCAACTTAGCAAACATAAGATCAACTATGTCAATTCTACATCTAGGCCGTTGTTGCTGAACCCCCCTACCATCAACACCAAGGTGGTTGGCGAATCGAACTCTCCATGTGCCACTTGACACTGTGGGAAATGGAGGGATGGAGATGGTGGGGATAGGACCAACAAAATATGCAGAAAAAATCAAGGAAATCTCAAAGGAGATAGAGATATGAGAGAATCTGCGGACATTTTGTCGATGTAATTGTGTTACTTTGGGGATACAGTGAGGATCTCATGCGCATACGCATGCACATGACATAGACTGGGGATGTTTCTGGTTGAAGTATAGTGACGTCACAGTCCGGCCTCATCTAAAATTGAAACGATGATTGGAAAAGGACATAAATTCAAGATATTGCAAGAATCATGAATTCCACGTTTGCACGCTAATCATGTGCGCATGGTTGTGTTGTGTTAGTTTGGATCCAAACCGGTACATTTGCACGAAATCTATGTTTGGTAGTTGAATCATGTTTTTCTCGCAATTTTGGTCGGTAAAAGAAATGCTTGCTAGGTAAATCCACGTGTTCTTTCATAGCGACATTTTTCGTTCTTAAATCTACTATGCTGATATTTTGTCAAATCCTTCTTTTGAAAGGGAAGTCCTATAGTTTTTATAGTTCTTTAAATCCCTTCTGATACGACAATATCACTTTGAAAACACCCTGAATATCTCCCGGAAATTATGCCTTCATCATCCCAAGTGCCCAGTAGTTGCATCTCAAAAGGGGGTAATGTAAACCTCCATTCCCAATGAAATTCCTCTTCTTATCTGACTCCTCATACTTTAGGTAAATCCAAATATGTTTGCGGTACATCTTCTTGTCCGGTTTCTATCCCGACTTGGTATGGTGAAATCCAACTTTTGAGCAACTCGCAGAGTCGGCTGGGGGTTGAAAACCCAGCCATAATACATTGATCCTCAGCCACTTTGCGATGTGTTATAGTTGGAATTTCAGGATCCTAAAATAGAGGTACGTTAGTACCATTTTTCAGGCCATATTATGTGGGATATTGCCTGAAATTTCGCCCTTAAATAGATCTCTGATTTAAGTACCTCAAATATTACCCTCTGGCAAACTAACATAGTTATCGAGAATGACCATAGAAATAGTTGATTTACCCATTAAAAATCATAGGATCATATGGCATGCCTCTTCAAGAGGTGTCGCTTCAAACAATTTGGAGCTGGAAAATGCTAAAGGAATCCCAGGGGAACCCGACAAGAAGCTGAAAGAATCCAAACAAAAACTACAAAATGCTCGAAAAATCCAATCCTATTCAGTGTGATATTTGGTTCTTTTTGGAGATCTCACCACTGGCACTCTATACAACCAATTCAAAATCTACAGAAGAAACAGGGAATGCCGGAGGACAATTAGAATTCAGAGAACATATTATATAAAGCTACAAAAACTTGAAAACCAAAGAAAATTCAGAGAAACTGAACAAAAACTAGAAAAACTACAAAAAGCTGAAAAACGCTAACAAAAGCCAAACAAACCTAAAAAAGGCTAGAAAAAAACTAAAAAAAACTAAAACATGCTAAACAAATCCCACTTTTGGGCCGCCGAAGGGGCACTCCCTCCAAGAGCTTTTCCTTAACTTGCTTGAGTGCTATTGGCTAGCTTTTCTCAAGTTTTCTTTATTTTTTTTAAGCTCCCAGGTCCCAGCACCCTCGTTCAATGAGTTGAAGAGGCAGGTCTTGAAGAGACATGTGATGTGTAAGTAAGGAGGGGTTGCGATTTTCCATAGCTATGATAGCTATGCTAATTTACCAGAGGGTAACCCAATTAAAAGATCATATCCCCACATAATATGCCTGGTTAACCTGATGATATTTTGGGTACTACACCTGATTTATACATAAATACAATACCATCTTATTTTTCCTTTTTTTTTAATGGGGTGATCTTATAATACCATCTATTTACCTCATGTTTTCCTTATATTTTTACTTATACCATCTTATCTATGCTGAGGTGATCTTCGGTATGGTCGGACTCTTCGCGAGTTGCTTCCGCTTTCCGCTGACGCCGGTGGTGATCGTGGCCGGGCGGCGAGTCGGGATGGGATGGCTGCGCCCACCGGGGATTTTTTCGGCTTTTAGCCGTGGCTGGATGGATAAATAGTAAGCACAGCTGGGTGAATTAAAGGATGAGCCTCTGGTTATGACTAACATAGCTATTGAAAATGGCCATAGAAATAGTGGATTTACCCATTTTCCATAGTTATGTGACAGTTTACCAGAGGGTAATAATTTACCATAATCTATGAAAGGTTGGGTTTCTGGAGGGCCAGTTAAGACATCGACTGTGACTGTGGCCTCTTAGACCAAGATTGGATGGCTCAATACTCAAAATCAATCAATATACCCTCTGGTAAACATACAAAAAACTATGGAAAATCACCATTTGTAATGCGAAAACTCACTATAAATGGCCATTTCCAATAGCTACGTTAAATTACCAGAGGGTAAAGGAGTAATAATTTACCATATTGAATTTTAATATATATGATCCAACAATGATCACTACAATATAGTCATATCACACTACAGATGTACCGTAAACAGATGTTTTTCGACCATTTTTGCATTGGTTTTGTATCGGTGAAACCTTGGGGATTTAACCGTAAAAAATTGGGGGATTTCCCAACCGTAAAAAATTGGGGGTTCCAATTAATTTTTAAAGGTCTGGTTTTTGCAGCAACAACTTGATGTTTTAAGAGGAACTGATGATGAGCAAAATCGATTTTGGGGATATCCTGGTAGTTGACGGTAACTCTGGTGAAGGATCTAACCAAGAAAATATGGGGACATAGTGGGTACATAGCATGGAACATCTTCTGGATACTTCAAGTTGCGTCAGTGGACCACTGGATGGGTGGGATTGGGGTGATTATCCTCAACCCGGCCCATTTCGGGTCAGTGAATTCTTGTAATTCATCCAGACCTATGGTTGGTTTACCTGTGCGGGGCACCCAAAATACTTCATCTTGTAAACTATTGTAAACTCAATGCGAAACGAAACCATCCCAGAAGCAAACCATGTGAGGTTCATAGTAAACATGTTCTAAACCCCAAGTAGGGGATGTGTTCTTTCTTGGGCATCTTAATAATCACGAGCCAAATTCCTGTTTATGTAACTTGATTTAGTGATTAGCTGAGTGGATGAGTTGTTGATTTCTCCAGGTTTTTTTTGGGGGAAAGTGTTTTCCTTTATATATAGAGGAGCCCCTTAGAATCCTGAGGTCCTCGAACTTACGGGAACGCGCACCTACAACATCATCCTCCCCGTTGCTTTGTCCTCTTTCACGGTGCCTTGGAATGTGAGATGACTTGGACGACCTGGTGACCTCGCAACAGCAAAAAAGGGATGAGATTTCTTAATGGGGATGACTTTTTTGATCTTTTTTGGCATGGCCAAGTGAAGTCAATTTTGGGTAAACCAACTGGGACCAACTGAGTTGAACGGCCAGTGAAAAATCTTTCCCAGTTTTCTCTTCGACTCTTCGACTGGAAGGATCTGGAAGGCACCGGTACTTGTATGAACTTCTAGAAATTGGCCAGCTTTCATCGATTTTCATCGTCTCTTGCCAAGATGTGTCAGGGCATTGTGTTCGAAATGTCAGCATGAAATGGCTAAAGAAAGTATGCTTTTGTGGACACAAAGAAGCAAGGTTCAACTCAACCCTGTTTCGTTCGTCATTCTTGTTTTCGCAAGCTGAATGTGTCTATATGTAACATCAAAAACTGCGATAAACCCACTTACCGCTTTGGGTGTGTCAAAAATCGGTTATGGTCTATGGTAATTTTAAGAGCTTCCGTTTTTCCAACATGTTCAATCACATCTCATATCATATCATGTTGGTTGTACCATGGCTATCCCCACTATTCCCATCTGAGACAGTCTCCATTGCTATAGAAGGCCTCAAAGCTGAGAGGCCTTGTCCGTCTCCAACCATTTGTTTCCACCGATCTTGGAGCAGATTTTGCAGCTCAGCTCGTGGGGGGTGGGGTCAAGGTGCTCTCGGTTTGAGTCGGGTCAAACAGCGGGCCCCTGTTGCGTCGGTAACACGGGTTTTTAGTCGTGCATATTGCGCACTGTAATTTAAAAAAATCCCAGATTTCCAGATTAATCAACATCAAATCATCAAATTTCATTGCAGTAAGTTTTATGAAACCCCATTGAATACCATGAAAATCCCATGAAACCCCACATGAATTCCCAGTCGCCTGCCGATCCCAGCGTCCACAGGCACCAGGATGACATCGACCTGGAAGCAGTGGCAGAACTGGCGGAGATTGCGGAGGAAGAAGAGTTTCGCGGAAGAACTGGGATGGGGTGATGTTCGTGTCAACATGAACTTGAATGTATTTGAATGGTATGGCGTATGGTGCTTTGAATTGCATGAGATACATGGTATCTCATGGTATAAAATGGCTTCCTTAATGTTGCTTGTTCATGCTTTTTCATGGTATTCTGTTCTAATTTATTTACGATTTACAAGGTATGCTTTTCATATGGTTCTATCTTATGCCAGAGGTTCGTGGCGTTTTCTTGAATATTTATATTATATGGGTTTGTCTGAAAATATGGTATACCATGGTATACCCATGGCCATGTTCGGAAAATGATGATTTTTTCCAGTTTGGATTGTGGGTAGCATTTTTTCACAGAAGCGCATGTGGTAGTATATATTAGGTCAAAATATTTAATGGTATTCTTAATGGCATGTCTAATGGTATTTAGTGGCATTTAATGATATGAATAGGTTTGTAATGGCAATTGAATGCATTTTAGCATCAAACCTTGTCATAAGATAGGGAACAGATATAACGTCACCAATTAAACATGGACAGGGATCCAACGTAAAAAGAATGTTACGTGAACAGAATTGCTATATATATATAATTATATATATAATAAATATAACCAGATCCTTCCAAAGTGAAGAATTTTGCCTTTTTGCACCATTTGAGGCAGACTTAAAAACTTTTGCGGGTAAAGTTCGCCCAAAACCAAAAAGTTTAATAATTCTTGAACCATGGAAGGTCCAGGACTGTATAAATATCCATAGGGGGGGAGTTGTTAGAATTTGGGATCACCAAAACCATGGGTTTCAATACTAAACTAGTCTAACCTTCATGATTTGGGGGTACCCGCATTTTTAGGAAACCTCGATATATATATAATATATATATAAATAAAATATAATATAATACAATTTAATATAATATTATAATATATATAATATAATATAAATATATAATATATAATATATAATATATAATATATATATAATATATAATATATATATATAATAAATAATATATATATATATAATATTTAATAAATAATATATATATAATATATATATAATATAATATATATATATATATAATATATATTTTTTTTATAAATAATATATGTATAATATAATATAATATAATATATATTATATATATAATATAATATAATATAATATAATATAATACAATAAAATAAAATATAATATAATACAATTTAATATAATATAATATATAATATAATATAATATAATATAATGCAATATATATGTATATATAGCTAAAATATAATATAATATAATATAATATTCAATAATATTCAATATAATATAATTTAATTTAATATAGTATAATATATATATATAATATATAATATATACATATATTATATAATATATATGTATATATAATATAATATATGTATATGTATATTTAATATAATATAATATAATTTAATTTAACATAATATAACATAACATAATATAATATAATATAATATTTGTATAATATAATATATATATATACATACACACATGGATATGTTTCTTTTAGATGTGGATATTCCAATCTGATGGGTTTTACAAAGGATGGTTATTTCCCACTGAAGGATCCCACCTACCGCCCGAGGTGCCATGGTGCATATCATGGTGTAAAGTGGCAAAGGTTACGAAGTGTTGGATGGGTTAAATCTGCTGAAAGTTTTTGTATGGAAACACCAACATTTACAGATGATTGCCTAAGGGAAACCAGACATGGGTGTTCCATGTCTATGTTGATTATTACTGCAGAGGGATGTGGTAAATCAGGGAGCAGTTCATCACCCGAGTAGCTGGAATGGCGTCCCTACCTTTTGGTGGTTGAATTGTCTTTTTTTTTCCTTCTGGTTATATATAGATAGTGACTGGTAGTTTTTGGTGAATGAGCAATGACCGATAAAGTGATTCAAATGCGTTAAATGTGGCTATGAGAAAAAATGCCTCCACGATTTTCGCAGAGAAGTTCAATGATTTTGGGAGAAATGTGAATAAACACCAAGGAGTAATTGATGGATATAATTCTGAATGGGCATATGACGCCTCCATATTCAGATGTGGACTTGGGGCAGTCATCCCAAACTGAGCCAGCTATAGCACAGCAAACCGTTGTCATTACCAGAGGTTAATTCATCCTATTTAACATCCCCATTTTGGTTGGTTAAATCCTTGGTGGCCTTGGTAATCATCTTTGATAAAGTGAAACCATGAGTAAAAAGTGGTTTAAACCAACAAGGCAGTGAATCCAAACCTCGAATCCGGGGATAACATTTCGGCGGACCCAGAGATTTGCCTATGTCATAGTTTGGGTTGTTAAACAGAAGTTTTGGGGTGGTTATGGCAGCCACGCGAATGTACCTTTAAATCCACCCTACCAACATGCGTGGACAATCCGACTTGTGAATGGTGGGGTTTCATGCATACGGGAAAACGACACCCTAACCCATGTTCAATTTTTTGAGGGCAAATTGAATGTTGTTTGATCTAAGCTTACCCACTGCCATGTTTAATCCACAGCTTAGTGCTGCCATCTTCAGCTGGTTTCATAAATAATCATAAATAAATCCAAGGTTCCTTTGGCCCCCCGCAAAATCTGGCTATTTCGAGTTGTTTTTTTTCCGATTTTTATTTCTTGCATCCGTTGTTTGAATCTCATGTTTATCAGAACTAAAATGGAACCTGAAAACTTGATTTGGAAGATGGTTTCCACCGGGAAAGGGCCAAATTTAAAGGTCTCCATGTTGGATTCACGGTTTTTTTTTACAGACACACTTCAAAAAATGCCTATAGTTACTATAGTTCGAGGTCGATGATTCCCATCGGAAGACAGGTTTGGACATGTTTTTTTTCACGGTTAGTTACATGTTCCCAGCTGTTTCTGAAACACCCAGGGAGTTGATGACACAATTTCAGATGCAACTTGGACCGTCCTGGTGTCCGAGATATCCCCAGATGCCGAGCTTGGTGTGATTTCGCAGGATGTTAGTTACATGAACCTCTATGGAACCCATGGGTAATCAAGTATATATGACCATGTTCAGTAGCAAACGGTTAGCTTTCCAGAGGGGATGTTATACTGTATATGTACACATCTTTAGTTCATATTTTGAGGTTCGCAACTGTTTTTATCTTTTTGGGGATTGCGATGTAAAGATGTCTTGGGTTTCTGACAAGCCTTGTGATGGTCACTTGGAAATGCAATCAAGGCCATGACCCGTAAGAAAGCAAACACATCGTCCACAGTGGCGTCCCGCAGTTGTAAGTGGGTTATTTTTCACCCATCCAACAATATCTTGCGAAAGATATGTCCACCTTGTGACCTGGGTGACTTACTTATGTAGCTAAGTTATCTCCACCAATGGCTGGCTTCTTAGCACCACTTGGCTAATTTCATGGTGGTTAAACCTACCGAAAAAAAAACTCTTGGTAAGTGCTGAATTCCCTATGCAAATGTGACATTTAGATACCTTTCAAACCTCATTCAACTGATGGAAGGCATTTAGTAAAACATCGTTTTTGCATCTATATACCAAATATATATATATAATATATATATATGTATATATATTTATATATGCATTGACCATCAAGAGTCAGACAAAAACTACATGCTGGATCTCACTCAGCTGGGAAGTTCAAATTTCTTTGAAGTTTCCAAAGCCTCAGTCTGAACAGTATTTTTCCCAACAAAGCAATCCAGTGACGTATGGTTTTCTGTGGCTACCCCTAAATTCCTGACCAAATCTGACTCACTTTTTAGTGAAAAAATCGTACGGTGAATAGAAACTAACGATTCAAATCTGATCGCAAAAAGGGGTTGAACATGGAGCCAGGATTGCCATTCTGAAATTTGAAATTTGATCTTTTGAAACCACTGGATGCTGTGTTTTCAAAGCTTGGAGCAGCAAAGGCAGCGAAATACTTCTGTGCAATCGCTGAACATGAGCGAAGCCAGTGGAATTTCGGTGGCTTCCAAGGGGCCTTTGGGCGCCATGACACAATCCTTGGGATCTGGTTTTGATCTGTCCGAAAATGTGGCTGTTATACCCCCAACAATCCCCCAACATGCCATTGAATGGAAGATATATGGACAAGAGATATCAAGAGATGACGACAATCAGCTTTTAATAATTTGAGGCATCTTGCTTTCAGACAAACAGTATGGACAAACCCAATGAATTCTTGCTGATACTGAACCTCCATTGCATTGTCCGAGATAACCCAAAACCTATCAAAAGTCGAGATCCAGCAACAGGCTTTCTGGGGAAGGGATGTTCATGGGCTTTCTGGATGGGGAGGGTAAGAAGCGCCAGTTGGAGAACGTTGCCCGACTTGGTACAGCAACACCCACAGAGTCCAGCATGAGCAACGTGCTGACATACTTTAGTGGTTGCAAACATAGTTTGGCCGATTATCCATGGCACTTGTGTGACAAGTTTATTTATCCATAGTTACCTTGAGAAGCAGCCATCGATATGCACAATGGCTGGTAAGCGCTGAGGTGGTTTGGTGAATCGACTCGAAGATTCAATGATGGTCACTGGGCGAAGCACCACAAGGGGTTTCTTCTCTTGTTTGTTTTGGCTGATCTCGTCAAAAAGAGGGGTTCAATCAGCAGAATAATTGGATCTATATCACAAACTGGCCGCAGAGACCTAACGTGATGCGGTTGAAATCATTTGCAATTTGCATGCTTCGGAAATTTGACAGGTCATGCGCATTGGAAACTATCAGTATTTTGCTGCATTTTGCTGGCTTAAAAGTTTCAGAAACATTTCGGGAAGTTCAAACTCAGGAAGCCACTCACGGGTCCCAGCAAGAATTGGACAATCGGATTTGACCCATCATGAAATCGGAGAAAACCTTTTGTGTTTGGTGCAAACAACATCAAACAACTACTTGTTGCTTAGTGTTTTGCTACTTAAATAGGACGTGATTATATCATATTAATTCATATTATACCTCTCACAGTTCTTCCCTTCATGTAGATACCACTTAAAGGCCAGGGTTTCCTGCCAGTTCCTGCAAAGAGATCCATAAACCAACTCTTTGATACCTGAGATTCGTTCTGTAACCCGAGGATGTGTCGTCGCGGCGGCGGCGGATGTCCCTGATGAGTAAACTCAGTATGACATCCTCGAGATCAGGTTTCTGAAAAAACGGGGGGGGACAAGCCAATGCCATAAACCGTCCCATACCATCCCCACGATTACCATCTGGTTCTGACATTCACAGTTCGCCATGGAAAGATCCACCGTTTCGAATAGGTAAATCATCTATTTCGATTAGGGCCATCTATACCGTGGCTATGTTAGTCATAACCAAAGGGTACCCAATTTTTACGGCTGGGAGTTGAAAAACACACCTGGGATGACGCTCCAAATTGTTACAGATGGCTTGAAGAGATCGCAATTTTCCACCGTCCGCAGATTTCTTGTCTTTGCTTGGGATGTTATTCAGATTGGGCAAGTATGTTTTTTTTGCATTTTTCAATGGCCATTCCAGGAACCTAAATTGGAGGTACCTGCCATATATAAGGCCTATATAAGGCCTATGTAAGGGAATATCCCAGCAAAATATGGCCCTATATGGTACAGTACCTCCATTTTAGCATTTTGAAATTCCCATTGAATATTTGATCTATGTTTGATCTATTTTTGCAAAAAAAAGGAAGAGCGCGCAAGGAATGCTTGGGTACTGTGCCAAACGAATTGTGCCAGTTGTGTCCGTTGTTTTTAAGCTGCCGATGGTAAAAGCAAGACACTGCATGACCACTTGGTTTACTGTAATTTAACGGGACAATTTATGGAACAACTTTGTTCTTTGTGTGGGTCCTGAACACTTAATCTACTTAATCTACTTTCCTTCACAGACCCGAAGAGAACATGATTATATAATATTATATAAATTCTATTCTGCATTTTTGTGGGTCCTGAACTTTCCACTTAATCTAAATTCTGGACAGCAAACATGGGGATGACAACCAGCCAATCCCATTTCTAGATGTGGAGGACGCAACGGCGGCCGTGGAATCCGACGTTTGTCCATGTCCCTCGGCAGATGTTTTTGTTAGCTTCCCCGGGCCGGAAATCAAATATGGCTAGCTGGAAAACCAGGAAGACTCCCATGAAAACGGCACCATCGCTCCAGATTTTTCATTTCTATGGATTTTTGGGATGATGTTGGAAAAGATTAGAAAAGTGGGGAGTTTTGATCCCCCACCCAGTGGTTGAATTTTAGAGGATATTTATTGATTTTTCTACTAGTAAGTACTTATGTTTTTTAGTTGTCCATTGCCAGGCTAGATTACCAAAGGTTACCTTGCTTGTTTTTTCCCATCGAAGTTTGTAGCCGTTGCCCCTTGCAATTTATGGGCCGATTCCTTCCCACATGTTCATCAGCTATGCAATTTCGCTGCGAGAAAAACCAAGCAGTTAATTTTCCTATCCCATGTGCTGCATGGTTGGCTTTTTTTAAGCATATACTGCATACTCCCAAAATGTGCCAACATGTATGTCAATATACCGTACATGGAGCATAGGGTATTGTATTAGGGTATGCTGGATTTGTTGGAAATTGCCTAGTGTAGCGGATCTCATATGTCAGAGCACTTGAATCCACCAAGTGAGCCCTAAAAACCTAAACTCGAGCCTCCTTTCTGGTGACAAGAATCACCGAAAAAATTATACTTGCATATCAATTGCAGTGATTAAATATATATATATATAGTATCTAGAAATGTTACAGTATCCAGTGCTTAGGGAGCGAAGGAGCTATGGGCATCCATATTAACAAAAAATTGGTGGCCGGCCAGTTGGAGCTATTGAATTTCCCAACCACTTCATACAATATGCTGGGATGAAATGGAGTTAAATGGATCAAAATCTCCGAAAAGCCATTGAGTTTGTATTCCCATTATCCCTATATTTTTCCCAGAGATTTCCCATTTTAAATATGTTTGTTGTTTATTTTCCTATATGTTCCCATTAGTTCCCTAGATTTTTCCCATGAATTCCCTATTCGGCCGCAGGAATTCGCGCATGTCCTTAGCTTCCAGACCATCTGCAACAGGCGGATCTCGGCGCCGGGATCCACTAGGGATGTTGGTTACCCTCCAGTAAACTAGTGATTTCATGGTGGTTAATCGTTAATGATGGTTAATGATTAATTATGGTTATATAATGATGGTTGATGATTTAATGATGATGATTAATGATGATTGATGACTGTACCCTCTGGTAAACTAACAGTTTGCTACTGAAAATGACGCAGTCGAAATAGAGGATTTTCCCATTGAACATGGTGATTTTCCAGCATGGAAGTGGCCATATAACTGGAATCCACCGGGATCCACTAGGGAACATGGCCATAGAAATAGTTGATATATATAGTATACCTCTAAAAAATGTGGATTTTGCTGTAAAATAATGATGATTTACCTATAAACAACATGTTCATTTTCCATAGCTATGTTAGTTTACCAGAGGGTATTTTAGGGGTGATTCATTGGTTCATTGATTGATTTGATTCATTCATTGTGTCATTCATTGACCCACTTGTGTTTCACGCATTCATTAGTTCAATCATTAACTATTTCGTTCATTGATTCATTCGTTTGATTCATTTGTTCATTGGTTCACTCGCTGATTCACTCATTGGTTGATTCATCCACTCAGTCGTTCTTGCACTGATTCTATCTGATTCTCTCATGTCGTTGCTTTCATGTCATTTTATTGGCGTCTCAACAACCATTGGCCCATTCATTGATGCATGCACCTCACGACCTCATTTTTTCATTGCTTCTGCATTGCACTGACATTTTATATGCCATTCATGTCTTATAGCCATGTTCTTTTTGCTGAAACTTCCGCCGGGACACGGATGCACTGCTTGATCATACTGTGATAGGTTGGTTGATTCTAATTATTACCATCTACTTACTGTATGTCCAATCAATGGATGTTGATTAGAATCATGGATTTGTGTGTAAAAGATGGTGTTCCATTCCACCCATGGTTGATCGCAGTTGATGGATTCACCGGTATACCGGAACAATCCAGGTTCCGGCCATGGTTATCCATTTTCCCGAATGCGTAGCAAGGGTTCCCGTTTCACTCTGGGGGTCTGGGGGTTGAGGGTGTGTTCGCTCGACGTTGCGTTCGCGAGCGCAACCGTTCGCAACCGTCCGCAACCGTCCGCGCGAGGACCATATGGCCGTGCCTATGGGAAGTTCTGCAGGAGTGGTCCTTTTTGGCGTTTTCAGACGTCGGGTTGCTTCGTTTCGCGTGGCAGGCGTGGCACTTCGTGACATTCAGACGTGTTCTGGAACGTGTCGAAAGTCGTTTTGCGTGGCAGGCGCAATACTTTTGCGACGTTTTCACAAGATGCGTTGCAGTTTTCGTGGCAGGCGCAGCACTTTGGACGTGTCCATTGTCATTTTTCGTTGCAGGCGCAGCACTTTAGACGTGTCGTGTTGCGGGTTTTTTGTAAATCGCATTGGCAGGGCTGCGTCAAGTGGCGACAAGGTGCAAATTTCGTGGCAGGCGTGGCATTTTGTGACATGTATTGAAAATTGACGGAAGCCTCGCACGAAACATCGATTTTGAGGTTGCAAATTTTCAGGTTCTAAGGAAAACTCGTAGGAAAACGTCGATTTTGAAGCTGCAAAGTGTCAAAATTGGAGGAAGTATCGTACGAAATGGTGGTTTTTCTGCATCCACGTGTCTTGTCTCGAGTCGCTGGTTTTCCTGTGGCGTCGCCGTGTCTATGGGGGAAGCTGGAAAACATGTCCTTTTCGAATGTTTCCAAGCAGGTTGTCATGTCGTTTTGCGTGGCAGGCGTGGCACTTTGTGACATTCCAACCTGTTTGATAACGTGTCGAAAATGTCAAAATTGGAGGAAGTCTCGCACGAAATGCTCGTTTCTTTGCACCCACGTGTCTCGTCTCGAGTCTCTGGTTTTCCTGTGGCGTCGCCGTGTCTATGGGGGAAGCTCCTTTACACTCCACACTCCACAATTTACACTTTAGACCCCACACTCTACACTTTACACTCCACACTTTACACTTTGCACTTTACACTCCTCACTCCTCACCTGAGACTTTACACTCCACACTCCACACTTTACACTACACTCTACACTTTCCACTCCTCACTCCTCACTCCTCACTCTACACATTTTACACTCCACACTCTACACTTTGCACTCCACACTCCACACTTTACACTACACACTCCTTACTTTACATTCCACACTTCACACTCCACACTTTCCACTCCACACTCCACACTTTACACTTTACACTCCTCACTCCACACTTTACACTCCTCACTCTACACTTTACACTCGTCACTTTACACTCTACACTCCACACTCTACACTTTACACTCTACACTTTACACTCCACACTCCACACTCTACACTTTACACTCTACACTCCACACTTTACATTTTACACTCCACACTCTACACACCACACTCTACACTTTCCACTCCACATTTCGCACTCCACACTTTACACTCCACACTTTACACTTTACACTCCTCACTCCACACTCTACACTCCACACTCCCCACTTTACACACCACACTCCACACTCTACACTTTCCACCCCACACTCCGCACTCCACACTCCACACTTTACTGTGCACTCCACACTCCACACTTTATACTTTACACTCCTCACTCCACACTCCACACTTTACACTCCTCACTTTACACTCCACACTCCACACTCTACACACCACACTCTACACTTTCCACTCCAGACTCCACACTCTACACTTTACGCTCCACACTCCACACTTTACACTTCACACTTTACACTCCACACTCCACACTTTACACTCCTCACTCCACACTTTACACTCCACACTCCACACTTTACACTCCTCGCTCCACACTCCACACTTTACACTCCACACTTTACACTTCACACTTTACACTCCACACTCTACGCTTTACACTCTACACTATACACTCTACACTCCACACTTTACACTTTACACTCCACGCTTTCCACTTTACACTCCTCACTCCACACTTTACACTCCACACTTCACACTCCACACTTTACACTCCACACTTTACACTCCACGCTCTACGCTTTACACTCTACACTATACACTCTACACTTTACACTTTACACTCCACGCTTTCCACTTTACACTCCTCACTCCACACTTTACACTCCACACTTTACACTCCACACTCTACACTTTACACTCCATACTCCACACTCTACATTTTATACTCCGCATTCTACACTTTATACACTCTACACTCCCCACTCCACAGTTTACACTCCACACTCCTTACTTCACACTCCACACTCCACACTCTACACTTTCCACCCCACACTGCAGACTGATAACAAGGGAAACATGCACAAGACTGTTCAAATATAAACTATTGCAGAAAGGTATTGTGCGTGACTGCATAACCATGTGTTTTGACATCTGTACCATTAACATACGTGTGAGCATTCGGGTTCGTGGGCTTCATCTTGTTTTTGTGCCATTCATATCCAATACACACACATGTATATATATATTATAACAATTATGTGTATATATATATATAGAGATCTATAATAATAACATATATATATACATATGTATATATATATACCCACCCATATCCAATATTATTTTATTCCCATTTTTCCAGTGATCCCATATATGAACACCGGAACTCCCATGGTCGCTCCCTGCTTGTCTTTGTCCAGGCACGGGAAGTCGGAGCCCAACGACCCCGACGCACCCAGAGAGTCCAAAGGCCAAAAAGCGACCGCAACAGGACGGTCCGAAACGGCGTCCGAGCAGTCTGTTTTTTCATGGGGAAAACCATGGTGGTTTCCCTGCAAGCTATGGTGATTTGATGTGACTCATGATAAACTAACAGATGCTTCAGCGTGAGAAGTGATGATAGTTGGGTGCATCCCAGAAGCCGCAGACGTCACTGGAATGATGGGAAGTGTAAGGGAAACAATGGGTGGCCATATCCCATATGCTCCATGGTGCTGGAATATTTACCAACATTTGCCGTAAAAAATCACCCAAATGTAGGTAAATATACCATACATGAGCATATGGGATATCATAAGAGTTATTTTCGGGCGTGTGACTTATCAGAATTTACGCAGGTTAATCTAACTTGGGATTTTCGACATATAATTGGAAAAGAATGCTATTATGCGTATTACCCACTTACTTTCATGCCGGGGGGGAAAATGGTGATTTCCAATGTCAGCCCCGGATGAATGAACCCTGATCATGGATGGGGGCGATTGCAACTTACTTCGCTTCCTTCTTGAATCCTCAAAATGCCAAATTCCGTATTATATAGAAACCCACTTGAGAACAGCACCCACACAATTTTTCAAGCTAGCCCATGAGCAGCTCAGATCTTCAATAGTACATTTGTTGGAGGGTCCTCTATTGTGTTCAACTTCTTCTTGCTGTTTTTCCAAAATCATTATATCCGTTCCTTTACTTTATGGCTTTTGTCTCTTACTTAGTTCCATTCTCAAATGAAACGCTGCGGGTGTCATCCCTATGCACAGTACTGTATAGATCATGCATGTGAGATGTACAATAACTTTTGGACTATATGGTTCACCATGTAAACAAACTTTGGCCAAACTTTGGCTCGAGTAAAGAGTCGCGTCCTTGCTTCACAGGGTTAAGAGCCTTGTTTTGCGCCATAGCTTTATCTGTGCCGTGTTTGGAACTTTCCTTCATCGATCAAGTGTAGTATCTGTTCTTATTGAGTGTTGGCAAAATGGCAGACTCATCCAAAGGAGGAGTGAAACGCCCACGTGGCGAACGTGGCGGCGTAAAAGCTCGAAAACAGAAAGAGCTCCGCCGGAAGGTTGGGGCCGGGGAAGTAATCCCGAAGAGGAACTTTCCAGAAAGGCCCACCTTTGGATCGCAGAGCCGAGAGGCCTCGTGAGATTGAAGATCTTGACGAGGTTGAGGTGGCGGACGAAAAGCCTATACTGAGCCTGCGGAGGGCACGGTCAGGACTGGCGACGTTTCTAGTGCTTCTGCTTCATCTTCATCTTGCTTGACTCAGCCAATAGGATCATCAGGGGATTTCAGACCAGGTGGGTTTTCAGCAGTGACATCGGCGCCAGTTGTTACTTAGGATCTTGAGGTGCGAATTGCCTTAAATTTTCAGAACGTCCTGGACGTCCAATCTGCAGACTCCGCATCATACGAGAAAATCCAGCCGGAAGCCACTCAGGCAATCACTCAGTGTTTGCTTGAATCGGACAGAAACTTCATCAGCATTGTCTCCTACATCGGTGAGTACGGAACCATGCTCTCAGAAGAGGCGCAGGTCACTTAGGGAGGAAGTGGGTGAAGCTCAATCAGCGGCTGATCTCGCGGCATCCCTCATTTTCGACGGGTGAGGCTGTTGATCACAGCAGACGGTTGGAAGAACGAGCTGGTGAAGGAGTCAGTTTCGCTGCATTGGGATGACAAGCTCTCGATCCTGGACACTTGTTATCGGAACGAGGTGATCCCAATCTGGTTCTCTCGTCGCAGGAATCGGTGGTATCAGTCTTGCACGACCTTGCAAGAGGTTCTGGAGACCGCTGGACGATTGGTGCTGCCGAGGGTTTATGAGAATCCTTTGCTGGGCGCATTCCCTTGATCGAAGCTTGGCATTGCTTAGCAGCAACTTTTAAAGTGACTAATTCTTGAATGAGCTCATCCTCGAATATCACTGAGCTCGTGCATCGCAAATCTTAGAATCCAAAATGGGTTTTGCTGCTGTAGAGGGGATGCCTTCACTTTGGTGGAATGCAAACACACGGGTACTAGCTGCAGTTTACGTTGATGACCTCATAGCTGCTGGCCCCGCCAAAGCTTGTGATGATTTCTGGGCAGCCTTTCGGTCCTACGTGACCATTGATGAGGTTAGTGAACCCAGAAGGTTCCTAGGCCGGGACCATGCCATCGCTAAGGCCGCAGGTGGAAAGGACGTGTTCCTTTCTATGAGGGGATATTGCATTTCTGCTGTAGGCTTGTACTTGAAAGTTGCCGGAGACAAACCCCTGAAACAGGTTTCAGCACCATACCTGGATTCTGAATTGAAAATTTCTGGTTGGGAAGCCAAAGGCCAACTAGAGGAGAAGTCCGCTTCGATATTGATGAAAATTCCTTGGTTGGCAAGACTGCATGTCACGCCCTGGCCTTTCCCATGGAGTCACTAAACTTGCTTCAGAAATCACCCGCTGGAGTATCAACCATGACAAAATGCTATTCCGCTTCGTTAGCTATATGAATTCTACTTTGGATTTTGGGGTCCTAGCTTCTGCCCGCGGAACACCAGAAACCATTTCTTTTCATCTTTACACCGATGCTGATCTGGGAGGTGACATTTGCACCATGAAATCACATTCCGGCGCATACTTGGCTGTTGAATGTCCAAATGGCACGCACTTCCCAATTTGGTCCTCCCGTCGCCAGCTATGCGCCCCCAAAAGCACCACAGAAAGTGAACTTGTGGCCATGAATGAAGGCTTATAATACTCGGATGCGATCCCAGTCCAAACGGTACTCGACTTGGTTTTTGGCTTACTCTCTGATTCTTCATGCAGACAATCAAGCATGTATCCACATACTTCGTAGCGATTACTCCCCAAAGCTGAGAATTTCTGAATCGGACCCACAAACTATCAAGTGCGAGACCGTTAATGACTTAGGTCTTGAACTACAGTACGCTGAATACGCTGACCAACATGCAGATCTTTTCACCAAGGTGTTCCAAGGATGAAATTCGTGGACTCCATGCGCAAGCTGAAAATTGGACCGTCTAAATCCCGAAAATAGATTTTCCAGAGAGAAGGTGGATACCTGCGCTTGCGCGGATTCCAACCAAGGATCTTCTTGGCTAGCAATTTCTACTCCATCTTCACTCCTGGCATTATGTATATCTTTGCCTATATCAAGGTGCTGGCTGGGTTTTCGTTCTTGCGCTGGCCATGAGTGCCTAATCCTTCTTGTATCTGCGCAACGCGCGGACATAAAACGAGGTTTATGGTATCAGGTGACCTTTTGCGACTGAGAGGGTCAAATTAATGCATGTTTTGTTCCGTTTCTGTCTCACCCGCAGTGGTAAGCCGGGATGATTTTCTGTGTGAAAGCTTGGTACGGAACCCTTTTGCCGGGTGGGGATTCCATTCCAATGCTGGTGCAGTTGCATCAGCGCTTGCGCAGGACTCTGTGGTGCCACCAATCCGGTGGGGCAAAATGAAACGTTGTGGGTATAATCCCCATGCACAGTACTGATCATGCATGTGAGATGTAAAAAACTTTTGGACTATATGGTTCACCATGTAAACTTTGGCCAAACTTTGGCTCGAGTAAAGAGTTGCGTCCTTGCTTCACTGTTCTCCAGATACCTTCCCCTGGTGTTTCTGGGGGATGCCTATGGAATTTGTATCTGATTTTCAAGGGCTTTCTAGAGGGTTTCTATGATTTCTATGGTATTTCTATTGGGTGTCTACGGGACGTCATGGGATGTCTGTAAGATTTCTTTGTACTTCCTTGGGGGTTTCTATGGACTTTCTATGATATTTCTATGGTATTTCGATGGGATTTCTTTGGCATTTCTATGAAATTTCCATGTGATTTCTAGGGTGTGTCTATGGGATTGCTTTGGGATTTCTATAAGGTTTCTTTGCGATTTCTATAGGCTGTCTATGGGTTTTCTGCGGGATTTCTCTGGGATTTCTATGATACTTGGATGCTGGTTTTTACTTGCGGCACTTATATCTACATATCGAAGATGTAGGACTTATAAACGAGATAGCAAGGACTTATCCAGAACTTAGGTTGGACTTAGCTCTACTTGAAAGTAATACATAGGGATAAGTCCCTCTTAAGTGCTTCAAGTTGGAGCTAAGTGAACATATCCTTTTTTTAAATCTTTTTGGGAATTCACCGAAACGTGCTTTGTGTAGTTTTTCTTGATTCCAACAAAAAACGAGAATTGAGAATATTTTGGCAAATCTGCTGTCCAAAGACCAGCATATTGGTGGATGTTGCACATCTAGATGTAATATCAAATAGTCTACTTGTGTCTCCTACGATCATGATGAGTGTTGGTGAGCATTCTAATGACACATTAAGCAAACTACAGTCAGTGCAGAAAACCATTCTCCCCATAGCCCATAGCCCAAATTTCACAGAACTGCTGAGTTTCTGGGGTGAGATCTCTGCTATTTCTTTTTCTTATTGAAAACATGTTTTGAATATAGTCGGTTAGGTTGGCAAGTTTCTGCGTTCCACTGGATTGCAATCCTGAATGCATGTCACAACACTCACAACACCAAAAAAAAGAAACAATGTCTGAATCAACGCGTAGGTATGTGAAACCACCTCACTCCCTGAAATCTAAAGACTTCACCTTGAAGGAAAAAATACCCAGTGTTTTTTTTTCTTACTATCTTTTGGGCTAGCCGCATCTTGTTTTCAAGATGAATCTAAATGTATCTTTATGTATCTTTATGTATCTTCCTGACGCGGGGCAAAAGATACAAAAAGATACGTCGTATCTAAATGTATCTTTTTGTATCTTTTGCCCCGGGTCAGGAAGATACATAACGATACATAAAGATACAGTTAGATACATTTACAGGTTTCAACGCAACATAAATAAGAAAAAGGGGGCAACTTAAGCAGATTTATTTGTTTTTGACATATATTACAATATATGGGTTTGTTTGGTTTGTTGTTTCGACATGCAATCCAAACAAGAGCGAACTAATTCAGATTATGTCTATGGGTTTCAGTGGTTTCAGTTGAATTTACCGAAAACTTTTTCTGGGTAAAAAATGGTTTATGATATGTTGCATGGAGACATGAGAGGAAACATGGACCACAAGGGCTATTTTTAGGTCGTTCTTCGGAATGAGTTTCCACGGCAGCACATGAGCCTTTTCCTTCAACAAAATATAGCAGCAGCAACACAAAGTGTCAGCGAAACAAAGGTCCGCCAGGCGAAACAACGGTCCGCCAGTTCGCAAAAATACAAAGTATTGCACCTGTAAAACAAAACGATCCAAGATGCGATACAAAAAGATGCATCCGCGGAAATCCACAAAATCTTCATCTTAGAGCTGAAATCAAAGGAGTTTCATTTTTCAAACTCTAAAAATTATGTCTCCTAAGTCAAGAATATCTTTTTGAGAAATCAAAAAAAGTGAAAACGTAGCAAATGACCATAAACAGATAAAATCACTTATACAACATATATAGGCACTATATGTGCTCCAAATACCTTATATGTGCCTCCAAAAGATATCCTACTTATCCACTGCATAGCGGGCTTATATCCATAGTTGTATGTGGTTTACAACCATAGTTGTATGTATCTAAAAGTGCCGCAAGTAAAAACCAGCATCCAAGTAGTTCTATGATATTTATATGGGATTTCTGTGGTGTGGCTGTGGGATTCTAAGGGATGTCTATGGGTGGGATGATTTCTAAAAGAGTTCTTTGCAATGTGGCAACGTTTACCTCCACAAGTTTGGGTGTAACCTTTGCCGCTTTGGTTTTGCACAAATTTAACTGGAACTGCACCTCCAAGAACGGATTAGAAATCTGAGCAACTTCATTCTACAGGCTTGCGTTTGTGGTTTTCATAGGCTACTTAAGACAATTTCAAGACAACCACCACGCAGCTACAGGGGCTCATTTCCCCGTTTTCCATGCTTGGTACCCAGTACCTGTGACGGATGTGTTTGTGCAGTGGGTTGCTGAAATTACTTCCCAGTTTTGTTTAAGAATAGCGTGACCAGTGATAAATTCGCTGTATTTAACCCCACTCAACTGTCGATGTCTCCACCAGAAATCAGACAGCTAGCCTGGCCAAAAATAGTTTTGAAATCAACTTAGATTTGATTTGGGTCTTTCCTAAAATGACGGTACCCCGAAATTATCCACGTCATTAAGCTTTAAACCGTTTTGATTAATATTGAAACAAATTTTAAGAAATCCCGGTTCAATGTATTCTATCGATTTATCGATCATTTTCCCATCATTTTCCGCATGAACCCGGCCGCTTCACTGCAGGACTCCCCTGAGCATTCCGGAGCGGCGGTCGGAACGCCGGTTTCCGCGGTGTCGCCGTCGCGCTGGTCCGTGCAGACGGCGCTGGGCCCGCTGGATGCTAGGAGAAGCAGCGAAGGATTAATCCTGTCAATTGCTGGAATATTTCTTTGAGGATTAATGTGAATGGGATAATGGGAATGTGATGCTATATCACATGTCATTTTTTGGTGTATATTATATATATATGGATATTTTACGGATTTGTTTCGTTTATTAATGGAATATGAATGGTGGGAAGATCACCCCAGAAGGTTCATGGATTCACTCTGGTATGCCCTCTGGTAATTTAACATATAGCTATGGAAAATTGCCCATGTATGGTGATTTACCCATTGAAAACGGTGATTTCCCACAACCATGGTAACGTACCAGAGGGTGTGTATAATATGAGTATATATATATATATATGTTTGTGTGTGTGTCTCAGTGGAATCTATTTGAATAAGATACACACACACACACATATATATATATATATACACATACATATACACATAGTTATTCGACATTTCATGTTTTAATGATAAATATAAACTCATGGTTATATAGTATGAATATTAACGGGGATTTAACGGTGTATAATATTCCATTCATGGTATATAAATATATAATTATACACTAATATCACTACCCTCTTGGCGCCCCTGACCCCCCCCCCGGGGGGTAAAAAATGTAACATACATTATTACATTTTTATACGACCCCTAGAGATATAGGATTTTGGGGGGGGGAAATTTAACATGGGCATTGCACGGGGGTACACCTGCTATGTTACATTTTCCAAGGCCCCCCCCCCACGAACAGCCACGGAAATACTTTGGGGTGGGGGGACCCTAGGGGGTAGAAATTGTAACATATCTCCGTGGGGTACCAAAAAAAATATGTTACTTGTTTGGGTCCCTCCCCCCCACCATGCCCTATAACCCCCTATAGCATCCTATAGCTCTACATAGCCCTACCATAACCTACATGAACCTACCATATCCTCCCCATTCATCCCCATTCTACAATCAGAATCATTCTGATATATTCTGATATTATGTTTGATTCCAATGCCAATGTTTGGACATGCTTGGACATGTGTGACCGATTGTTTGGGGGAATGCATCAAACACCCCAAAAATGTAACATACATTTTTCAGGTTGGGAAGTCGGATTTTGTGATTTTCTATTCAAACCATCCAAAAAATATAACATACATTTTTGAGGTTTATCTTTACAAATTTGATTTATAAAATTGTTTACCCAGCCTAAAAATGTAATGTAAAATTTTTACGTTTACTTTATGAATTTGGGTAAAACAACCTACATATCAGTGTATATATGTGGTATATAGCCAGGGCCCCGAAACCCTGCATAATGGCACTCCAAAAATGTATCCTGCATAATGGCACTCCAAAAATGTATGTTACATTTTTCACCCCCTGGGGGGGTAAGACGGTCGTGATACACTAATCATTAATATTCATGGAATGTGATTATGCATGATCATGCCAGTTGTCTGTCTGAAAATCGGATGATTTTTCAAAAAAAACAATGGGGAAGAAGACGCCCCATTGGAATTAGGGGTAGCCTATGACAAACCCAGCTACTAGTTGGTTAGTAACTGGGGTTAGTGAAACCACTTATAAATGGGAGCATCCATGCAACAAGAAACAGTGTTTGAGTGCACCACCTTAAATATATATATATATATGCATTATTCAATGAACTATGCAAATAATATGGAGTTTGTAATCTATATGCCAACGATTGACGAATATTGACGATTTGTAGGTACTATCCCATATAGTTAGTCAATTTGGAACCCCAAACTGGCTGTGTCGAAAACGTATTGAACAGGTGTCTTAGGTTTGTGCCACTGACAGGGGACCAGCTGTAGACGTCCCCCGACCTGGCTATGATTTCTTGAATGACGTATGTATATATATATATAGATTATTTAATATTATTATACTATATTATATGTATATATATATTTATATTGAGATAGATCTTCATGGGATTTTTCTGGGTAAACCGGAAAAACTGGGCTGTGTAGTCTAGTACTTCAATGTTTGAACTAACATGAACTAAGCAGCTCCAGGTACGTCTTCATGTTGGCCACTTTCTCAGATTGGCCATGTCGACGCCCAGGATGAACCAGAGTCGGGAGATGAGATTCCACAGGATCGCCCTGGCATTGCCAGGGAAAACGAAGAAATTGAGGTCAGGGGTGCTGCAGCTGCGGCTGTTCGATGTGTCATCCTGACCAAGTTGTGACCGATCCTTATGATAAATGGCCCTTTGAAACGGGGGGACTCACTGCGCATTTGTTTCAGTTGAGACAGAGCTAGGGTGAAATGGAGGGAGATTGAAATCCACCGTTTTATCATGTTTGATCACGTGCAGGTTTTCAGCCACTACCATGCGGTTGTCTAAACAAAATAGGGTCACATTTGTCCAAATCAAGAAAATTATAGTAGGATCTTCACCAAAGAAACTCGGGGGTTGCAAGCAAAATGCAGGCCTTGACTATCCTGTGCTTAGCAAAGGGGGCATTCGTATTCCCATTCCAACCATCAAATGAGGAGCCAAGGAGAGTTTCCCAACCATCTGATAGTTGACACTATTTTAATTCCCCAAACAATGATTTACTGGTGCTTAGCAAGGAATGGATGGGAATGGGGGAATGGGATTATTATTAATAGTGACTATGGATCATTCCCTCATTCCCTGCTAAGCACCGGTAAGACAATGAACAGAAGGCTCTTCATTTGCCCGCTCTTGCCTTTGACAGAGTCTAGTCTGCGTTGAACGGAACAAAGTCATTTCCCTGTTTTTTTTTGTCAGACAGACAAAATCATATCTGTTTTTTTTTATGTATGTGTTATATCATCCCATCCCGTATGCATATCATATAATGCATATAATTTATGCATATAATTACATAATTAACGTTTCATAGACGTACAGTTACATTGACTTGTTTTTTCCCCACCTGCCAGGTGAGGGTTGTTAGATTTTATGTCAGTTGCCTCCTCCTCCTGCTCCTCCTCCGCCTCCTCCTGCCTCGTCCTCCTCTCCTCCTCCTCTTCGTCCTCCTTGTCATCCTTGTCGTCCTTGTCGTCCTCGTCGTCCTCGTCGTCCTGGCTCAACTGCGACCCGCGATCCACAGTGTTCTCTGCCGGACCTCAACCACGACCACCCACGCCCAGCGTTCCCTGCCGGACCTCAACCACGACCACCCACGCCCAGTGTTCCCTGCCGGACCTCAACCACGACCATCCACGCCCAGTGTTCCCTGCCGGACCTCAACCACGACCATCCGCGCCCAGTGTTCCCTGCCGGACCTCAACCACGACCATCCGCGCCCAGTGTTCCCTGCCGGACCTCAACCGCGACCATCCGCGCCCAGTGTTCCCTGCCGGACCTCATCTTCTGACATATCTTCTGACATTTTATTTGGCATTCTATCTGACATATCTTCTGGCATATGATCTGGCATATCTTCTGGCATATCTTCTGGCATTCTATCTGGCAAATCTTCTGGCATTCTATCTGGCATATCTTCTGGCATTTCTATCTGACATATCTTCTGGCATTCTGGCATTCTATCTGGCATATCTTCTGGCATATATCTGACATATCTTCTGGCATTCTATCTGACATATCTTCTGGCATATATTCTGACATATCTTCTGGCATATCTTCTGGCATATCTTCTGGCATCTGGGCATTCTATCTGGCATTCTATCTGGCATATTCTGGCATCTGGGGGCATTCTATCTGGCATTCTATCTGGCATTCTTCTGGCTTCTGGCATATCTATCTGGCATATCTTCTGGAATATCTTCTGCCATATCTATCTGGCATATCTTCTGGCATATGTTCTGGCATTCTACCTGGCAAATCTTTCCCTGCCGGACCTCATGTAGGAAGATATGGACAAAGAATGTGCAGAAGAAAGTTAGAAAGAATTTCAGACAAGTATGTGATATATTACTTGCGAACTTGCAGGTGTGTGGTAGTGTGATCGGGGCAATGCCACTATTGACTTTGCGGGTGGCAAAGTTTGAAGCAATCAGTTTGAACAGATGACAGAGTCACTGGGGTGGACAGAGACATTTCCATTTCTGTACCTTTGGAGCTGTTTGCAAAGACGCTTGAGACAGGCAACATCTTACAGCAAGTTACTACAAATTACTTGAAGGGATCTCATGCTGGATTGATGCTTGAGACAGTCAACATCACACAGAGTTTCTATTGTGTATCACAGCTATGGTAGCATGGTGGATATGTGACATCGGAACATTTGCTGGAGCATTTGCGCCCTCATCTACTCGATCGCGGGCCAGAGGCAGGATGGACATCATCATAGAAGCATTCAGCAGGAGGAGGTTATGTGATCAGTAGTGTCTTCTTGCGTGTTTTTCCCCACCTGCCAGGTGAGGGTTGTTAGATTTTATGTCAGTTGCCTCCTCCTCCTGCCGCCTCCTGCCTCCTGCCTCCTCCTCGTCCTCCTTGTCGTCCTTGTCGTCCTCGTCGTCCTCGTCGTCCTCGTCGTCCTCGTCCAACTGCGACCCGCGATCCACAGTGTTCTCTGTCGGACCTCAACCACGACCATCCACGCCCAGTGTGCCCTGCCGGACCTCAACCACGACCATCCACGCTCAGTGTTCCCTGCCGGACCTCAACCACGACCATCCCCGCCCAGTGTTCCCTGCCGGACCTCAACCACGACCATCCACGCCCAGTGTTCCCTGCCGGACCTCAACCACGACCATCCACGCCCAGTGTTCCCTGCCGGACCTCAACCGCGAGTATCCACGCCAAGTGTCCCCTGCCGGACCTCATGTAGGAAGATATGGGACAAAGAATGTGCAGAAGAAAGTTAGAAAGAATGTCAGAAAGAATGTCAGAAGATATGCCAGAAGATATGCCAGATAGAATGCCAAATAGAATGCCAGATAGAATGCCAAATAGAATGCCAGATAGAATGCCAGATAGAATGCCAGAAGATATGTCAGAATATATGCCAGAAGATATGCCGGATAGAATGCCAGATAATATGCCAGAAGATATGCCAGATAGAATGCCAGATAGAATGCCAGAAGATTTGCCAGATAGAATGCCAGAAAGATATGCCAGAAGATATGCCAGAAGATATGCCAGAAGATATGCCAGAAGATATGTCAGAATATATGCCAGAAGATATGTCAGATAGAATGCCAGAAGATATATCAGAATATATGCCAGAAGATATGCCAGATAGAATGCTAGAAGATATGTCAGATAGAATGCCAGAAGATATGCCAGATAGAATGCCAGAAGATATGCCAGATAGAATGCCAAATAGAATGTCAGAAGATATGTCAGATAGAATGCCAGAAGATTTGCCAGTAAGAAAATGTATAAATGTCATGGTGGGGATCACACGAAGTAAAGTAATTATATCTACAATGTACGGGCAGCGTCCGGAACCATGGATCATCCCCCTCATCCGTCGTCAACTTGAAGCCATGTTCGATGGTTTTTTAGCCCCTAATGATGAGTAAATCCCCATCTGGTTGGTGGTTTGGAGCCCATAGAAATAGATGGTTTACCTATTAATAGCATGGTGATTTTCCATGGCGAACTGCTAGTCATTACCAGAGGGTATATTTACATTTTTTTATTTTCCATTTCATATATGAGTTGTTATCCTTCTCATTGACGAACTCATATGTTTCAAGATGGTTATTGCACCACCAAGAAGTATAGTCAATCGTTCCCCCTGATAGGACCTTAATCCTCTCAATATTAAATACTGCCCTGATAGACTCCAAAATGAATAAGCTCCAGGAATCAAGCGTGGCAAACAATCCATATTTTGGAAGATGTTCCCATTAAAACCGCCGATTTTGGCCATGGATTTCCATGGCCATGGCCATGATTAGCGGATGGTGAATTCCAGTACTGATACTATTTTGGGTGATGTGTTTTTACCCAACCTGGTTATGACTAACAGTTCGCCATGGTTTTTCGATGGCCCATAGAAATAGATGGTTTAGCTACTAAAAATGGTGATTTTCCATGGCGAACTGTTAGTCATAACCAGATGGTAATATTTGGAATTATTCATCAATCAGGCCGCACATTGCCACATGGATTTGCACTTCAGGAGGTTGAGGCTGAGACAGCAGCGGTCTGTTGTGATGCCTTTCCCATGTGAGATCGCTGGAGAACTCGGCGATTTGGTAATTCATGGGCTGGATCATCCCAATTGCCAATAATAACATCCCCATGACTCCCATTGGTAATGCCCAGCCTAGTTGGTGTCTATACAAAACAAATACCCAATAGTGATCATTCATCACTACTATTCCTGGTTGATGGTTTTGAATACTCGGCTTTATTTTCTCGCCAGCTAGACAAAGTGTCCTTTCTTTTTGGGTGTTGATCCCAAATGTCTAATCCGGAAAAAAAACAGAAAATCCACGGGTTTACTGCATTTGGCCAAACATGGGCTAAAGATGTGTGCACATTTTTGTTTGGCAAAAATCATGAGCTAATCATGATAATCATGAGGGGTTTGTTCGAAAACTGTTTCTTGGATGATCTCGAGCTACTTCCCACAATCTCGACAGCACTTTGGGCTTCTGTTTGGCCCAAACCAGAAGATTTGATGCTAAGGATGAACACCTACAATGGCTAGAACCCAAAGGTTAACATATTGGGTTAAGGGTTCAACATGCAGCCAGATAGGCGGCTCGGTTGAAGATGTACGGAGTCAGGACTGGCTTAGCATGGGGGCGTAGGAATTCATCCTAAAGGTCACACCAACCAGCAGCTGAAACCGTGGCCTGGACCCACCCATGGTGTCTTTTTTTTATGAAGGACTTGTGCACCGCTGACGCTGGAAGCGCAAACGATTGCACTTTTTTTTAGGCCAGGTGTCCCTGCCAAGTTCAGCGAAGTTTGGAAAAGTCGAAGATGGGACGTGTCACAGGTCATCAGGGGTATAGCCAGCCCAAAATGAGCACGTCGATAATAGGGGAAAAACATGAGAAACCATGGGGGTTCGCTATTTTCAGACAAACCACTTGGTTTCCCTTGACTTATTTGGAGCTGCACCCGGCCACAGGGCAATCAAATGGTTCCATTGGCTACCTTTCGAGAGCATCTTAGATGTTCATGATGTTCAGAGGTATCCAGAAAAGTCCCAGGAACATTTGCTACAAACCTGGAGCTGTATGTTCCTCGAATCAATTCTGGATTGTTTGGTGGTTTCAAAACCTTTACCCCCTATACTAAACGCTGCCTAACCATGGGCTTTTAATTAGGTGGTGCCTGGTATTAGGGGTCGCTGGGTCCATTCAGGTAGAATAAGTCACAAAAACGGTACTTTTCTTTAAAAAAAACAGTCGCTTTCAAAAACAAAGCGAAAACATGTTGAAAATCAATTCGAATTATTTCCAAGACTAGTGGTCCCTGCGTCCCTTAATAACAATTAACACAATTTAACACACCCTGTTGAAAAATAAATTGTCGTTGTCAAAAGGCAACTAAATTCCTTTTTAAAACATATATTGCCAGAAATTGGATTTCCATAGGTTGCCTAGCAATGAACCAAACACCTTACTAGACATTATATATATATATGTGCACAGTATACACAAATGACCTGTCACTTACAAACACTAGTTGCGATACGTCATATGATTTCAATTATTACCAAAAATGAATTTCGAAGGGTTCCCTTTTGATAAATAGATACCATAATTTTTAAAAAATACAAGGGGACTTTGGCGCTCTGATAAGAAACACCACAATTTGTGTTTATTATTGAGGTCCGAAGCTAGAAGTTCTATGTATCAAGGTTTTGACCTAACTTTACCGATGTTTTCTCATCAAATTATCCAAACTTGCAAAGATTTATATCAGGTTTGTGTTCCCTGCAATTTTCCATGTTACTTTGTCTCTGAGATTTGTGCTGGCCCGCCATTGATATCATGATCCGGTCAGCCAAGAGGGATACTTCAAGAGGCCCGCCCAGTTATAAATAGCTTTCTAAGCCCGTGCAACTGCAGATAAATCATCCAACATAAACCTAACAGTTACTGCACCTGACCCAACTTGGGGACGATCCTTAGCAGTCGAAAATGAAATCCCACCTTTGTTGATTCAATCTCCCATAAGCACCCCCCAATACACGTAGAGAACACAGAGAAAACATCACAGATCCACCGTTTCTTTGAAGTGGTTGGAGGATGTTCGGGGGAAAAAAATACAATAGACCTCTGCATCTTCGGGTAGAAAACACGGTTTCCCCTAATTATATTTATCCATTTATCCCTTAAATCAAATCCACCTTCGATTTTTCCCAGCAGCGCATTGGCATGGCATTGTTGCTCACTGCCAGTGTGGCAGTCATGTCGATGACGAATACCCAAGCAGATCTCAGCGTGGAGCCCTTCACGGCATGTTCGGAGTCATCACATGACTTCACGGAAGGAGAGTTACATGTGAAATACAGATGGGTATACAGATGGGTATAATGGTATACTGGGAACAGGACCCACCATCATGGCTATGTCCCATTGAAATCCTCCCCAAAAGAAACACAGCTGCGAAGTTCTTCACTGCGATGATGTTTCAACACATTCAAGTTGTGTCGAACATGGGAAAACAAGGGCCGAATGCAGCTGGGTCCCATTGAACTGCCAGCATTTGTTCTGCATTGTAAACTTTTGACCAGGCAAGTCCAACCGGACTGCAGGCACACCAAAAGGTGAGTGTCCTCCAGCGGTGTAGTATCGTGGCTCAAAGCGGATGCAACGAAGCGCTGTTTCGGCAGTGCCAACTCGAATTACTTGACTAGGGCCCTTTATTGGTTGACCATGCTCCTTTATAGAACAGCAGTTCCAAATACCCATGGGATCCATGTATGCTATACATGATGACATTTACCATCAATATACCCCAAATGTTAGCATATATACCATACATGGATCCTATGGGATATGACATATCGCCACCCTTTGTAGCTGAAATATTCTGGTGAGCTACCAGTGAATGGTTCGCACTGGTTGAACAGTCGCACTTTTTAAAGCATGACCAATCAAAAAAAACTCTGCAAAAGGGAAATTGACACCTCACCCAAAAAGACATCGTTTTTCAAGTGGTCTGATTACTCTCCTGAAAAGTTTATCCGTGACTCTAAAGGTTGGCCCTTCTGCAGCATGCTGCTTAAACAGTGGCTAGGTCCCGAAATGAAGCTACTAAGCGTGCCACTTGGAGGATTTTTTGGGGAGCTATTTGCTCAAGGAGGCCTTAGGATTTACAGTAACATGTGAGGTTCCTCCAGTGTAGTACTCCAAGTTTAACATGAAACCTGAAAAGGATATATTTATTTGTTGGAGATGGATTTACATTTTGGGGGGTGCAGTATAATGGGTTGTAATATGTAAATTCACGGATATGAATGGGCGTGTTTCTCTTGATTTCTCTCCGTTTCTGGTTCCCATGTCCCCATCATCTAGAGCCACTTGGTATGACACTTCCCTGCTTCGGACTCACCAGTCGTCGGAGAAAAAGGGGTCCAACAAAGGCGGGTTGGAAAATCTCACAAGATCAATAGGCAGAATACCTCCCAACTGTTACATGGAACCATTTGGAACCCACAAGTGGCTTTATCCAAGGGGACACTGATCTTCTTCCCCATTTTTGGGGTTCCACGTTAGATATCGGGGGTGTATCCATGGCTTCATGATTCCAATTGCTGGGTGAAATGGTGTTCCCCACTCTTCAGCCATACCATAGGCCATATCCTCTAGTTCATCGTGGGTCATATCCCTACTATTTGTTGGTTTCATACCCTCCTGCAATCAAGCGTGGCTTTCTGTCTAGTAACACATTCATCTATCAATCAAGTGTTGGAATGATCACGACTCGCGTACCAGAAGCCGCAGAACAGCATCATATCAGATGTCATCATATTACGAAGGCAATTTACATAGCTATTTTCAATGATCGTCATATCATTCCCAACATCACCTGTGCGGTTCCAACATGTCGATTACAATCCCCCATTTGTGACTCATGAAAATCCCGCCATCTCCATTTTTCTCCCTTCCTCCGGACAAGTCCATGACGTAGTGTGGCTATATGTTCATGAAACATCCACATGGTATGGGACAAGCCGCAGATGTGTCACTCCCAACCTAAAAAGAAACAATCTGGTACCCTCCGGTACTCAAATCCGTCCGCAACTGCCGCTTTCTACATGACTGTCACATCGAAACTCCCCATTCACAAGGGAGTTCCCAATGAAAGTCCCCATGTTATGCGGGATTTTCCGATTGAAACTCAGTAACTCCCCGTTTATGTGGGATTTCCCAACGAAACTCCCCATTTAGTTTGGGGATTTCCCAGCCATGTTTGATGACACCGAAGTGCAACCCTCAGCCAAAGGTCATCCCATCTCAATGATATCCAAGTTCTGCCTGCGTGGCAGGGCAAGCTTTTTCTGCACACGTGCCAACTTCATCAGTCCAAAATAA